ACACACACACACACACACACACACACACACACACACACACATAGATATTTTAGCAGGAGATATGTTGGATATCTCTTATCGGTCAAAGTGTAGCAATTAATCTTTAAAGCGCACCAGAGTAGTGCAGGCGATTAAATTAACTACAAATCTTATTTGCATTCTTTAGTTATGTAATCGACAGTTCAGCGCGCTAAAAAAACGCGACGATGTCACGTGGCCCATTGGCGCAAGCTGTAACTCCGTGATAATGATAATAGTAATTAATTACAATCCATGCATAATTAATTACACTTCCCATGAATTAAGATCAATTTCGGATTGTATTTAAATCTACTTACGCTACGTGCGATTTTTTTCCCCATTTCATCAAGTATATTATTTATACATAGTACTTCGAGAGGAAGGAGAGAACAGAAAAAGAATAAAGAAAAAAATAAAGATAACTTACTCGGAGAGGGGGAATTTATTTCGCGTTGTGCTTTTTATAAGTTTGTCACGTTTAGAGCAAGATAACAAATATTGGCGATTTTCGAGGGCGAGCACAAAGCGTAAATATTTTGCGTGCGCGATGCAGAGGAGATTTTTACCATCGGCAGTACGAAGCCCTCGTTGTAGTCGGTGTGCTCGCCGATGAGATTAACGCGTCCCGGCGCGTACGCGCAAACGGCGGCCTGTCCGCCGAAATTCTCGGCGAAGGCCCGCAACGCCTTCGCCTTAACGCTATCGACGTCGGGGAGCGATGCCGCCATGCCGAAATATCGTCCGGTTTTCGCACTTGAGATGCACGACCGAACGCGAAATCTACGGAGGAAGCGAGGGATTAAAAGCGGCGAGGTCGCAGATAATAAACCAGCCGCGCGCGGCCGACAGTCGTGACGATACTGATATGCTAATATAAATCTCCTTACGTGATTAGGGGACAGCAACGACGTCGTTATCAGCGCAACCTTTGACTATATGTGCCTCGATGTAGGAACTCAAAGATACACCGGTGCTCTTTGCCTGCGAGTGAAATTATAAAATATGTTATTGTACAACTCTTATTGCAAATTGTGTCACAGATGATAAATATATATGTATTAATTTTTCGGGATATTATTTTTTATTTAAGCCATTCGTTATATTTCTTATTATAAGGCCTAGCTTAGCTATAATAATGATTAATAATAAGAAATAGGTGTTATTATTTATGTATTTAGACAGTTGTCACGACAGCAAGTAGGTGTTATTATTTATGTATTTAGACAGTTGTCACGACAGCAAGTACAGATATCCACAACACGTCATTCGTTCGAGCTGAGTGCGTGAGCATTTTTTGGGAATATTAATTATCAATCCAAATTTTGCTCATATACACGAGCAATGATAAAAATACAATTATTAAATTAAAATATTAATAATTTATCAGTTACTCGTACAAAGTAATAAAATCTATCTTATTATATAATATTATATATATTATAAAATATTAAATTAATATTGAATATTAATTACTAATTGATTAATGAAGGATTAAATATATTTAATTATTAAAAATTATTAAATTAAAATTGATACCATATATTATTGAAAAATATAAATATTATATGTATATTTAATTAATATTAATATTAATATTAAATAAATACACATTGAAAACACACGTATACGCCACCAAATGCACTGTATGTACGTATGTAAAATTATAAAAAGAAATTTATCCTGAAATAATATCTCTCTCTCTCTCTCTCTCTCTCTCTCTCTCTCTCTCTCTCTCTTTGTGACGTGAATTATAAAGAAAGAATCGGTTTTTAATAATATATATAGCATCTTCTCAAGTGTAAAGTGTAGCTATATCCAAAGCGACATTTGATTTCCAGCGAACGCGATCCAGTTGCGCGACTTTTACTACCACCATTCCCGTTAAATGTGTCGCCAGCACTGACAACAGTGACAACGATGCAGGCAGATGCAGGTGTTCCCGCTGACGAGGCTCGGCTGACGTGTGTGTCGCGGCAATAAACCGATTTCCCCGGGAGGAGGTATACTATGGAGACGCCGCGGTCAATTTAACACCAATATTCCGCGGAGAATGTGCCATGTCGGTCTCGGATCCTCTCATCAAGGAGCTGAAAGGTAATCCTGCCGTCGAACGGGTCAGGTTAGACGGACCGTTAAACGCACGCCAAAGGGCTTTTATGACTTTTATTCCCTTTCGTATGCACGATTTTTCTTTTCAAAATTATCCGAGTGTAAGTCATCAATTTTCAGTCATTGTTTTAGTAATTTATTCACTTTTCTTTTTGGAAAAAAATATTCAATAACTTTTGATGACGTGACAAATATTGCTTTAGTTAATAGTGTTTTAATAGGATATAAATGAAAAATGTTGAAGTTGTGTGCTGAGTGAAAAATGTTGAATTTTTATATTGATTAAAAATATCAGTCTTATCAATATATCAATGTATTTATAAGGATATTGTAAATGATAGGAATCATTATCATGTGTCGATAAAATATCAAGTCATTATCTTCATATATATTTTCCAAGAAACAAATAAAATGTTTTTCTTTGCCAACGTTTTCAGAAATACATAATATTTCTTCGTCATCATTATACTTTCTCGTTAATCATATTGACAAATTTTTTTTTACCCTGTCTATAAAAAGTAATGTACCTGAGCTTGTGGAATAATCTTATGACATCTTTTCAGGATGGACTCGAAAGCTGATAGAACATGCTAAGGAAATCACTGATGAAAATGAAGATCTGTGCCACTTTTGCAAGTGCTTGGAAAATTGCTTGCAAAAGGATTTACTGCCTCCTATCGATAGTGTTGGATACTTCAAGGTACCTTACGCATGGCACTGGTTAGAGTATGTCGCCGAGAAGAATTACAGGTGAAGCGACTTCCTTTTTCAATGTCTACGATGTCATGTATTGCCTGCTATTTAACAGTCAATGTGATTTCTAGTGGTTACAGTACGTTCCTCTTGGTAGTCGAGCAAGTGAAGCAAAATGCTAAGGTGCGTACACCTGCCGGGCGACTGCGTCTCCTGATAAGAGCATGCCTCGTGCGAAGATGCCTTCACATGCCGGTAGAAATACTGGTGAGACGTTACGCCAAATGCACTTGATCCACGTCCATTGTGCACATTCGTTAATTTGGTCATGGAAATTTATATCTTCAGAACAGAATACCAACTTTAGCTGCCGAGTTTTACAACTTGAAAAGCATTTTGGGAGATGATATTCTACGAGAGATACTACTGTCCGTGCTATTGCAGTGCAGTAAATTTAACTTTAAACTGAATTTAAGAAATGCATCTTTCTTAGACGACACCTGGCAAATGCCGAAATGTGCAGCATTGGAGCTGGTACCTTGCAAAAGTTTAGGCATCTCTGTATGGTAAGCGATTGTTGTGATAAGAATGAAGGAGCCGTGTGAATCTTATTCGCTGCTATTGCAGTTTCACCAGCGACAAGGCGTTAATTGTGAATGTCCACGAGAAATCGGTAGCTGCTGAAGATGTAAGAAAAAGATTTCTCTGAGTATCTAATTATTTAACTTTTTAAAATTTGTAAATGCTTAATTGTTATTTACATGCTACATGTAAATCAGAATAAAGTCGAGATCGGAGATGTACTGGACGAGATAAACGACAATGTCATCAATGGCGATAGTAAGGGAAAACTACGTAAAATTATGAAGAAGGCTAGTGGACAACCGATAATGCTACATATCATTAAGGTAATCTAGCAAATGACGACTAATAAAAATATATTATAAAAAATAATTTATATAACGGATATGTGATTGCTGTGTATTTTCAGCATTATAGCAAAAAATCCTGTGAGCTTTATGAACCAATAGTGCATCTTATAAAAAATTCTGGTATCGAGAGCATGAAGCCCTTGATACAAATATCACGATTAGACCAAGTGGAAGGAGCCACTAAAAAAACTCAGATATCTAAATCAGGGAGTAAAACATTAGGCAGCGGATTCTTCGTGAAATACTGCGGCTCTGTGCATGTCGGCGCAGAGGGAGACGTTAAGCAGATTGAGAAAGCAATTTGGCATTTATTGAAATCCGGAGAAGTAAAACAAGTGCCTGTGCGATTCGAATGCTTAGAAATTGGAATTGTAGTAACCCGAGAAGTAGACAATCAGGTAAATTAATAGAGCATAATCACGGATTTAAAAGAATTATCGGAAGTTATAAATAGCTTCTATTTCACTTGTTAAATTCAAGATAATTTAGGAAATATACGTAATATATATGCATTAAATTAAACAATATTCTTATTTTTTTTTTTAGACAATATGCAAACAAAGTTATATGGAAATATCATCATGTGGACGTACTATCAATATCCCAGATTATTTCGCATTCATCGCAGGGTGAGTTCTATCAAATTAATGTTAGCATAGATATGTTTTAAAGTCCATATGCGCATAACTTGCTTATGTCATCTATTATCATTTTCAGAGAAACAAATTGTAACGTGGCAACAAAATTTGATGCTTACATCTTTCATCATCGAAATGAAAACGAGGTCCAACAAATATTACAGAGTCTGGGACAAGGGTTTCAACGTACTCATTTTGCAGTATAAGCAATTTATGTATATAATAATGGATTCATTTAACTATAGAGCAAAAGGAACCTTATTATCTTCCTCATATTATTTATTAATAGTTTTCCTCAAATCTGTGAGACCAAAGAACTTAATAAAATCACCAAAGTTATCCGTATTACGAATAATCAGTTTATTTTATTCGATAGCAATTATAATAATTTTTCTGACGTCTCTTTCGTATATTTTTTGTGTGCGCATCTTATTACATAATTATTATTAATATTATTGTTAATAATCACTCGTGCATACTATCACAAAAACCTAAGAGTGGACACGCCTGGGTTTTAAGTGAAACCTGTCCATTAGTCACAAAATGTGCATCTTGAACCGCGTAGCCACGTCCACGAATATTCAATATTTCCAATGGGTAACACGTTACGTCCACGAGTGTTTCCAATGGGTAACACGTCAGGTCCACGAATACCTTCAACGAGTAACACACCAGATCCACGATTGTTTCCAATGGATAACATCACGTCCACGGTCGTCGACTCTGTCTCATAGCCTTCCGAGATAATTTCCTATGAGAAACCAACAATTAAAGAACAAAATATGCTTGTTACGGAACATTCAGCAAGAACACACATAGATACCATGTTACATAATTGACTATTGACTGTGGAAATTTTTGGGACTACAAAAATTAATATTGGATAGTTAACATTGTACATATGTACGTTTCTTGCGCGAAACCACTCGTATAAGCATAATATATATACTAAGAAATTTATTATAAATACAAAATTTTGTATTAAAAAAAAATGTTAAATTTATATCAAATTTATATTGTATTTAAAATTTAGAATTATATTCTCAATTATAATCTATTGAAAAGTTAGAAAACAAATGGTACGTTTGGAGCGTAATATTGTAACAATAATAATAAAAATGAATTAATTGGAACAACCTTTTCTATCTTGGTTTCATGTGTAAAATAAAAAATATAATAAATGCTTAGCTAACATTTGAAAAAATCGTGTTCATGACTGCTCTCACAATCAGGTTTCTCTCTGCTATGTTATATTGTCTATGGTTATAACGCGACGTATGTGATTGCGCGGCGCGTGTCCTGTCAACGTCGTCGCCGTCGCCGTTGCCGCCGTCGTCGGCTCGGTTCGGCTTGGCTGCCGAGCCTCGGCAGCGTTCGGTAACGCTCGACCCTCTCGGATAACGGAACACGGAATATCGCCGGTGAGCGCTGATGATCACGGGGGATCGGCCATCGACGGCTACCAAAACCAAACGCGAGAGCGAGTCTGGAACAGGCCGATCATCACCAGACAGGGGTGGGAAAATGGCTGCCGCGGCGAACGTTGCACCGGAGAATCAGTACTTCTACGAGGATGTTGTCTATCGCATGGATAAACGGGGTAATATCGTCTACGGCATCGTCATGGAGAACGACGACTTGGACTTGTCTGAGGAGAGCAGCGACAACGAGGAGAACCTGCCGAAGCGCAAGAAGGGCGAGATCCGTATGATCTGGCATCCGTCCGGTGTCGAGGAGTTGGTCAACTGCAAAAAGGTATCTACGTGATGGTTTTTTTGGCAACGTGGATCGATCTCACTGCGATTCAGCAATCCAATGCATCCCGATGTTACACATCGTTTTTTTGTACGATTTTTCGACTTATGAATGTACACCTTTTGCACCTGTCATTTTCAACCCTGGGTTGCATCAGGATTTCAAATTAACGACGTTTAAACGGTGCCGTGCGTGGAGATTTTTTACGACATCTTGCTTCCAGGTTCATTTGGCCGATAGAACACTCATGCCTGGAGATGTGGTGCGTAGAATGATCAAGGGAAAGGATACACAAAGGGGCTACTGCAGGGATGTAGAGCTGACAGCCTGTGTACAAGTCATCGGTACCAAACAGGTTCTCACAGATATCAAAAGCGAAGACTTGATCCCATTGCAGGTATGTCAATATCTCTATGGTAGACAGTAATATGTTGTTTACATACTGAAACACGCAGCTGTTATTTGTAGGAATTTGCGACAGATATGGCGGTGTGCATGGACTCCTGGGTTGGTGGCATTAGAATGACACATTTCAAATTATGGCTGGTAACGCCAGACGGATCTCACTGTGTCATAAACGAGATGGATTCCTGCGTGTTGGGACAATTGGAAGAGGCACGAGATAGCGTAAGATTCAACATTTATATAGAACCCATATATACATATATGTTTTTATGATCTATCACTCATATGGGATTTAAAAAATAAATATATTTTTAGGATAATGATTTTCCACATCCGACTGAATTCTATCCTGGTCAGAATCTATGGGGACCGGTTCACTGCTTAGAAGAGGCGCAATGGATTCAGTGCACAAAGGAAATGAAAGCCAAAAGAAAATTAAAACCTCAAAAAATAACCAAAGTGATTGTGGAAAAGGTGGAGACCGATTGGATAGGAGTACATTGGCAGTGCCGAGCATATTCGAAGGACGGTGCCTGGTCCGATCAGGCTCAACCAAAGTTCGTGGTTGAAGGTGAAGATCTGAAAAAGCTAAAACTGTTGAACGTATTCGAACCCTCGACGGTACAGGTCGGCAATCGTAACTTCTACGTCATTAAGGGCAATGAGAACGTTATTACTCGTGAGCAGTGGCGAAAGCAGCAAAGGGATATCTATCAAGTTCCTAAGCAAAGCCCAAAGAAGACGCGTCCGAATAGCACAGTGACGAAGTTGATGGAAGATAAGAAGAAGGAGCAGAAAAAGGAAAAAACGTTTGGTCAACAATCGACGGAGGAAAACGGTCAAAGTAACGGCGTTCATTCTCAAGATACCATAAGCAACAATATTTTAATGCCGCCCCCACAACATGCTCAAAGCTCGGACGAGTGGGATACGGAAGATACGGGTTCGCAAAGTGACTCCGCTTCGGTAATTATTCGTCTTTCTTTTTTTCTGAATAAGAGAAGGAAATGAAAGATATAGAAATATGTGTGCGCTTTGTAGGTCTCTAGCTGTTGTTCCAGCATGTCATCAGTGGGAAAGAAAAAGAAGGGTCCTGCATTGATGACGAAAGTGCTGAAGAAAAAGAAATTGCGAAAGGCAAAAAAGAAAGTACCGCCTGTTCCGTTAATTCCCGGGGCTAAGATAGTCGTAGAAACGTTGTCCACTAATACGAAAGCGAATGTGGTGTGGCAAGACGGCTCAGTAGAATTTGGTATTGATAATAACATAATTATATATGTGTAGACATTTGTTAGAGAAAAAGAAATATAATTATGCATCATAGATGCACTTAAACGAAATACCTTGTTTATTTTAAATATGAAAGAATGTATTGTCTAAATTGTGTTTTAATATCTTCATTTATATTTATAATGTCATTCATTTCTACATTATTACAAGAAAAACAGTTTTAATTGTTGAAACAATTTCATAATGATGCTAAATGTCAGCTATTCTGTTTTAGGCATACCATCGACACAATTGTATCCAATTCATCACCTGGATGATAAGGAATTTTTCCCAGGTGACTTTGTTGTAGATCAAAAGGAAGAATCTAGAATGTATGGCGTTGTACAAAGTGTTGATCATCAAGGCCGTACTGCCAAGATAAAATGGTTTCGTACATATACTTCTAGTCAAAACCCAGAGTAAGTATTACAATAAAAACACTTTCTTGTCTTTTTTATCTTATGTTACCTTGGAACTTTGCAACAGTTTTATTTATTCAGATTTTTGTATTAATACATGTAACGTAAATATCAAGTGTGAGTTAATAGAAAAATGTACATAAATGGAAGTATTGGACAAGAATTCTATCTTCTCTAAGTTTCTGGAACTTATAATTTAAACATAATATAAAATTATTACAAATAAAATTAAAAAAAAAATAAAATATTTTTTCTAATTTGCTATTAATTATTTGCCCAGACCGATCTTTCTGGAGGAACGGGAAGTGAGCGTTTACGACTTGAAGGATCATCCAGACTTTCAATACAGGCCAGGAACCTTGGTGATTCGAATAGCGAATTTCGAGGGCGAGGACGCCGGATGTACTGCTGGTCAAGTATTGGACAATTACCCAGAAGGACGAGTGAAAGTATGGTGGATTGATGATCACATTAGCATGTGCTGGCCACAGGATCTCTACAAGGTCGGCGAGTACGATAGCGACGAAGGAGAACTGTGGGATGATGTATCGTCTGACTCGTCATGGGAAACGGAATTGGAAGATTGCTTTATCGCCGATAACGATGGTACCGAGCAGACGGAATTGGATAACATAAAACCGAAATTAGCCGCGCACATTGAGAAAGCTAGAATCGCGATGTCAAGATTGGAAGAGATTTTTACGCAAAACCCATCCCTGCAAACAACAGAGGTGATGAGGAAACTACTCGAAGTCTACAAAGATTGCCGTTACATGGATAAACTGATGGGTACCACGTTCTTTCACGAATGCCACTTCCAAGGACTTCTCGAGCGAGTGAGAGAACGCGGCAGAGTAAACGTCGCGCAGCGCATGGCGGATCAAGTCACGAGACTCTTTACGCCTAAATCTGAATGTCCGGAAGAATTCATAGATAAAGATAATTCGAAAAAATCGAACAATGGCGATGATTCAAACGTAACAGAGAAACAGTTTGCCACAATTATCAACGAATCGGAGAATGATAATACTCCAAGTATCGAAAGCAATGCCAAAAAACAGGACGGCGAGGAAAGTGTTAATCGATTATTTATATGTCCCAATCCCAATCCCGAGGATTCCGGATTATATTCAGCGGAAAACTCGAAGAAGGAGTCGGGCTCGAGCGAGTCCAGCGGAGAATTTCTCATAAGTGAAGACGTTAATAATGTACCAGAGTGTTCGTCGACGATAAACGGTATGACTCCGCCCGAGAAGACGGAAGCAAACAAAGTGAAAAAAGTGCCGACGAGTCTGCCAACTTCTCAGAGCATCGGAACTTCGCAAGTGTGCGTCAAACTGTGTAATTTGATAAAAGCGCAACTCGTTTTAGCGCATGCCGAGGTATCGAGGAGATTCGGTTTGGGAAAAATGTCGTTGTCGGACGCAGAGAAAACCTCGTCCCCGCGGAAAAAGCAAAAGGGCGAAGAGGAAGAACGTCTGGAAACGATGACGGATCCGTCCTGTTCGGTCGAGATTCCACCGACGATTTATACCGAAGGCGAGGGCTTCTCTATTGAAGAGTCCGCGCCCGACAGTCATAAGTTTAAGCTGACCATGTTCCAGCCCACCGATATGAGTAACTTCTTTCGTACGGTATCCAAAGAATTGAAGCTGCTAAAGAGTTCGCTCCCGCCGGGTGTCTGGGTGAAGGGATTTGAGGACCGTATAGATTTGTATTCTGTCATGTTCCGTGGTCCCGAAAAGACGCCTTACGAAGATGGCCTCTTCCTTTTTGATTTCCAATTGTCCGCCGACTATCCGGCCGCACCGCCTCTCTGTCATTATATCTCCTACTGCAGCGATCGGCTAAATCCCAATCTCTATGAAGACGGGAAGGTGTGCGTGAGTCTGCTGGGTACTTGGTCCGGTCGTGGCACAGAGGTGTGGACAAGCTCGTCAACTCTGCTACAAGTGATAGTTTCGATACAGGGTCTGATTCTCGTGAGTGAGCCGTACTTTAACGAAGCCGGATTCGAGAAACAGAAGGGCTCGCAGCAAGGACGCGAAAACTCGAGAATGTACAACGAGATGGTGGTGCTAAAGCTGGTACAGGCGCAAACTAAATTGTTGCTGTATCCACCGTCTGTATTCAAGGACATAATCATCGCGCACTTCAAGAAACATGCCGAGAAGTTGCTGCAGAGATTGGAGTTATGGATGGAGATATCTGAACAGCACAACAATCAGCATCCGCTGTCTCCAGTTACTCCCACCACGTTTAAAGAAATTGCAGATATTGGTATATAATATATTCTTTGGTATAGCATTTTACAGTACTTTAGATGTGGAATTAGATAATAACTTTTTATTTTATTTGTAGACGATAGAGTATTGCCCGAATTTCCGCTCATCCCGGCATCACGAGGTTTCTGCATAACTCTCCGCAAGACTCTAGCGACGTTCAAAGCTGTGCTCATTAAAAAAAATATAATACAGAAGTCGGATGAATGGCAGGACAATGAGAACACCGCGGAGTTAATGAACAATATTACAAATCAGTGCCAAGAAACGTCTGAATCTGTTGACAGTAAAACAGCAGAATGTAACGGGAGTAGTAGTAACAGCAATAGCAGCAGCAATACGCAAGAAAATAGCGAAAAGTCGACCTTAAATGGCAATCAATTCAAGGAAGCGATATTATCTTCCTCAACGAATAGTTTCGCCGCGGCGCCGAGCGAAACGAAAAAGAATACTTCGAGCCAAAACACCAGCTAGCCACAAGGTAAAAGTAAGCATAAGTCGAAATGCTTAGCCCGTTTAAATTATATGGCTATTCGGTAATAAAAGAGATATAATTATATATATTAGAATGTGCATATACATATATATATCTCATATAGGATATTTCTTAAAGAGTGCTCAATAATACTAAACATAGTGCCATTTCTTGTCAAAAAATGAATCGAGAAGTCACGAACCATTTGTTTCCATATAATGCTTAATAAAGCTTAATAAAGCTGGATGTCAGTGAGCTGTGCGTACCTGATAGTGTAGCGGTAGAGCGCTCACGCGCGCTACCGTGCGCGTCATTGACGTACATTCAGCTAAAGAACGGCGCTGATTGGGATGACTTCAATCAATAATTACTACTTTATTAAATATTATATGGAAAAAAGTGGTTCAGGACTTGTCAATTTTTTATAAGGAATAGCGCTATGTAATTAGTGAACGCTCTTTAGAGAAATACCTTGCATAATATATATATGTATATTATACACATTCTTTAATAACTTATTGCATACGGAATTTTGAATCATACACACACATACACACTTGCGATATGTATCTGTTGATCGTATTTAATAACGATGCGATAATTCCCGACAAAAACTCCACGACAGTTGTTGCTCCACAGCTAGAGAAATGTTTTTTGAGAATAACCACGAGAGAATAACCATAGCGTGATTATAGTTATTGAAAAATTGCAACATGCGCACACGCACACGTACACGCACATACACGATTTCGTATACTATCTAGACGAATTGTAAAATTCACATTAATATCCGGCATCAACGTAAAAAGGGGAAAAAAGAGAGACCTACGTAATACACTGTTCTCGCATTTAGTTCCGTACTTTTGAAGCGAAGGTATTATGTATTTTCTGTGACAAATGAGAAGGTAAGTCGTCGGTAGCTCGTCTCAATCTAACAAACAATAAAGATATGTATATGTAGTGCGGAAATATGAGCGAAATTTACATTTCTGTAAAAAAAAGGAGAAAAGTATGGAAGATAAAGAGCAGTAACAATATGCTGAGCTAATGAGAAAATGCAATAGGATTTTAAAGGATTATAAATACGGTTAATTCTGCGCAGCTCAATTTCACGACTGCACCGATGATTTATTATCGAAATCATAAATAGGTCGGTTAATCTTGTCGAGGTATGTCTTGAAGTTATTATGCCACCTAAGTATTACGAATATTCTCAAGCGAAATTACGAGGTGACTTTAATCGCAGGCGCGTAAGGCATAGCTTAGAATAAAAAATTCATATCTAGATGAGATCTCCACGCGATGGCTATGTCCGATATTATGAATTTTCTTAGTATAGCTTGTGAAGGATAGATATTTAGAAAGAAATTCATTATCTTTACCGTCAATCTTCCTTTACCGAGATTTTCCGGTCGTCGGAGATGGATTCTCCTTTCATTCCTATTATTTTTCGAGGTATATTTTCAAGGTATGGAAGGACTGATCTGAATGTTTTATTTGAGTACATTGTTCTAATAGTAATAATTACTTAATATGTTAATAGCTAAGGTGCACCGTAAACGGTATGTATCTATACAGTATTATTTATTTATTTTGTTTAGCCATTCGTGCGTAACGTATCCCGAGGATATGTTTGGAAATTATTTCTTGTAGAACTACGTTTGTCATGATGCACATATAAAAAAAAAATAGTAAGATCAAAAGAATAGAAAAAAAAGCTCCCAGATCGATTTTCAGTTTAGAAAGTCATAGTGTAAGACGCTGTGATATTCAAATGTTCGTCAGAAATTTTTTTTCTTTTTGTCTCTTGCTTTTCTTCTTTTATATAATCTTTCAGTCGCGGAAGAAATGCGTATAAATTCTTACTGTCGTTCAATTGATTATCGAGCTTTTAAAACGTTGAATTTCCTACGCGTCTTCGCTTAGTGAAAGACGGAAAGGAATGTTCTTCGAGAAATTTACGGTGCTGACGAATAAAGTTATTAGAAGAGACAGAGAGAGAGAGAGAGAGAGAGAGAGAGAGAGAAAGATGTCTTCGGTCCTTGTTATGATTGTAAATGAGTATATGCTGATAGGAGCGGAAAAAGGCGCGTTGTGAAAGTCGCCGAAACGTGAAACGGAATTTGAAATGCCTTGTATATGTGCCAGTTATATTTATATTAATTACGGTAATTATATCCATGAGTTGCGTTCGAAGTTTATATTTCACGTCTCACTTCTTCGAAGGGAAAAAAAGAAAGAGAAACTTGCAAGCGCGTTAGGGGCCGCCAGAATGTGTGCTGAATTACTACAATCACATCGATGCTAACTTCCCAAGCGTAAAACACGCGAAAAAGAATGTATTCTAGTCTAACGTGAAGTGTGTATGGCGGATTTAGCTTTTTATTTTTAATCTGCTTTTTTTAATTTATTTATTTGAACTGTGTTTTTCCCGCTCCTCCTCGTCACTTTTTTGTTCATTGCCATTCGTCATAAACTCCTGCACATATTAAATTATAATTATTATTCGTGATTGTTTTCTTCAATGAAATTAATTGTTCATTACGCGTTTCGCAAAATTCCAGTTTGAAGGCACACATACATACACACATTCGTTAAGCTCAATTCGTTATTTCATCGACCTACCGCATTGGCATCGATCTAACAATAATTGCAATAATTCTGTAATAATTTGCTGTAGATGTAATTCAGTTTCCTTAATTTGGATCAATAAAAGATCATAAAAGGATGAACGGATTTTGGAGTGTCCTGTATCCTTCACCGGATGTAGACATTGTACAAATCCTTGATCCCGCTACCTCACTTTTATTTCGATATACAATAATTCGATAAGAACACACCTTAATCATATTTATTGTACGGTACAATACAAATTTAAAATCTTAAGCTATAATAGATCATTAGAAAACTTGCATTCTTTTATAGAAGTTATTAATTAACATAAAAATCATTGAAGTTTGCTATAACAATAGATGCGTCAGTAAATGCAACGACAGATTGATAGACTGATTCCCAATGTTCTACATTTGCACGACGTCAGGTGTAGGAACGGGAATATCCGTAAATGAAAAAGTGTATCTCTCACTATCTTAAAACAGATAAGCTGTACACTCAGCCATCTCTTATCAAAGGTGTGATTCAGTACGCGTTGCGTAGACATTGTACAGTTAACTACGACACCGATTCGAGCCTGTTCTTTCGTTTTTCTATCTATCGACTTTTTTTCTGGGCAGAGAAAAATGTGGTCGAAAAAGTTTGTGTGCTATTTAACTATAGCTTTACGTAAGTAAAACATGATTTTAATTTTACACGGAAAGAAAAAAGTGTCGATACATTCATCTGCAGTCGACGATAGGCGTTCCACTTTTCATGTCATTGCACCATAGAAACCGTCGCTGATCGATTAGAAATAATTATTGAATTTTATCGGGATGATAATGTAATCGTCCGTAACATTATCTTAAACGAGAATTTAATCATTTTTCACCAAATATAATGCGATGATATCACAATCATTATTTTTCTATCTTTGTCAATAAATTTTAACGTAACATTACACGCGACACAGCATGTAACAAAAAGTCAGATTCCATGAAAATGAATTAATCTTTCTTTCGCTTTTGAAAACAACGCCGAACAGTTTTAATGGGCATATTCCTGGAGGAAGTCGAGGCAAGGCGCAAAATTTTGAGGGGCCGCAAAACGATAACCAGACGTTATTACAGTAAGTCTATGATAGTAATTAAAGTAGAATGTGCGGCACGTAATCGAGATTAAAAGCCTGAATGCTCGTTAAATCATTTTCAGGAGGTACAGCGATTCCGGCCTGGGCCATAACACTTTTAACGGGTATCGGCATGCTATTGCTCGGCGGCGGACTTTACGCGTTACTACAGAAATTCGTGGTAGACGCCGCGGACACTGGGGAGAGTCATTCCTATCAACCTGCGTTGCAGCTGGAAAGTTGAATTAGTTAACCCCCACAGAATCCCCAATATGATCATTTATCACTGTATTGAATAATCGACATCATAAATTATATTATTAATGCATGTAGAATTTTAGAAGAAAACTTTTTGTAGAAACACAGTGATGTTATATTCTTGCTTTATTAATCTCTGCAGGATCGTCTACTCATTCTCTTAATCTCCTAACAGGTAATATCAAATTATCGATTACCATCGTTCACCTTATATTAACGACCAATTGTATTTATTATTATTACATATGTTCATATCGTGTTTTTAAAGCGCGAAGAAAACGCGTTGCGGTCATGTTGCGATATACTTACAATTCTAATCGTTTGTTACTTAACGCGGCAATTTCTTATCAACCTTAACGTTATCGTCGATTATTGGTAAATGTGTAATTCTCATTTGAAGTACGTTTAGGTTTAGATTATTCAAATTCACATATACATTGCATTATATATATATATAATTAAATGGTATGAAAAGAGAAGTCTACAGCTTAGAATTCTCTACGATGATACTTGTCGGGATCGAAGTATGATGTAACTACAACACGATTATTAAACTTTCGGCCCGTGAGAGTCTGTTGCGCTTTTTGGCAATCGATCACGCTATTGAATTCTACGAACACCTGTAACGAAATAAAACGTGGTAAATGATATGTAGGAGCTTCATATCGATATTAAGCGTACCTTGCCGCATCCAGGAACGTCAACACCTTCGATGGGTCTAGGAATCTCCACAGATCGCACCACACCGTATTTATTACACTCTTCTTTGATGTCCTCGAGGATATCCTCGTATTCTTCTTCCTCCATTAGTTCCTCGGGCGTGACCATATTGAGCAAACAAAGCACCTGAAAGGTATTATATATTTATAAGTTCGATCGCAAAATCATTATTTTTCGAGAACAATTTCGTTTGAATTAGCTCTCACTTCGGTCGCAGGTCCGCTAGTGCCAACCATTGACAGACCAGGCACTTGAATTTGTACTGGAGCTTGTGCGCCTATCATAGGATTCTTAGCACCAACGCTAGCGCGTTGTACAATTAATTTCTTGTCCCCCAGCTGCATCCCGTTCAATCCGGCGATTGCCTGGTCGGTCATTGAGACGTCTACATATTCACAGAATGCATATCCCTTGGAGAGACCGGTTGCGGAATCCTTTACTAGATTGAACGCTCTCAGTTGTCCAAAGCTCATCAACAGCTCCTTCACCTGTATTATCGTGAAAAATGTTACTCCTTCATTCGCACAAAACATATTGTTTAAATCTATAAAATTATAGACTGTGCAACTCTGATATTAATCAATCGTAAAAATTTTACATCTTTTTGTCACATGTGATTAAGAATAATCAAATTTTGCATTTATGAAATTTAAGTAAGATTAATCAGCAAAGTTTTGTTTTATCAAATCATATCGTCAAAATGAAATAAGGATTTTAAAAGAATATTTGTACAAGAGCTTTTTAAAGAAAAAGAAAGAAGATATTACACCAGTTAGTGACAAAATAGACAATTTAATTGGATTTCCAAACAGTTCTCTACAGAAGAATTTTAGAAAGAAAGTTGCATCGCCCAGATATTAAGAAAAACGAAATATGAATGCATAGATATGCTTGCGTATCTTAATCACTCTTTCCTCGGTGGCAACTCCTTACACATCACCCTCACGTCCGACAAAACAATTTCCGCTTAATTGTGCTCCGGCGTCATTCCTTACATCGCTCGTTATTTCGAACGCCGATCTTCGTCTTTGATTTTAATTAAAATATATATGTATTAAATTTACTTACGTCTCCACGGGCTGGGAAACTGAAAACTCAAAACTTGAGATAACAGCATGTTGCTTTCGTTAAAGAACTTCTTTCAGTTCTGAATTTCTTTCGCATTCTACATCCGATAGTTACTAATTACTCGGCACGATTTAGTTGATCAAGCAACATGCTTTTATTGATGTGAAACTATTGAATCAGAGAACGCACCATTGGCACAGGAGAACCGAGAACACATCGAGGAAGGGGGGCTACAAAATTGTCGCATAAACCCAATGTACGAAGGCAATGAGAATGGTATTAAGTACTTGCCTCGAGGGACTGGGCTTAGCCTCTCTCCAGGCAGTGTGGTATTTTGTCATGTTCGGTAGTAGTAGTAGTGGTAGAAGTAGTGGTAGAAGTAGTGGTAGTGGTAAGCGAATGCTTTTGATCGGCACGACCCTAAGCTAAGAAATGGGGAGAAAGGGTACTGGTATCAGTCCACAGTTTACTACATAATAACGAGACGTTCATATTCTTTTTCTTTTTTACTCTCTTACGAGTTTAAACATAGTCCATTTGTAAGAATACCGTTTTATATTTAACTTCCTAATATCCAATAAAATTGCCGTTTCTTTTTTTTTTTTTACTAGTTTCCGTTTTTCTTTGCATTGTCATTTTGTTTTTCAAGTTTTCAATGCATTGATATATTCGAAGATCATTCGTTCGCGGTAACCTGTAACGAGGCACAAGACGAGACGTGCAGTAAAGCCTGAAAAGCCTGTAAAAAGAACAGCTGCAAAAAGGAAAAGGTATTTCCTGAAAAGAATATATACCGGAGAACTTGGAGCTGTTACCAGATGCACATAAAATTATGTGTTGACCCTGTAATCCCAAAAAAAGAAAGAAAAAGAAAAAAAAACTTCTGCTACATGTAAAAACGTTGATCTTATGCTTTTCTTGCAGACCTAAAAAGAACCTAAAAAAGATCCTTCTTTGCAACACGTGTCATTGCTGCACGAGAGTGGACGGCTCTGTAAAGGCATTTCAAATTGGAAATAGAAGTCATAAAACAGCTTTAAAGAGCTTTGTTCAAAACGTCGCACGTATCTCTATTTTATTTATTTTTGCATTTCAGGCAGAATTGAAAACGCGAATGATCGTCTATTTCCTTTAATCGATTTATTTCAATAGTCGGAACAAACTCTTTTCCCCCCTCCCCCTTTCCTGTTGGCTTTCCTAAAAAAAAAAGACTGCCTAGATTTGAGAGACTCGTATCTCCTCGTGATGGACTGGGTCCGCGATGTGCCTAGAAAGGCTGTAAGAGAGAGAGAAAGAGAGAGAAAGGATAACCGTTGATGCGACTGCATACCCCACCTAAATAAATGCTGTAACGCCACTAATGTTCCCTAAACTAAATATGCCACATTGGAGAAACGACGAGATGCGAGAAGTAATAAGGAAGTTCCACAGGAAAAAACGAGAAGCGGATCTTCCGAAGATAAAACACAAAAACGAGAAGGGAGCCACAACGTCCGAGTAACGAATCTCTACCTAATGAGGAACCTAATCAACGCCGAAATCTTGATGGAAACGCATACATACCTCTGTTGAACTTAAGAGTTGGAGGTTCTCGGTCGTTTGTGTTTATGTGAGTGCACTCACTGCTAAATAGCTAAATACCTATATTATAATTTAGTCCTTTGAGGGTAACTTGTAACGCAACACAGGATTAGCATGCGTGCGTCCCCACGCTAATCCTGTGCCGTTGCGACATCGCGATGCAATTTTTCGTCGATCATTGAAGCCGATTCTCTCGATTGACCAAAAGTTTGTGCCACTGTCATTAGTAATGCAATTCAGATTAATTGCGATTGATCGGAATGGGCGTCAATGGAGAAGAACTGCATCCAAAGGTGTGCAATAAATAAAATTATTTCACGGATTTGCCGGCATACCTGTTCCTCATTCAAATAATTTGGTAAACCACCAATGAAGATCTTGTGCGGCGAATCTAAAAGAGATATATAAGCAGAATTAAAATAAGTGCAAATTATCATCAAGCGGTCATGCAATATTATTAAAAGATGAGAAAAATGTATGTTTAAAACATACCAGGAACCGTACCTGGCACGTTCATGCTTGGATTATCGGTCATTCCCGGCATTGGCTGATAATCATGCGGCCTTCTTATCTTCAGACTCTGCCCTTTGAAATTTATGCCATCGAACGCCATAGCCTGCGTGGTTTCGTCTATCGATCGGAACTACATTTTAAAAAAAGAAAAAAGGAATAAAGAAATGTTGCTGGTACTTAAATTACTGATCGGCATAACTAATAAAAATTTATAATACATGTGCACATCATATCTTTGAATGATGTGTAAAAAGTATACAGAGATATATCTGATATGTGCACGTGATAAGTTATACCTCCAAAAATGCGAAATTTTTGTCTAAATTAATTTGACACGCCAATACTGGATTTCCAGCAGCTTGCGCAAGTCCGGAAAGATGCATCTGTTGGTTAAAGAACTCCATCATTTCCTCCTCAGTGACGCCGAATGGAATGTTTCCTACGTAAAGTCTTCTCGCTTGACGAGTAATGGTGCTACCGACTACGGGTACAGCTGCCTGAGGTGTGTCCGCTACAATATTTGCAGGTATCTGACCAGCCGCTTGCATAGCCTTGTACTGTACAGACAAAACATATACATATACATAGATGCATAGCATTAAAAGTAATGTCGAGAGTGGATCCGATAGCAAGTAATCTTGCCTGCAAAGGAGTAATATGTTCGAAACCAGGCGGCGGCACATCCCAATACAAAGACGGTTTTCTTCTCCTGGAGCTGCGACTCTTCTTCGGCGAATTACTCCTCTTCCTGTCTCTGCGATCTTTGGAGCGAGAACGGGAGCGCTTTCTGCGATCTCGACTGCGCGATCGGTGCCGCCTGTCGCGATCCCTATCTCGATCTCTGTCTTTGTCCCGATCCTGTCTATCGCGCTCTAGATATAAAAGTAAAAAAAAAATCGGAGCATAGCATCATCGTCGTCCATATTACATAACACTAAATACAGTTGATTAAATTCACTTGTAAGTCAGTTACGTATGTATTACTAGGTTTTACATCAAATAAGAATAATGTTTAAATGATATACAATGAAATTAGTGGACAATACATTCTCAGCAAGTGTTGATATACTTGTTCAAATGCGGATACTTCAAGTCGTGCGAATTTGTTGTGACGCAAACGCGATAGAAGAACTTAAACAAATTTGACATTTAAACAACGAGGACCCTTCCCCATCTCGAGAATCAATCGTTGGAACTGTTTACTAGCTTGTATTCAGCCATTACGTATCGCAAACAGATCGGCTGGCGAGTTAATAACGCGGGAAGTTGCGTCGCGGCGACGCGTCTGACAGCGGGACGCGCCAGCTCGTCAAATCGCTCACCTCCGTTAAAATCTTCGCCCATTATTGGCGTGCTAATACTTCGCCCGAGAGAACGCGCGACGCTGAAATGTAACAAAATCCAGGAACGTCAACTACTTCTAAACGAATCTCCTCTTCCAAAATGGCGTGCGGACTGCGGAGTGCGGAGTGCGGAACGCATAGACCATAGACATAAGAATACATAGACGTAGCACAAAGTGCCATTAGAGTCCTATAATAAGAGAACTGGTAGCTCGCTTGCTGATTGGCTGACCGCGGCCAACAATCAAAACAAGAGAGAATTGGGAATTGAGAATAGAGAATTGAAAATTGGAAATTGAGAATTGGGAATTGGGAATTGAGAATTGGGAATTGGGAATTGGGAATTGGAAATTGAGAATTGAAAATTGGGAATTGGGAATTGAAAATTGGGAATTGGGAATTGAAAATTGGGAATTGGGAATTGGGAATTGGGAATTGGGAATTGGGGATTGAGAATTGGAAATTGAGAATTGGGAATTGGGAATTGGAAATTAAGAATTGAGAATTGAGAATTAGGAATTGAAAATTGAGAATTGGGAATTGACCACGTCGTCAATTGATTTAAAATATAAATATCTGATTTGTTGGTTCAAGGGAAAACTCCAGGCGTCGGGGGCTGTGGTCAATCGCTGCGTTAAAACGGGACGCTCCCTTCTGCTTACCGCGCGAGTTCAGGGGCCGTATTCTCTAACGAGAAACGTATTCGCAAACTCTAACAGAAAGGCTGCAAATTGATTGGCTATCGCACAGTTTTTAGCCAATAAGCTTGCAGCTTTTCTGTTAGAGCAGAGTTTACCTACGCATACGTTTGTCGTTAGAGAATCGGGCCCCTGATTGGCTTCTGCTTTCCTGCTTTCTGCTATTCTACCAAGGTGTAAATTTTTCCGAAGTACGTGGTTCTCGAACGCATCCCTGCTGAACGCGCCTATTATTTCTTCTGCAGGGTCTGCCAGCCTCCATTCGCCACCTTTTACCCCTCTTGGACTCGCACAAACCAGTCCGAACAACGAATACACACTCACATGTGGGACACGTACACCTGCAGCGGGCCACCACCCTTTTAAATGCATTGTCAACAATAAAGCAATACTCATACATCTTCTTTTTCTTTTCTTACAGGTTTAATTATATTACTTCCCTACCGGTAGCTAGAATTCTTATAACAAAGGCTCTTGCACAATCCCTTGCTAGTCAATAGGGAACAGGTTCCTTTTTCTTCTTTTAACTCTTGTTCAAATATGGCCAGGGCAAACCAGTATTCTTAATCCGTTTAGTGGCGTTGATTACAATAGACTACTGGTGCTTTTCGATTATGTGATACTTTAACCCAAGAGATTCATTACAGAAAGAAAAAAGGAAGTAGGTAGAAAAAAGTATATTTGACGTCAAGAAATGCTTTTAAGTAATTTTAATACCAATATAATTATAATCCTACATGAATGAATAATCTTTAAAATACCCAATATAAAAATTATTAGATAAACCTATCTTTAGTTCCTATCTTTATTTCTAGTTCGCCATAAAATAAAGGGATCTTTTCTTATGGGTCTTCACATTAAACGAAAAATTATGAGAATTAACAAACATCTGATCTTACAAAAATAGTCATTTATTATTTGGGATATACGAGTTTAAAATGAAAGGGATAAAGATGTATTTTGAACCAAACATGTGTGTATCTTTTGCTAACAGTTCAATATTTCTTTTTAATTAAAACAAGTTGTTAAGTCATACATTTAACTCTATGAAAATTATGTACAAAAGCTGTTTTTCTTCAACTCAAATATTGCATTACCTCTATATTTTAACATCGACTCTTTCACGTCATAAAATCATTAGAAGAAATTTTCACGTTGCTCACGACGACGACCGGATTATGCTCACAAGATGAAACAACGTTCCACACCTCGATGGTCCTCAAACATTACCGACACTTTGATTCTCTTGTGTGGCTGAAAACAATACGCAGTATATTACACACATTTTGTTTATACAAAGGTATACAGTTATGCATGACACTATTAGATCTTATACCTTATACGAATATTTACCTTTGTACGAATATTCCAAAGCGGTCGCTATCGTTCTCATGTCTCCCTCTATGCTGCGCGCCCAATTTTCCGCGTCTCCGATCTCTTTCAAGGAGCTCGAGAAGGACTCCACCAAATTCAACCACAACTGCGTTTGCTTGGCAAAATTGGTCGCGCTGTGCTGCAGCTGCTTCGCTTCTGCGTCTAGTTTCTTCTGATTCAGATACGCTTGAGCTACACTGTGACAACGATATTAACAATATCTTAATCTGATTTTTCGGAGACAATTCAAATCACGAACACAAATTTTACTTACCCAACATTCAAGTGATCGACGAGGGCTTGTGTCAAGTTGCTCGCAGCCTGAACGGCATCTTTCCGCTTTTGCTCTATTTAAATCAGTTCACAGTTTCATTTTAAAGATCATTGTAACCATCTAATGTCCATTTCTACTAATGTAGATTAACTATAAATAATCTTGATCTAACTCGCTTTTTATATCTTTCCAATTCTAGAATTATGATAAGATAAAAAGTAAGTTAAACCGAGTTTAAAGTTTAATTTACATTAATAGAAATAGACATTGGGCATATGATTAGATAATTTACACGTCTCACCTTGCCTTTCTTTCCTCGCAGATTGCTTGCTCTGGTGTTCCTTCACAATTGCGGATAACATCTCTGCTGTTGGCTGAAACTGTATCAAATATCCCGTTGATTATTCTGTATATGCTTAAAATAAAACAATTATATATATGATTAGAAACAGAGAAGAAGCAATCGCGAGGGAACCAAAACAAACCTCTCGCTACGCCTCCGTTCTCATATATATACAGATCTGCGCAATTGAGAAAGATCGTAAACACCTCTTTAATGAGCTTTAAAACGCCATGCGATCGACGTCCAATACAGTCCAATGCTCCAATACTCCAATGGAAGATTCTCCAATCTCCTTTCTAGTTGCCCCCACGAGCATTTCGTCACCAAGCTGCCCGTCCAATCCGAACCGTCGACCTGGGGTCGACCTCGCGCGCGGATTCATGCAGACGGGACATATTTCGTGCGACGACGGGGCCGACGGGACGTTCGGAGCACCGACAGATGGCGGTTTCAATTTTTCTCGAACACACGGACGAAGGGTGAGCGGGGAGGGCACAAGGTTTACACGGGATCATACGGGAGGACGAGGATCGTCTACGATGCCGACGGGCCCCGCTTGCGCACGTCTTACCTGTTGATAATCGACTTTCGAGCCTCGGGCGCGAGGGAACGGCGATTCGGAGCGACGGACGCCGCGCGGCGTATCCTTCGGTGAGTCACGTGCGCGATTCGACGTCGCTCGCTCGCTCGCTCGCGGCGGCGGCGTGCGTTTTTCATACGGAGCACCGGAGCGCGCGCGGTGCCCGTGGTGTCGTGTCGAGTACACGCGCACCCGCGATCCGCGTGCCTTCATGATCGGGAAACGTGCGTTGTCACTCGCGCTCGCACGTACCACCACGTGCCGCACTCGTACCCGCGATGCCACCCGTCCGCACGCGCCGATTCTAGAGCCAGCTTTTGCCAGCGACCAACCGGGGATCATCCGGCGACCGTTCCGCGCCGGCATCCACGAGGACGATTGAAGATGTAAACGGCACACTCGGCGACGTTCACCCGTGGAACTGAGAGCCTGCCCCTCCTCCTCCCCCCCTCCCCCGACCCCTTGGTACTTTCTTTTGCGAAACGGCGTAGGGAATCATCCGTTTGAGGACAGAGGATGGCGGTGTCGACGGTGACGGCGGTGACGGCGGTGCGCATCACCCTGGAATGCGGGCACACGTCGATGTTACGTATGCGCACCACTCCTGAGGGATACACTCACGATTGGGAGGTGTTCCTGCGTGGAGTGGACAATACGGACATACATCATTACATCGAGAAAGGTACGGCTTTCCTTTGCGCTGTTACTCCCTTCTCTATCATTGAGGTCCCCAGGAACGTGCGTGTTTACATACCCGTATTCTCTTCATTCTGGTTTTTTTTCTTTTGTTTACATCCCCCTCGAAATCCTTGATAAACCATGGCGCATCGTATCTTACAATATTTACGTTATCGATATGGCAAAGTTATTTTCCTTCAACGTTCTTTCAATAAAGATGGTTTTTATTTTTATATTTTTCAGTGGTGTTCACTTTACACGACACGTTCCGGAATCCTAAGAGGGTGTTCAAAGAGCCACCGTTCATAGTGAAAGAATCCGGCTACGCGGGCTTTCTAATACCGATCGACATTTACCTGAGGAATAAAGAGCCTGACATCAAGAAGTTTCAAATATTGTACGATCTGCATCTACAGCAGAGCGGCCCGCCTATTAACAAGGCCATACGTCACGTAGAAGTATTCACTAATCCTTCTGACGACTTCAAGAAGAAGCTATTGAAAGGCGGAGCTGTAAGTATAAATTTTTATACGAATCTTTGTAGATTATTGCGCTTGTATCATACAGAAATGTAATATGTAATAAGTGTCATTACATTAAAGCACAACGACGTGGTAACAGTAATTTTTTCTAATTTCAGGTTGTAGTAGCCAGTAGAGACAGTTCACTGGAGAAAAGTGATACAAAAGCGTCCACGATGGTTGGCAAGCCGAAATTAAATGGCAGCGAAAGCAAGAAACATCGCGTCACCGAGTCTAAGACTTCTAATTCGTTTCACGAGTTATTTGGCACTCCCATAAAGACAGCGTCCGTGAAGATATCACCGGATAGCAAAAAGGCGAGTCAGTCTGATAAAAATTTAGTTCCTAAACCTATAGCTGTTGCCGAAAAATCTGACAAAGCGGAAAAAGCAGCAATTAAATTGAAGGAAAGTCCTCATAAAGATAGTAAGAAAGACAAAATAGACGAGAAGAAAGATAAAAAGGTTAGAGATAGTACTAAGGATCAACTCAGGAGTAAAGAGAAATCTAAGAGACCCCCTAGTCCTGGAAATAAAAGTCATTTGAGTCCTGGGAGCAAGAGATCAGCGTCACCTGTCGTTACCAAGAAGCCGTTAAGTCCATTGCCCCCTATAAAACGACCTGTATCTCCTAAATCAAAGGAAAAAGAAGCAAAAAAAATTGTACTAGAAAAGGAGAAAGATAGCAAAGAAAAGGAGAAGGTAAAAAATAACTCGAAAAGTGACGTGGATTCTTCAAAATCTGAAAAGAAGAAAGACAAGAAGAAACACAAGGACGACAGGGACAAAGAGAGGAGGGATAAATATAAAGAATCAGAAAAAGCTAATGTTAAAGATGTCGCGAAGATAATCGAGAAAAAACTGGAGAAAACCGATAAAGCAGAGAAATCAGACAAGGAGAAGCTTCAAGAGTACAAATCAAAAGACAGTAGAAAATCGCCGAAACCTGGGAAAGAAAATGATAAAGTGAAGGATGACAAAGCGGTGAAAGAGAAGTCAGAGAAGAGCGAGAAGTCGGAGAAAGTAAAGGACGGCAAATATGATAAGGATCGGCCGAAGCATAAACATAAAAAGAGAGAGAAAAAGGATAAACGAGACAGCAAGGACCGTGAGAAGAAAGAGAAGCGTGATAGAAGTAAGGATGAGAATGAAAAACAGAACAATACGTCGTCATTAGTCGGAAACCCATTGTCGTCCCTTTTGACGGAGATCCCGGAAAGAGATAGTAGCGATTCAGCACCTTCGGTAGACGATGATTCGTTACCTGAAAGCAAATCTATGCTTAACGCCAAAAAGGACACGGAGCACGCCGTGATATCCACTATGCCAGCGGAAACAGCAAAGCCGCCGTCTCCTGGTATATCGGTGGAGATGAAGAAGGAGAAGAGTGACCGTAGCAGAAGAGACAAATCCAAAGGAAGCCGAGGCGAGGAGAGAGAAAATCGGAAAAGGAAGAAGAGTAAGGAGGACGACGAAGGCGCAGCGAAACGTGAAAAGAGCAGGGGCCAATCGACTTCTCCACCTTTGGAGCCGGTTTCGTCGAGTCAATCTCCAGTCGCGATGGACGTTGATTCCATTCATCATCCGGAAAAGGAGACGAAGAAGGACTTTAGGAAGGAGAAGGACGGTCATGTTGTCAATATGGCTGACAACGCGTTAAACGACAAGGACGCTGATCCCGAACAAGCGGTCCCAGACTCTACAAATAGCACAGATGCGGAGATCAACGAGCCGCCGGTGTTTTCCGAGGATTATGTATCGCAACTGAAGGATTTGCAACAAAAGATAATGACATTACAAGATAACGACGAGCTGCAAAGAGTCGTACAAGTAATTGCAGAAACTGGTCAGTACGAAATCACTAAGAAGACATTTGATTTTGATCTGTGTGCATTGGATCGTAGAACTGTGCAACGTCTTCAACAGTTTTTCTCTGCATCGTGACCATCTGTAATATAAGGCATGAGACATATTAATTTATACAAGTGTACTTGTAAGATCATACGTTAAGTCACACGATCTTACGGCAGACTTTTTAATGATAAAAAAAAAGTAGTAATACATGAGACCCCAGAAGAATTTTTCAGTACAGTTTTTCAGTTTAATCGTATCGTTGCAATAACTTATGCAAATTAGAGATGCACCATTTGCAGTAATTTGTGCAGGTTGAAGACTCATGTGATAGTAAGTATAATGTGTAAAATATAAAATATTTTTTTAGTTCTTTTTCACAATTCGTAAAAAAAAAGTCAGCAATTGCTAGCATATTGACCAAATTTGGCAAATTTTGCTAAGAAAATACGATAGCAAAGGTCAAGTAGAATCTGTAACATAGTCCAGTGCAGATTAGTGATAGAAAATCGAATAAAATCTGCTAAATGTATTCTAAACAGATTGGCAGCAGATTGATCAAACTAAATTAGATTGGTAGAAATCGAGCAGAATCTATCGCTAATTTGCCTTCATACTACGTTTAATAGATTCTGTTTGATTTTTACTGCTAATACACCAATATGCTTCTGTCAAGCTTCTCTTTCTTCTTCTTGTCTTTACCCTCGCTTATCTTTTGCATCTTTTTTTTTGTTCATATTTAGGTCGATCATTCTTTATTTCTCAGATTTCTTTTTTTTTTCTAACTTCTGTTATTATAAATTATGTCTACATTATAACTCACTAATAATTTATTTAAAAGTATAGATTCTATTCAATATTAAAGCTTCCGAAAAAATTTGTTTGCTTTTAATTTCGTGAGAATATAAAAAAAAAAACAGAACATCTAATATTTAACATTAATAGTTTTTGTTGTCTAAAATTTAACGTATGTAACAGATATAAAAATTTTATTTATATGAAATGTGAAACATTTATCAGATATGTATAAATGTCCGACTATATAACAGATGCAGCATATGAACATAGATCTAAGTACACACAAAGATACAACATATAGAATAAAGATTCATTATGTACGTACATGAAAGATACAATATGTACAAAGATACAACGTATAAAAAAGAGCTCAGCGTTAGATAAAAATTTATCCAATATAAGAGATAGAACATTATAGAAAAGTCTAATATGTATAAATATTTAGCGCTTTGCTATTTTTAGAATATTCGCAATGTTCTTTTGGGGTATTCAAAATCATCTTTATGATGCATTTATTATATTATGTGAACACAACAAAGTTGATTTCATATAGCACATGTGTCACATATAGCACTGATTTAGTAACATAAGAAAAGCTGTTTGTAAGGAGGAAATATGAGTATCATGTTTGCTTTATAATATAAATGTGTAGATATATACATTTTCCTCTTTTTAAAATACTTAAACATTGTATTACTAGATCATCATAAGCCTAGTATTTCTGTGTTTAATATAAGCATTTATAATATAATATTACCTTATGTTATAAATATTATTATAATTATGTTATAATATTATAATAATTATATAATTATATTATAAACTAATGTGTTTATATGCTAAACGTAGAAATACTTGGCTTATTATGATCTAGTAATGTACTGTTTACTTTGAAAAGAGAAAATGTGTACATTTAAACGTATTACAAAGCAGAAATATTCATATTTAGGATGATCTAATATAGCGTATGTATTTATGTATGTATTATATATAACGTATAGGAAATGAAAGAGTTATGAGATAACTCGTGTGATGTTAAGATATATTAGATAAAATATCACATAAGCACTCTCTCTCAAGAAATTCTCTCAGAAGAAATTATCCCAACGTAATATTTTCGACTTGCAGATTGTACCATTAAGTTACACAATTATATTGATAGGGTGTATCACTATTAAATTTTTTTTTTAAATCAGTCGCAATTGTAATATATCTGATATACATTCTGTACCAAAATTTAGAACGCTGTGAGTGTAATATAATTCATCGATATGCTGTATAAATTCACTTTCTACCTCTCTTTGCTAGCTTTTTTTTTTTTAATTAAAGTGAATTTTGTGTTAATTAAGATTGGCGTACTTATGACATCACATAAGCTATCTTCTTTTACTTCGTAATTCACGCTAATCTGTCTAATTTTCGCGGTGTTGAAAAATGTATATAGTACAGTGGATGTAATGTACAGTATCATAGACCAGTCATAATGTTACGTGCAATTGATACATCAAACAGTCTAATGTTTTGATAATATAAAAATAAATAAATAGTAAAATACGTGTATATTACATAAATTAAGGCACTATGTACAGTCCTCTTTTTTTGTGGTGTATATTATTCATAAGAATGTTAACAAAGAGCGTGAAATATCGCGCATTTACGCAGTTGTATTTCGAAAAGTATGCCGTTGTCTATCGAATTAAATGTACATATACTGCGTGTATATGTGTGCGTGTATCACGTGTATGTGTGTTGCGTATGCTATGTCGTTTGAAATACTCAATGTTATGTCGTTCTGCATGCATTGTCGTAACAAAACACGAATAAATGAAAGAGTGTCTTTTCAAGTAATGCCGCATCGAACGCCTCCGGGATCTAACATCTTTTAATTTCTTCCTTATAATAATTCTTCTAATTCTATGCGTTCATGAGAATATTCATAACAATCCACTCGCGAGCGCGCGTATTTATATTGCTACTTACTTACGTTATTCAACGATAAATATGTGTAAAAGACTTCTTATTTTATTTTTAGAAACTTAACTAAAGTTAATTTGTTTTTTTTTTTGTTGTTTTTTTTGTTTCCACCCAAAGAGACGCTTATAGATGTATATCCCAGAAGATTTTACAATTTGCTTGAAATTGAAAACGATATTTATATTATCAACGTGAAGGAGAACACCGTGAGACGTTAAAGTAAAAACTAATTGTATGTGTGAATCGCACTCATAAATTGGATATTAAGAGAATGCGGTTTTTTGCCATATTGCCTGCTAGTAAATTAGCTCAGCGCACATATTTATGACTGTAAGATTATTGCCAAGTATCGCGGCTTAATCACAAATCGTATGGTTAATTTAACCTTAACCGATACGTTGTTATCGAACTTATCTTCCTTTAACTCCATTTTTATCGCATAATCGGCGTTAAAGATTTTTTGAACTTCTTTTGATGAATGTATCAATCACGATATATGTATAGTCTCTATGATAGCATGTTAACGCGCTTTCTTCGGGTAATCAAATAGTAAGGTATTTTTTACATCGGCCAGAAGAGATAAAACGATAAGACTAAACGTAGTCCTTTTAGATGCCTTTTTCAGAGCGATTTTTTTTTGTTATAACTTTGCGATAGGCATTTTTTACGAATGTCGATATTAAATCAAGTTTGCTCGTGCTAATTGAAAATCTCTGTCATATTATGGAACATTTACACGGATATTTAGGATTTGTGCTTATGAATTAAAATGTACGTGTTTTTATCGCGATGTGTATACCAATACACTGCTGCGTATGATTACGCAATCTTTTTCTACTTTGCGATTACACATCCTTAGCATCATCTTTTCACCATCTCGCGTTAAATATAGTCCTTTAAAGCTCCAAATTATATTTAATATAAAGATCATCCTTTATATATGTTATCGTGAGCTGAATATCATATAACGTTATCCACAATATTTAACGTTGAATGTATGGAACATTGTTTTTTTTTTTTTTTTTTTTTATGATCATGTTCGAGTGATGATACGCGATGTACGTTAATAGGAATATTATGTGAAATACGTCTGAGTACTTGATCTAATCATTATAGCATAATATTTATAATTGCATACGCATAGTCGCTAAGATCATTGTATTGCATTGTATTGGTTTTGTAAGAATTTCTAGATCAATGTTATGTAAAGTTCGTAGGTGCACAAGTATCATTTCTCACGAGTCTTTATTTTCTGTATATATAGTGCACGGAATAGCGTGCGAAATGAGAAATGCTCGATGACTTTGGAGATATAGTACAAGACAAAACTGCTCGACTTATATCTCATTTGATGATATACGTTCTATGTACATTTATTAAATATATTAAAAAATAATAAATGTCTTGAGAATAAAGTGTGAATGCTTTTTGACACCTATAATCCTACGAAATTATTATTGGCCGGTAGAAATATTTATTCTTACAAAGAGATTATAACTTAAAAATCGAATATTTTATTCGTAAACTTAGATATTTTTAAAATTTATATTTAAAGGTATGAAATAATTGACTTGTCGTGCTTTAAGTACGATTCTTTTTCGTGCTAAGAAAATTATGCTATTCTTGTGAAAGTCTTGAAACTTAAAGATCAAAATACATTTAAGAATTTTTTCTTAGAAATTAATACGCGATATATGGAAATATTTCCACTTGTTGGTTCTTCTCTCTCGAGTTGTTTGATGATTACTTACAAGTTCAAGATGGAAGGTCTATCAATTTGAAAGCTTAAGCTCATTTTTCTGTGAAATTTTATCCAATATTGTAATTTTTAAATGGTGGGGTAAATGGTTTCCCTAATGGCCTATGAAGGGAATTAAATTCCTGTTCACAGCAAACTCAATTTTTTACTTGCAATATTCGAAGGTTTATATATCGCTTTTAATGAACTAAAAGCACTAACTTTTTTCTCGCATGATGAGGAAGTTACACAGAGATATCGTGAATACATCAGCATTGTACAAAGCAGTAAAAAAATCCGCGCAATAAAAATATCTCGTTTGATATTTTTATTTCGGAGCAGAAATGCGCTTTTATATCCATTTATTGAGTTTATGTTACTGTTTATTGAATGTCCCTTAATCTTTCGTACAATAAATGTAACAGAGTTGAATTAATCACGACTTGGTCACGTCGATAATTCCATTATAATAACAACATTAATTACGAAGGACGTGAGTGTAGTATGTGTGTCATGTTCGAGGCATAATTTCAACCATGGTCTCGCCTTTTTGTCAAACGACTCGACATATCGAGTCCTGTAACGGTTCGCAAAGAACATAGAATGTTTGATTTCCCGACAAGAAGATTATTAGGCACAAAGCATAGCGAGATAAAGTAATCTAATATCCTGCCAATTCGGCGAACGTCGAGTCCATTTCGTCGGCCAATGACTTGTATCTGTCCTTATTGAGACCCAATTCATCTGAAATGCAAGATAATTTTATTTCTGTGATATACCGTTCGTGACAGGAACTGATATTTATATATATTTAAATGAAACACGTGGAACACTCACCTTCGAGCCTATCAACCTCCTTCTGGAGTTTCTTGACGGTCTTCTCGGCGAACTCGGCGCGGGCCTCGGCCTCCTTCAATTTGACCGTCAAAGTCTTCAGTTGGCGCTTGAATTCTTCGACTCGTTGATTGGCCTGAAAAATAAATATTACCTTAGAACATAAAGATTAACATTTTAAATAAATTTTGAATTATTTAATCTATTTTTATTAATTATTATAATGTTTACTGTTCATACTTAAGAGTCCACGTGCATACCTTTTCTTCAGAGACTTCCAAAGATTTCAAGCTGTTACCAACGACCTTCAACTCCTCTTCCAGCTCCATGATCTTGCTAAAGCAAGAAACAGAGAAGTTATAAAAATATGATGGAGTTTGTTTTACTTATTTGTTTTGGCATTAAGCCAAATGATCTGGCACTTACGCTTCGCCGGATTTCACGCGATCCTCCGCGACTTCGAGCTCGTCCTCAACGAAGGCCAGCTTGCGCGACACTTCGTCAGACTTTCCGTCAGCGTCTTCCGCGAGCAGGCGGGCCTCCTTCAGTTGGTTCGTCAGTTGGTCCATCCTCTCCTCGTCCTGCTGCGCACGGTTTTCCAATACTTTGCACATACTGCAATTGTATCACATTTCGTGATATATGGTACACGGACGGGTGTGGGTCAATTAAATTGTACAATTACCGGCTGGACTCGTCGGCGGCCTGCGAAGCTTCGGCCAGCTTAGCGGTCGCGGTGTTCAGTCGTTCCTCCGAACGCTCGAGATCCTCCTCAATAAGTTGGACTTTACGATTAAGGGCAGCAACCTCGGATTCAGCCTGGAAGGATCGAATGTATATGAAGACTAGGATATATTATATGTAGGATATTCCACATTACGTGCACTATCGTTTTTTTCATTTGTTCATAATATAAAGTATGAAATATATAGATAACGATATAATAATAATAATAAAATAATAATACGTCTCATTTTTAGTTCAGGAATATGTCATTAAAATTACAGACGCAAGTTGTGGAATATTCTGTATAGGTATAATATATTAAATACATATAAAGCTTACGTTGGTAAGAGATTTCTCGCGATCTTCGAGATCCTTGTTAGCCTGCTCGAGAGCTTGCTTGTTAGCTACCAGATCGGCTTCAACCTGAGCTAATTTTTTCGTGAGATCCGCGACTTCCTCGAGAACCTTATCCGCGCGCATATTCGCATCTTTTGCCTGCCCTTCGCAGGTGTCGGCCTTGTCCATAGCATTGTCTTTCTCAAGCTTCATCGCTTGCATCTTCTTCTTGATGACATCCATGGTGGCGGCTTTGTTTCGCGGACCGTACCAACGAAATTACCGAGTTTGCTGAAAATACGAACGTTCATGCTTAAATTTCCATCATCGTCGTTGACAAAGGACGCGCGCGGATTTGCGCTTTCACGCGAGATAAGTGCGCGATTTTTGAGCTTGGGCGGCTGCATTTTCGGCACTCCGAAAATATACATGCCGCGGGATCGAGCACGGCTTGCGAGCCATCGCGCCCGACGTTCTGCAAAGCCATAATTCCGGTAGGTGATCGCAACGCGTAAGCACGAGGAGGAGCACGCATCGGAGCGTCTACGGAAATAGCATCTACAGCCCGATTCTATAAATAATGTGCGGAACGACGGCGGCAAAGCTCTGACGCCGCGCGCGCGGCGCGCAAGAAGAGGCCAAAACGTAACGAGTGTAACCCAGAAGAACGGGCTTTACTTGGCCGCCACCGTCGACCGACATTCGATCTAACCGACGCGTATTAATAGCATTTTACAAAACTTCGGCGGGTCCTCCGTGCGATCGCGGCCTCCTCGCGCGAATTTTGCGCCCGCGAATATCAAGCTACTTTATTTTACGTATACGGAAAATTCTCGTGCATTTTTGTGGAAATATGGTAAAATTGACGCGCGATAAAATTAACATAGCAAAATATTCAATGTCAAAGAATGAAATCACAATTTGTACAGGAGAATATTATTATGTAAATTTGAATATATTAAAGGTAATATTGTGTTTTGTTATACAATATAAAATCAAATTTATTATCGCGAAGAGCAGATTTAATGCAATGCCTAATACATATAAAACATATTAAAGTAGAAATACCGTTAAGAAGATAGCATGTAACAATATAATATATGTTATATTGATTTTCAATATGTATAAAGCTATCTCTTAAGTATCTGCTCGCCGCTTAAAATAAGTATTTCTTTCAATCGGGAACAAAAGGATCAAGTTACTTGATGATTCATTTTAAGAAATGTACAAATTATCGTAAAATTGATTAAAATGTTATTTAACTTGTAACATCTGACTCTGAGATATTAATAACTCGCTGAGAAGCTGAGCTATCGATCACATTGGTGTCAATCATCTGATGTCAAAGTGACGCAACGCCATATTTATTATGTCTATCGTTGAAAAAATTACAACAATTTAAGCGCAAATACTTTTTTCACGTGTAATTTTTTTACTTTCGGTCGAACGAATCGATAGCTTTGTCATGCAAAAAGGGATATTACGACAAAGTGTGTGTAACGTAATAACGAATTAGCGCATGCACGCATTTGACAGTTACAAATGCTACTTACGGCATTGTTTTATGTTAAGCCCGAAAGCAAATTCCTGAAGCGTTAGCAGAGCTGTTATTATTTGGCAGCGGTTAGAGAATCTCGCAAAGCAGCTGTCCAGTCTCCAAGACATCTTCGTGAAGCGAATTATATAGCTTCCTGTAAGAAGTTAAACGTCGTCTCCGTCGTCCAATAAAAAAAAAAATACAATATAAATCAGATCGGACAGATATACGCAAGCTAGATTTGCCGTCGAAACGTTAGAAACACAACGTTACAACTATATTGTAAATAGTTGTCGGACGCGAACGACACAAAAACGGATCAATTTCGAGCACTAAATAATTATCTCGGCACTGAATTGTTTTGATTGCAATCTTTCCTAGAGCACTTCCTCCTCTTCCGCGTTTTCGCACATTCTAATAAACACTCGTACTTTAATGAACATAAGCGCGTTTCTCCCGCGGTACCTCTCACTGATCTCACTGTGACGATCAACATTCCGCACCGGAGGGTTACATCGTAAAGATTACTACTTACGATCACCGCTACAGATACCGACGCGGCAAGTCGCTAAAATCCCAGTTAAAGCCCCCTTTAAAAGATCAAGTGCTGTTGATTAATTCAGCACTATCGGTCGTATCCGATTTATCCCTGTCGGCGATCCGATGCTTCCTTCGCCACTTCCGCGCCGTTTTCCACTCGCCAACGGCAACTCGTTCCGCATCGCGCTGTCACGGGGTAAAGCGTAAAAGACAGAGAGAGAGAGAGAGAAAAAGAGAGAGAGAAAGAAAGAAAGAAAGAAAGAAAGAGAAGCGAAGCGAAGCGTTTTCACTGCGGGAAAAGCGCGATTATCGACGACGATGAATGCACTTACCAAAAATCCGAGCGATCGGAGCAGCGTGAGACGAGTATCTGAGCGGAGAACGGAAAAGCGCGCGGCGGAAGGACGCGCGTGTGTCGCGTCGCCCCGGGGTGGGGATCCCAAAAATGGCCCGCCGCGAGCCCCCCGTAACACGTTTATTTTCTGCTCCCGCGTACGATCCGCAGACGATCCGTTCGCACCTTCAATCGCCGTCGCTGGAGCGCGGCACAGCGGCACAGCGTTCGGTGGATCCAGCATCCGCGCGCTCCAGGATTGCGCGACGGCTTATTGCGCGAACAGCTCTCTCTCCGCCTCTCGCGAGAGGGTAAATTCTCGGCGGATCATAGAGTATAGACGCCTTCCGAAGTGCCCGTTTACGATTTCCGAGTGAGAGAACGCGGTCGCGCACGAGTTTTACGTGACTGTGAGGTTTCCCTTGGCTTTGTTAAATTATAACTTGCTCCAGATTCGTGCCCTCTCCGCGATAACTGTTGCAAAGTTTAACATGACAAGCTTTCATTTTCTATAGAAAAAACGAATATATATACACTTTTCTCTACAATTGCAATTAAATATAATTGTATTTTAAGATAAAACTTTGATGGAAAGAAATTTTGGTTCACAGAATGTATTCTCACATACACACACACACATACACAGTTGCTTATAATTATTTTTCATTTATTATTATTCATAACTCATTTGTCGAACAAAGAATGCCACTTATAAGCACATTGTACAAGTGTTTTAAAAATATTTACAAACGTTCAGATATATATTTTTGTAAGGAATAACGTCGTAGAAGAAATACCTGTTCTCTCTCTCTCTCTCTCTGTCCCTCTTTCATATTTCCTGTTTTATTTCCGTTTCGCGCGGCGAAATCATTTTTAGAGATCGCTCCGCTTCGCTACGTTCACCTGTTGCCAGACATTTATCATTGTGAAAAAAATAAATCTTTATTTTAAGGCCGTCATTTGAAGTTCCCTAACTAGTTCTGTTGATAAATGTACAATGAGAAAACACGACTGCGCAAAGTTCGAATTAATCGGATAATCTCTTGTCTTCGCACGTAAATTCGCGGCTTACTTTTGTACGCGCAGTTACGTATGTATGTACATACATAATAATTCTGTGTTAACCCCTTACGGCGCAGCGTATAGTATACACCGAGTGTACGCGTTCGATAAAAGCCCCGCCGCGATGGCTTATCAAAATTTATATACCTTTTGAGATTTTATTGCGTCATTCCGCGCGGGGAACTACTTCAATCTACCACCTCTATAGAATCCTTCGTGTATTATTGCCGATGAAAAACATTAAATTCTATATTTCTCATTTAAAGGGAATAGAATATTTTAGAATAGAATATCTATTTTTACACATCGTTAACGCACTTGTTTTGTGAGTGGCAACCTTTTGCGACGGAAAAAAATGACTACGCGGTAAGGGATTAACGGGAACAGGAGCGTTGATGTAACGCCTCTTTTCTCGTACGCTCAACCAGCTGGTCAAAAATACTCTTTTAAAGATATTTCAAACAGGTCCTCTTGACTTCGAGTATAGATAATTAGGAAGAAAACTGTTCTATTACTTGTTTGTGCTTATTGACCTTATTACGATAGAATTCATGGAGAGGATCATGCTACTTCGCAGTCCTGTTTAGAGGAGTGTAAAAAGTGATAGAAGTCATGAAGGGTGTTAGATATAACGTCATAATGTACCTAGCTTGAATTATAATGCGAGGAGCATAGAAATAGTATAACAAAATATATGAAATATTTATAAAACAGCTCCTTCCAGCGATATTTGTGAAAATATTTCATATCTCTCTCAACGTTGACAACGCGTCCAATCGAAAATTCGAAGTAATTGTACTTTCTCACGATTATTAACCTTTCTTCGCGCGATAGCTGCATGATAAACCAGGAACCAATGAATACATTTCCGAAGAATATATTCATATTCAGATATTTAGATTTTTAGATATTTTTCCATAGTTAGATCGCGCGTCTGTGAAACAATGGAACAATTGAGCTTTAATAATTTTTACCCTTTTGCCTTTTTAGCACCTGCGGCACGCCGACGAATTTTTCACAAATAGCGGCGGAAGTGTTCGAACGAACGTAGTCGTGCATGGCCAAAGCCGTGCCTTATCACATATTTTCAACGTCGCTCTCCCTATATACATGTCTGAATTAATCTAAGAAGTAACTTACAGCTAGATGAGACAGATTCTCAGTGACGCAGCTTACGATCGACACGCATCCCCGACGAAGTAGGCTCGAAGTTATTTTACGCCTAGTAAAGTGACGGGTCGCCGCGTCACTTCCGAATCGTCGTCATCGTCGTCTCCTCTGCGCGCGAAAACGCGTTATTATATTTAATTTATATGTCTACTTAACGAACATACTACGGATACTCTCTAGATTGGACGTCGACGGTGTACATTGAAATTTGTTGTGCACATTATTGCTACCCTAACTTTCGAATAAACGGCTCGTAACCCTCGTGATATCCCATGGAATTGCTTCGCGTGACGGAGATGCGCGAAGCGTTCGACTTGTTTTCAGCGGAGACATGCAACTTAACGTAATAGCGAAGACCCAATATACTCCTCAAGCTTGCGCGCTTATATATGAGCATGAATTAAATTTACGTGTACAACTATCTACAAAATTATATATTATTTAATATTAAGTAGAAAACGCTTCGTATAGGTTTATAGGTGGTGTAGGTTTTTATAGGTTTTCTGGAAATTGCTTACGCAGGTTGTAGAGACGGCAGGATAATTATAGTTCTCGATAGTCGAATATTATTTCAGAGCGTACGTTTTCAACGTACATATTGTAATCATTAAATTAGAATTACATACGACAGGCGAGAGAGTTTATTTTATTCAAAGGACGAATATATTACTTTGAGAACGAAAAAAAGCAGAGGCGTATAAAGTCAGGTATTATCCTGTTTGGCAGTGAGAAATGCCTAGGACAATATACGTATAATATCGCTTAACTCTTGAATGCACGACGATTTAATAAAATCTTACGTTATACGTAATGAGACGTTTGTAAATCGCAAAAGTATTTGAAAAAATTTGTGTTTAAAAATACAATAAAAATACTTTTTATTGGAATATATTATCTATTCATCACCGATTTAATCGTATTAAATGATAATATTAATATATATAATATTAATAAATTATATATATATGTCGCTGGGCATAATATCGTAATCGGATATTGATATATATGTGTATTCATATCATGATAAGGTTTAAAAAGTATTTTTATATATAATACTTCCTGCTTTCTTTTGCCTAAACAGAATATTGTAAGCATATTTGCTCTGATATGCATATTTAGTCAGTCTTAATTTATCTCATCTTGTGATCAAAATAACCGAATGCATTCAAGAGTTAAATTATTACCAACGAGATCACGAATTGACGTTAACGGCGAAAGGAAACGTAAATGTCAATTTACGAGTAATCTAGTATCGCGTCAACGCGGTTGTTTACGTTATGATTATATTACGTGCCGCTTGAATATGCATGTGCATTATCGGCCGTGATTTGAAATTACCACTTTTTGATCAATCTCGTAAATATCATCGTTGATCTCCATTTCCATTGCAGACCGCGCGCTCAATAGCCCCCAGCAATTTTCTTTTTTGTCAGAGAACGTCCAGTTTTATTTTATCAGAAATTATTCCGTTCTGTCCGTAACATTAAAGCGCCGGAATATTTATCCCGATGAATGTCTAACGGTTTGACGATGTCGCGATTAACCTGCCAATCAAACATTATTGCCTCAAGCCTGTTGCTTTGGAATTATCGCGTTGTCGGTTGACCGATTAGCTCTCGTATACCAGCTCTCGTACAAGCCTCCGAATTGAAATTTTCCAGACTATAGAACTATTTTATTTGCTAGACTTGCGTTTTATTCTTCAATCCGGCGTTTCTTCCTTCCGCATTTACGTCAAAACGAATTTTTCGAGCGGGACGCGAGCTCGCAAATTAACCAGTTCAGCTATCGAACGGATCGAACTTCAATGAGCGTGACTCCGGAAGACGTCGTAACGCCTGGTACAGCGACGCATTGTCGGCGTCGCCGGCGCTGAAGCGGTGCCACAGCTTGTTGTCGGGATCCCAGGCTGAATTGGGCGGCCTGTACAATCGGGGAATGTGCCGAGCGTTGCGAGCAATTCCAAAAACGTAGCTGTCATTTCCTGAAATCGGTTCAAAAGTATCTTAAGATCGTCCGGCGATTCTTATCGGCAAAGCGGTGCCGAGTCTGTGTGCCGACCAAGGAGACAAAGTGAACGACCGTTGCTGCATGTGCCGCAGAATTTGAAACTGCGACAATTATTGTGAGATTGACTTATCGTACGGTGAATAAATGAACTTGTCGGACGTGTCATGATATATGTGATTATTTTTTTAACGCAGAGATATTTTTGCCAAAAGAGAAAATGTCCCTCTGGGAAAACACATGTGGCTAACTTGCGCACAAGTAAATATCCCGTGTAGGACGGTAAGGTGAAAAGGTGTCCCCTTTGTAGAGTAACTCATCGGCAGTTCAAGTCCGCCACCGCGCAACCCTTTACTCCTTGTGTAAATGTACGAACAGGGACGCAGCCGCCCCCGCAAGCGAGATATCTCTGCTTCATAAAACGTGTTTCTCGTAATAGAGAGACGTTTTCCGCACAGGGGAGCATTTTCTTCTCGGAGAAATATCCCTATTGCGAAAACGTTGAAACGTATGTTCGTGAAATCGTGTGAGTGGTTATCCTTCCCATGATGAGCCGTATTTCTTTCATAATATATGAGATATTTCATCCACCGGGGAAAATATACATTTATTTCCTAAGAAGTATTATTTTTCCAACGCGCGCGTGTATCTTGCCTACCCAAGAGACCATCCCTCTTTCGAATGGAATCCATCCGTTTGTATCAAGTCGTTGTTTTAATAAGCTCCTGGCAATCCCTCGCGACTTCCTTTTTTTTTATGTACGAGTAGCTGCCTCTAACTCTAATGCGTTAACGAAAGTATAGCGCTTGGGATAAAATTACCTGTAGTCGGAGATTGCGAGGGCGATTGCTGCGGCGAGCCCGCCAAGGGTGATAAGGGTTCGTAGGGCGGCGGTGGAGGCGAAGACGGCGACGGCGTGGGCGACGGCGGTTGTAACCTGAGAACGACGTCCGGATCGAGGCCGAGGGCCTTTAGGGCCCTCCGGGGATTCGCGCGCACCCACGTCTCGAACAGATCGACCGGCCAATTCGTCTGCGTCGACGCGTCGATCAATCTCGCCGGCGGATTCCAACAAATGGCGTCCGGGGGATGGGACGAGCTCCTCGCGAGGACACCGCTGCCGCGGCTCGCCGCCGGGGTCGGCAGATTCGGATTACTCTGGGGTGAGCAGGCGAGCATCTGCAACGCTTGAATGGCGTTCCGCACCTGTCGATTCAACGCGCGTCATTTTAATCTCACGGTCAAGCTCCCCTCGAATAATCCGGACGTTTTGCATTTGTCCGAATAGAAATGAAAAATAAAATAGAAATTAAAAATTCAGTTCTGCAAAATAAATTTCTCCGGATCAGTTTCTCTTAAAATTCATTCGTTTCTTGCACGACTTCGTAGTACGACTCTTATTTAAAGCCAAGATGTCTTGAAGGACTGACAAGCACCGGTATAGCTAAATAAGTGCAAAACAATTTTGCATAATGTCTCCGAGCCGGATTGAAATGAAGGATTCCGTATAATGTACCTCGCAACTGAGCGTCGCAACGTCCTGGTGTAGCGTGGAAAACTGATTATCGAGTCGCTCAACCGATCCTCGGATGTGCTCCTCTACGGATTCTTGCGCGATCACTTGCGCTGCCCTACCTCCTCGCAGCAAGACTCCTCTTCCCGCTCGCCTACCTTCTCTATAATCCTCCCTGATATTCCAAACAAAGTTAACTTTACTCCTCATTACACGGGTATCTGATCTGAAATATCGAGAACGGGACGATATCGGAATTGCGACGCGAGAATCCTAAAGTAAGAAATCCAAAAGTGGTTTATACACCCCGCAATTTACCAACGATATAGGTATATCACCGTCTAAAGCCGAATCGAACGTGACTTCGGGATATTCTTGAATTTCTCGAGCGGAAAATTATGTTATTCTACAATTGAGGACTTCTTTCTTCAGAAAGGGTGTCGATAAATTGCTCGCCTTACAACCGAAGGTATTTTTCTTACACCTCGCCTTTACCTTGCACTTAAATGCTACTTAATAAAATACTTCAAACCACTATTGAAAAAGGAGTGTTCTTTTTCTGGGAGCAGTAACATATTGGCTGTAGATATTCGATAAATAAAAATATTTAAATATATTTAAGCTTTCATTTTCCTCGAAAGAGCAGGTTGATGCGAAAAAAAAGTTTAGTCGAGAAAAATGGAAAGGCAAAAAATCCTAAACCACTAGATTAACTTTTTTTCCACTCTCATGGTCTATCCATTATCTCAACCTTTTTATACCGTTGAAATTTTTATCTTGCCATCGTTTACAACATATCTTCCCTTTTTAGCTTTCCATATTTTATAAGATGTTCAGTGACGAGATGTTTTCCCGAATTTTTTTTCAATTTTAGAATCCCCTTTTTCAATATAGGGACTTACCTGAACTTGGCATGTCGCGGACTCGAAGTGCCGTGAAGTGGTGATTTATTTGGGGGCGAGAGGGGAGAAGTCTCGCCCTCCTCGGCTAGGTTCTCATCATCCTCGCTGATGGAGGGCAGTGTCAATGACGGGCCATTTACATCGGACTCCTGCTAAAATTTACGCGACAAAGAAGGCTGTTAAATTTCACACCTGAACGGAGCTCAATGATTTTTGTGGAGTAATAAAACCGTTTTCGTTTTCTTTTTATAATAATAAATTCTTATATTAATTCTCATATTATATATATATAAAATCTTATATAAATTCTTAAATAAAATTCTTCTTATAATATAGATATTAAATGTGTAATATTTTCTTACTCCTTGTATACATCAAAATATACGTAAAATATATAAGTAAAGCATATTACATTCTATTTAAAATTGAAAATCAATATCTTCTGAAATATTTCAATAAATTATAAAATATTTAAACCCTTTTCAATGGTTCTCTAAATATATCTTCAATAATTAAAATGACATCTGTTATACCTTAGTAATTCTACCTCTCTCTTCCTTTTCGTCACTCTCTCTCTTTCTTTCTCTCTTAAGGGAATATGTAAAATTAATTACCTCCGCCTCGTATCCTTCACGTAAGTTGTACGTAAGATCGTGTTGTATATCGTGCGCAAACTCATGTTGATACTCGGGGTAGAGTCGAAGAACTTCGACTAAGCCCTGCATGTGTATGCACTTCAAATCGCAATATGTTAGCGCCTTGACATCGCAGCTGGATTTTACTATATCAACTGAACCAGATCCAGTCGTACCTCCGCCATTATTCCCGTGTTGCAGATGAACATTTATATCGCAACCCACTAAATCTCCCTTTCCTTAAAGAATAAGAAGTCAGGGGTGAGATCTGCTCATACCCAGGTATCAAGACGACGTTTAAAAATGTCTTAATGACGTTTTATTGACGTTAGAGACGTCATTAAGACGTTATTAATACGTCATTTGACGTATACGTCACTCTGCTACCTGGGTAAATTAATAACTTCGTACATTGAGTTGCGTATTAATTTAAAAAAATCTCAAACTAATCTCAAATTAACGTGCTCAATATAAAACGTTTCAGACTTAAGCATTATCCACAATTTGGCAATGATATTAATTATAAAAAAAAATAAATCGCATAAACCCGAGTTTTATTTGCGTTTTATTTGTTTGTTACCTAAAATCGCGACCACCATGCTGTTTTGCACAACTTCCATAGATCCGTTACACAAATAATAGATGTACGAAAGCGCATCGCCTTTGTGGATAAGAAATTCGCCGGGGGCGCAAAAGTTATTTCTGATATGCAGCGAGAGTAGTTTTAGACATCCCTGTGAGGCGGCTTCGAATATCGGTAAACTTAAAATCTCTCGATGAAGGTGCATTGAAACATCTCCCCGTAGTTCCTCGGGAAATTGTTTGAGGGTCTGTAGAAAAATTATTACGTGTTGCGATGATGAACAAGTATTGTAGGAATTTGCATCATTTTTATCATTATTCTTTTCATTTGTTGCTTTAATATAACAGAACTTAGCGGTATATATTGTAATATTGCTTTAATTAAAAAGAAAACAAAGCACGGTATCCTTTTACCTCGTGCACATCAATACCGTGGTTTAACGACCACATAGTCTGAAAGTAATCCTGCATTCGCTGCTTGAGCTCGTCCGGGATTTGATGTAAGATTAGAAAATCTTTGAGATCCCGTAATTTTGTTTGATATTGAGATCTTCGAGAGTACATTCTTTGAATAATCGCAGTAACGTTGCCGAATACCACAGCGTGCATAAGAGCTGAAATGTAAACCTTACAATGTGTGTAAAATGTTCCGATTGAGTACATGGAACATAATGATTTCACGTTAAATCGCTATCAATATCAGGAAAGAGATGATTCTCGATTAAATAGTATAAATGAAATTATGTTAAATGTGAAAATTATATAATACTGTAGGAAATTTTACGGGCAAAACATATGAATCTCATTTTTCATCGATAAATTAAATAAAACTTACCCCCAATTAACATCGTGCAAATAGAGAAGAATTTCTCCGAGAACGTATTTGCCGAAACATTTCCGAAACCTACGGAAGTCAGACTACTGCAAGTAAAATATAATGCCGTTATGTAGCTCTCTGTGTGCGTGACGTTTTCCACTGATATTTTTAATCTCTCAGCCAGGGTATGTATCCAGCCTAGAACATATTAACGGCAATTCCAGCGTTTCAGTTTAATGGATTGTTTATCATTTATTTTCGTCTCGCTTGAAATGCTAACTACTACTACATTTTCATGCAATTTAATAAAAATATTATCCAGCTGCATAAATATTAATTTTCATATTGTTTAACTTTTCTTTTTTGCATTTATTATTTGTATTTCCATATTTTACGTTTGACACGTGGAACTTATACTTTTATATTTCTATGGAGAGACGATTCTTATGCTGAAACAGTTTCTCAATAACTATCGGATAACAATCTCTACAAATCTTATGCAAGAGCTCCCATGTCGATAGGGATCTTTTCTATAGCTATACAGATCAGTTCGCGCAATTCTACGCCGGATGTGTAGACATCCTTTCGCAAGATAGATATAGCGTCGAGCGATTTTTATAGGTCACGAAGTCCTTAGATTGTTTTTGTATAGATATACACTATAGAGATTACTTGCGTGTTCTCGAAGAATTGGCAATCTAGCTACTTTCACGCACACGGCATTTCGCATTTCCCATGAAAATTCCACGTCGCGGAACGCGAACGTATACTTGCAAATAATAATGTCGAAGTTGCTCCGGGAGACTTACCTAAATCCCAATCCTTGTCGTTCCGCAATCGCTCCTTTTCGGCGATCACGTACCAGATGCAAGCCAGCCAGTGTGCCACCAAGATGAAAAATAACATAAGCATCGTTAAAATTACCGCGCTGTATTGCGAGTATCTGTCCATTTTTTGTAGCAGTCGCGCGAGTCTGAGTAATCTTGTGAGTTTCACTAAATGAATGTTACTGTGCGCTGAATCCTGTAACAGAGATCGGTAAGGAACATTTATTTAACTCTGGCACCTTTTTAACGACACACATTAGGACATCTATACAGCGTCTCCGAGATGTTAAACGCTGTAGTAATTTTAATCGTATATTTTATTGCAAAAACAATTTTGTTTATTTTACATATTTAATAAATCCACAATTTTGCGCACGAGTGCGAGTGGTTTACTAAATTGAAAATAGCAACGTAAGGGGATATTTCGGCAACGGGATTTAATAGTTAATTTTGACATAAGGCATCGATTTTGTATTAGACTTGGGGTAAATTAATTAGTTTAACTTCATTAGGTTGATGCTTGGCGGAAATTTGAAATTAGCAATTATCTGATATTAGGGCGAGAAAATACATACCATTCTACACAAATTTCTCCGTCGTAATTCGAGTACTCCTACTTAGATTTTCGTCTTGCTTCAATATTTTATTTTAATTTTAATTTTATTTTTATTTTAATTTAATTTCCATATTATTAAAAAAAAAAACCGAGAAATTTTTCTTACTTTAAATTAAAAGTTAGAAAGTGCTGTAAAGAGTTGAATCCAATCTCTTGGAGATTGCAAGACGAGATTGCAGATTCATTATTTTACGAGAAAAGGGCTTATCGCGTAAAAGTCACTTGCTACTTACTAGAAATTGAGCTAACCCATAAAGCTATTTGTAAGCGGATGGAAGATACCTACCTCGCCACTGTAAACGTCCGAGGCATAGAGAAAATCAAACGGCAATGCCGCTACGAGGTCAACAAAGAACCAGCCTTTCACGTAATTCACGGCGATGCTTCTGCTATTGCTGACTACTTCGCCCTTCCTGCTCACGTACGTTGTTCTGAAGTTCAAAACGATATCTGGGGAGGAATAATAAAGCATACATACATTCGTAATGCACATGGAATCATCAGGATCTTTCGCACGTACGAGAGGGTATCTGAGGGTAGCTACGACCTTAAAATCTCGTAGAATCCCGAAAGTTATTATTATATGATTAAGGAAAGTGCAGGGATTTAAAATAAGATCTTAATTTAAATATTTTATAATTATAACTAAGTACTCTTTACACTTTGATTTAGCCGCAAAAGTTTGTTCGGCAAGTCTTGCTGAACAAATCGCAATTACGATCCATTGGTTTGTGTGAATTGTCCCTGATTAATCTTTTTTTTTTTTTGTAGAAAAGTGTCAATTAAGCATGTTTTCGTCGAGCAGAAAACATTGTTTTCACCCCTGGGGTGCGACAATAATCGTGATTGCGAGCAAATGTAAACGCGGAGTCTGCATGTACGTAGCCTAACTAAACGAAGAGGCTTTCCTGCTTGTTGTCCTACGCCGAGTTTCTATTCCTACAAACGCATCAAGCAGCTCAGCGAAACTTCGGCTTTGTGCGATGAATGCCTTTTAATCTCATTTGCAAATTGAATTTCAGCCGCGAAATTCACGTTCCACGTCCACTTATCCGAGAAGTAACTTCATTTAAAAGTCGCAGATAGTCGATATTTTACATATCACGTCGATGCGCGCGAAATATCGTTATTCGTTAATCCTGCATTAATCGCAACATGATAAACTTATTTAAAGACTCTGTCATTAAAACGTGTTGTGCACGCTCTCGCGTGCAAGGAAAGAGAAAATAAAAAAAAGTTCGTTCCAATTTGTAATGCGGACGTCTTTTAATGCGAATTTTATCAGACCTCGTTCAATTTCATGACAGCGCAATTTCGCTTGACAGTTAAAATTCGACGTTAAACCAGCGAGTGTATTGAAAATGCTTGTTGTTTATTTAACGTGGTTTGCAACACAATGTATAGTGCCCCACGAAAACGTTTGCGTCAGAATTAGCCTGCAGTCACGATATCGCGAACGATTAAAGAGTTAAATCAAAGGATCGGCATTATAATGCGAGCTCGTCGTTTAAAGGTTTCCTCAAGGTAAAACCCGCTTTTCTTCCATCGTCATTAAATCCCCTCTTAATTGACCTGCTCCATTATCCGGTAACTTTCTTTCGATGTTGTCGAAAAAGTTAAAGTGGCTTTGTTTACTCGATTAATGCAGATTTAAACGCGTCGCCGTCCCGTTATTCGGCACTCTCGAGACCCTCGTTGTCAGTCAGTTCGGAGCTTTCTTGGAAAAACAATTTGGAAAAACATTCGCGCGAAAACATTTCTGGTATGTTTTCATTTGGAAGAAGCTGCGAGGGTTGAACCGATGGACCACTCATTATAACGCGATATAGAAAAAAGGAGGGTCGCCGAGAATGCCTCTCTTGGTTTCGATCTAACGAGCTCCACGTGTTGCGAATGATTGGTGGACTTTTCTCATTTCCTTCCCGGAAAACATTATTTCAAAAGGGCAATCGATTTCTACGAAGTAACGATTAGAGATCTTGATTTATTTTCTTACTTGGGAAAAGCGCGTTCACTTACGTGATTGTAGTATAGATATACAGCGCGATGTTTAATGGGCCGATACACGTAATTCGTTGATGTTAATTTGAGGAACAATATCGAGGAACGGTGAGCTAATTAATCTCGTTTATCGGCATGTCGGAATAAAAGCGCGTTAAGATCGTATCGCCTTTTTTTTTTTTTAAATAGAGAATCCGTTTACCTGGAATGATCCAGGAGGATTACGGTTCAGACGGGAATCTCATCAGTGGGACGAAGGGATAAAGAGAGGTCTAAAGGGCAAGAGGGTCGAAAATTAGAGGTAGGCTATACTCACCGATAATGAAGAGCACTTCGACGACAACGTCACTGACCATGGTAGGCCTATCAATGTTGATGAAGCTCGCGTTGTAGGGAACAATTATTGCCACGTAAAAGGTCGCGATGAGAATCAACCAGTCCCAGCAGGATTTAAAACCACCGTAATGGCTAAGAATAAATTGCGACTTTTTGACGGTTGTCGTTTTGTATTCCGGTAAAGGCGGCGCGGTTGAATGCAGAAGCGTCTAGAATAATATGCAATGTAAAAGTAAGAGCTTTCGCCCTGAGAGTGTTACTAAATTTCTTGGCGACGAATATATGTATATAATAACGTATTTAATAACTTTGAAGCTTCTTCTTGCTATATTCCGGTTTCTAAAGAAGACTTTGCTCAGTAAAGTGTCTTTATCCGACTATTCAGTTCCAAATGCAAACTAACTTACGAAATGACATTCGTAAACGTTGAATGTGTGTGTTATAATTACTCGAAAAATAAATTCCTCTTGCTGGTATGTATCTTTATTGGAAATGTGTATATTATTTTAATTTTATTCGCGTATTTCAATTTCATAAACGTAACAATTATTAACTTCCAGCATAATAAACATATTATTACGGGTAATAAGTTCTTATTAACACGTATGTACAATATAGGCAAATGAAAGCCAAAACGCCGGTAAAGTTCTTATTATTTTATAAATTATCGTCCCATTATAATTTGATCTTTATATTTTCATGGCAGTAATTTTGAAAGGAAAACAAGTAGAACGTACATTGTTTAGCTTAATTTTGTGCTTATTGTCCTGCTTGTAATGGCCCGACAGTTGATAAAGGACGGCGCGACTTCTTCTTCTACCGTAATTGGAAGGCGGTGCCTCAGGGTCGATATTGCCATTCGAGTCTGTGGAATCGTAAATTGCGCTATTATTGGACCAGAGGAGAGAGAGATTATGTACAATCGCATATAAATATCAGAGTATTCTGATAGACAAAAATCACGCAGAAAGCAATACTTAGAGGAAATGCAAACAGAAACGCACGCACGCACGCACGCACGCACACATATTCAATAAAACACATACATACATAAATATAAATAAATATATATATTATATTACAAAAGAAAGCGATGAGAATAGTTTTTTCTCTTGAACATTATTATCTTGCAGCAATTGTAACTAAGCGAGATAATGAAAAAATCGGTATATACATTTAAAAAAATAAATATAGCATTTGCATACACAATAAATAAAATCCTTCTTGCATAATAATAGAAATTCCAATTGGTGAATTTGTGTTTTGTGAATATCCTGTAAAGTTTGTAACCGACTAGTCCAGTCTAAATTGGTATTACAATTCCAACTCCAATTACAGTTCCAATTCGAACGAGCACTCTTATTAACGATAATACCACGTGTAATCCGGAAAAAAGAATACTTTATTGACGAATGCGGGATTACAGCGGATCGGAATCTTTTTCAAACAGCGAAACAGTTCGGTTACCAACCCTGGACGTTGCGATAACGATTTGTGCAGCGTGTTGCGTGTCGCGCGTGGTGCTCCAAGTGTGGGCTCGTTAAAACGCGTCTGTGAGAGAAAGACGGTAAAAGGGCCAATTCCTACCCATCCTGCGTTGCGAAACTCGTAAACTCCGAATTCAAGTTGTATTTTTGGCACGGCGCCGTGAGAGAGAACGCATCATTCCTCATTAAAATCGATCCACTTGCGCGTATTTAGCAGCGAAGCATGGTTAGAACTCACCACTATCGTGCAACTCACAGAGCTGAAGGTTCTTCGTGTGCGTGATGTCTTTGTGCGAGGCCAGGAACAGAACGACGTCGCCCTTCTCGTTTTTTATCGGGACAATGTCGAGTAGGCAATCGAATGGACTTCCTGGACACAAGTCGAAAAGAACCGTTTACCGAATGCGAGCGGAACTAAAGTAATATCATTGGCTATCAATTTTAAAGCAACAAAGTTGTCCGTAGGGAACGCGAAACGATAAATTGCTCGCCCCTGAAAGCTTCGCGTTCCGATAATGGAGCTTCGTGATATTTGCGTCAGCTTCACGGTAAACTGTGCTGTAAAACGTATACGCGCGCGTGCAAAAAGAATGTAACGCGAACGACGGATTATGTCAAGTTTTTTTAAAGCGAGGTATTTTTCGAAGAATTGCGAAACACGTCGAAAAAGTTGGGAAAAAATGAAACACGTTGGTCACCGCGCACCGCGCCAAGCGTATGAAAATACAGCGTGATTACACAACGGGAAGATAAGATGACGTTTTATTAGATGCCTCCCGATGGAATTGCCGCGAATGCGCGTTGGTATGGCTTACAAAAGGAATATCGCGTCACAATGCAGACGGGAATTTCCGTCGCCGACACGTTCCTTACGATCCTTTCTTCGCGTCTCTCTCGCATTTAAAACTGATTTTTTTTTGTTTTCGACACCTTAGCTTTTATTCGCGTTTATGGATGTAATGCGCGAAGCTCGCTGTAAACTGTAAACGACGATAGAAGATAATAAAATTTGATGATTTTGTTTTCTAAAAAGGCGTAATGAAAAAGCAATCACCTGCCTTCCCGGGCCGTTACGTCGACCTTGCAAGTTCATAAATTAATAATTGACTTACAATCTTAATCACGCGGCCAATAAAAGAACTTAGTTAAACTAGATCACCGGAGAAATAAATTCTGGGTCGAGATAATAACACGGAGTATATTGCGGAAAGCCTCTCGATTAACTTTACTGTAGATTGATTTTTCTCGCTGCGCGAAGGAAAAACGAATAGCGCCGGTCAGCGTCGCAGGCACGAGATTACTTCATTTGGTCTTGCATAGTGAGTTTCCTTGGAAAATATCGTATTCCTTAATGTCGCCCAAGCTCGAAAAATGTAAATTGATAATGACTTTCACCATTGCGTGGGATATTTCTCTCCCACTCTCTATTTCTTTCATTCGCTCTTTTAAATACAAATGTATCTCATTGAAGGTTCTATATTCCTCGCCATAATACATTACGTTATTGCGTTATTCATATTATATTTTTTTAATTTTCCATGTGATGTAATACTTTTTTTTAAATAATCTGTTATTTTCGACTTTTCTATATTTTAAAAGATTGGAAAATTAAATATTATAACAATAAAATTCTAAGATGTACAATTTAAGTAAGAAACGTAATAAGAGCCACGTCGCAAATGGTTGTAATTTTCCTGAAAGACCAGGAAAGATACGTATCGTAAAATATGTATAATCCCCTGTAATGGAAGTGAAGGTAATCTTTTACGACGCTGGCGTATAATACTTATAGCGCAATCACCCGCACCGTTCAGAAACATCCCGTCATTGGATATCTTGGTAAAACTCACCGCTCTTCTTGTAGAAGACAACCTCCATTTTCAATTCCGTCTTGCTCTCGAGGCTCTTGTCGATCATGGCCTTTTCTTCCTCCTTCGTTTCCGGCCCATAGAGAAACTTGCAAGCGCAACTCTTTTGCATGATTTGCGCTCGCGCGAATCCTGTCAGCTCGCAGAATCCATCGGAGCAATAGACGATCGGATAGATCGTCGGAACCTGCGCATTTCCCAGTACAAAGTTGCTGTCTGCGAACAGAAGTAGAACAGGTATTGAAGATTGATCGCGATTGATAACGATAAGAGCACGCTGTAAGCACGTAAAAGTTATTTGCCAAAATTATATCATCAGAAATTACTCTATATACATATATATATATTACATAGAGTATATCTATATATATTAGATTATATAACATATATATAAATTGTAGAATGTCTGTCTGCATATTCCCTATTAACCTCTTGACCGATATGGACCAAATTTTGCATAATTACTCTCATGTTGCAATAATATATGTGTGTACTTAATATAACGGAACAAAGTGATACGCTATACACTATACTATATTATATGAATTTGTTAATTATATACCACTATAAATTAAATTCAATATGTTATATATTGTTTGATTTTCTCAAATGCTGATGTTCTAGATATAAAAAGCCTGTGCAACGCCAAGTGATTAAGCCAGTAACGTACAAAAAAAATGTCAAAATGATTTACCGCCATCAGTTTGTTAAATGTATTCCACGAAATTCTCTCTTTAACATCAACGTATCGAGAAAAACTGTACATAAAGTGCCAGTATCTCTTCATCCGATTTTGTCAACCAACATTCTCTTCTATAATTTTGTTTTAAAATACATATATGTTTGCTTACGCTCGCATTGGATTTCACGCGATGCGAAAATGCACCTAAAAATCTGACATTTTAATGAAACGCCATAAAGGAGAACGCGTGGTGTATGTGGCTTTCCCCTAGGGGCATATTTTTAGCCGATAATCCCTTCATGGTTCAATTTTCCCTATTATTCGTTATTCGTATTAGTTCCTAATTTTCCGCGTCGCATAAAGGGTGACTATAATCATCAAACGATGCGGCGTCGTTTCCGGATGCTTCCTTACGATCGGACCGGACACTCACACGGGACAAAGGAGAGCATGCAGGATGTGCATGTCCTGCACTGATAAAAGCGTTCCTACACACGTGAAGATAAAAGCGTTCCTACACTCTTAACTCAAAAGAGAAAGACGCGTAGGTACGTATGTATCGGACGTTTCGTTTGAAAAAAATCACACCGTTGTTTTACGCTTCGGAGTTTCGCTGGCTCTGACATCCTGGTAGATGCAGCAGTTTCCCCACAGTTCGCGTAAAATGACCTCGTTTTACCAACGAAATTTATGCTCGAGAAAACGCGCGTGTTTGCAAAACAATATCGCATTAACCGCTCGTCGTATTAATTTAAATGCATCTCACGAGTTACGCGTTTTCCATCTTTACTCGCATTAGAGTATGGCAGGAGTCCCTGTATAATTAGGTATCGCAACATTTTATTTAGGATTATCGTCATAATAGGATGCGTCATTTGGTATGCCGTAGATAGGATAAAACAAGAAAAAATCTCAAGGTCAAGTGCAATATATTAAAAAATAGCGTCGCTTTTACCCTTAGAAGCTGACGATGACGTCAGAGTCATTGACAAAGCTACCGTCCGACGACCGAGATAATTGACTATGCAACGTTTGCATCATGCGCTCTTTTTTTTTCCCCCGAGACGTCATCAACTTGATTTTATCGACAGCACAGTTAATGGAAACTTATGTAATTCTTGGTTGCTCTCGATACGTTGCGTCACTGGCGTTGAAAGAGTGATAAAATACAAAACGTTAGAAAGGCTTAATTTGTAAGCTGGTGGTTGCGGTGATAAATCGATCGACAAACTACTAAACGATTATTAGCGCGAGTGGCAAACGAGTTGTCCCAAGTGTAGTTTCGCCCGATTGCTCCGGAGGCGGTAACACCAAATAATTACCGAGGTCCCACGAGGCTTCCGAACCCCGGGCAAATTGCGTAAGTTATAGCCGGAACGACTCATCACAAATATAACAACTAATTACGTGCTATCAAAGCGATGTCGATCGAATCGATTTCTTTTTCGCGCACTTCCAGCTATGTTGGTGTAACGATCGACGGGTTTTCCGTTGATCCAATTTTTACTCTACCAGGTTTCAAACGACGTGTTTCCCCTTAGTACAATCGGATTTTTCTCGAACGTATCTAAAGAGGTGTATTGGACGTACGGTAGGAAACATTGAGCTGCCTTCTGTATTTCCCGAGAATTCAATTATTTAAAGCTTCAGTAATCGATGTTTAAATGATCTAAAATTTTGAGAAATTAATTTTGCGCTTTAAAAATACAAATGATTTTTGAAAAATCATAAAACGATCTGTATTTGCCAAACGCGATTACTTGTTTGTTTTCACACTCATTAATCCGATATACACGCAGTGTTTCATATTTCATGGACTGATGGAGATATATCAAGCTGTGCATATTAATTGTTATTTGCAATTTTACAATTCTCTTTCAATAATCACTCGTTACAATTTCGGCGAGCAGTGACGACAAAATCATTCGTGAAAATTTTGAAGGGTCGTACAGTTGATCGCGCAAATTACAAAAAAAATGAGAAAATGTAATTTATTTAATAAGATAAAGATCAAATGTATTAATTTTGACAATTTATTGTTCATACAAAAGCGCGACTCGAACTACTTTCGTGGTATATCAGTGGTTTCGATAACATGCACTTATACGCGAATTTAATTAAAACAATGTTTTAAGCTAATTATGGTAAATTATCACGATTATAGAGAATAGCACGCGATACATTTGTACAATGCGCATTCGTTGCTATCATATATACCTACTGCAGTCACGTTCCATGTTGTCTTTGGCTTATAGAATATTCATGGATTAAAATATACGTGATGTTCAGCCGAAAATAATAATATTATTTTACACAGTGCCAGTTTCAGTCGCGTGTCATTGTTTAATCGCGACCTTATCATGGCCATCATGGATTTACAGGGATATTGTAAAGGTATGGGTATACTCGCGACGACCTTGCGAGCTTCGTCACGTTTCGGGGATTTATGTTACAAGTGAGTTTTCGAATAGGGATAATTTAATGGGATATTAATTTTATAGCCAACGGTAAGCCCCTCTTCCTTGGATTTTCATGAAAGACGATTCCGTCAAACTTTCAAGGTGCTAACTTCCAGGCGTCGGTGCTCCCGTAACGAGATTGCGGAAGAGATTGGCGACGGTCAAAATGGCTAGCGTATTTATTTTCTGAGATTTATATATTTGACGATACCGTTCGATCAAAATGACATTGTCACAGTTATACCTTCCCGATTGAAACGCAAAGTGGTCAAACGTCGAAACTTGGCTCGAGGCAATCTAACTTGGGCCAATATTCATCTCCGAGCTCACATAGAGCGATAGGTATTCTTGCGCGATATTCTCGCGAGGTTAAAACACATTATCAGCGCGACCGCGAATCGATATTTTATACATACAGCCCCTTCGATATTACGCGAACGGTTATTGACCTGCCAAAGGTGAGCTATCCATTGTTTTCCGCGCTCGCGTGTTGCATCTCCGGGCGGGTGCAGCGAAATGCTGTGGTGTGCGTTACAGACAGCGAATGGCTAATCATAAGCGACGATAGATTTACAGTTCGTCAAGTATTGGAGTGTTGGAAACAGAACAATGTTACCCTTGCCACTTCCAATGTGCATCTGCCAAGAAACTTAGTTGTAATGTAATTTACTACAACTCGATTATATGTGTATAAGACGCTACAGTGCGCGTTTTCCGTCTTCTTTAGAATTATATTCGGTACAGATCGCGGATGCTGCATATATACAACAATACACAAAAGAGTATGGCAAATACAAAAGCGAATATAAAACCAGAAATAATAAGTCGCGGTTTCAATTAAGCGTTTAAATAATTATTGCATTTACGCCGAATTTTATGTGGACATTTTAAATTTATATATAATATTTGACAATTTTTCGATAATACGCTAAGTTTCATTATTAAATTTTTAAAATGTTTAACAACTTAAAATATTAAATAATATCCAATATTTTAATATATATGTTATATATTAATATTTTCAATTATACGTAATATTTTAATAATAATAATAATAATAATATATATGAGTCATTACGTTATTGAAAATTTTAAAATATTGTACAATTTGTTACTACTATTGAACTACCGGAAAATATATTTTTCCGACTTTTGAAATAATAAGGTTTCGATTATACAAGATGATGCGGCATACAAATTTCCTGCTTATCAAAGTAATTTCGAGACAGAATGGTTTATTATTCAAGCGAGTTTATTACGAACGATACCGGTAACTTGGCAATCTCTGTTGGGGGAACGACGAATCGTTGGCTTTAATCGTAAAATTTCGAGGGGTCAGAGAGACAAATAAAGCGACACACGTGTATATATATATATATATATATATATATATATATATATATATATATATATATATATATACACATACACACACATTTGTGGTTTAAATCGATTTCATTTCCCATCATCGTGCCATCGCAAATTTTTCAAGCAATCCAAAATTTCGTTATCACGTTCTGATTCGCAATCGTGTTTGTACATGTAATAAATCTCAACTACATGTGGTCAATATGCGTGTGTTATAGCCAAAAAGAAAATGATGCAGAAGGATAATTTACGAGTTTGTAAATAATATATAATGCTCTCCCTCCCTCCCTCTCCCTCTCTTCCTGTTATTAATAATACGTTATACATGTTATTTGTCAATGTTAATAATATTCGATGAAAAAATAGAGGCAACATTTGTCATCAGTTGAAAATCGAAACGGTATTCAGTCTCTTCCGAAACGGAAAATAGCTTTTATTCGATCTCTACAGTTTCGTGCGACAACCTTAGTTTTTTCCCCACAGGGAAAGAAAAAATAGCCTGTCTCTTTACATTACAATGCCTTCCTGACGCGGATATCAAGAGATTAACCTTGGCAAACGTGAGATCCAATGCTTATGGAATCCCGTGTGACCAACTTTGTTCGTCATCAAATATATTTCGTGGAATTTTTTTGGGAAAAATAAAGTCGACTCTCTCGTTTGTCGCATCGCTGATATTGTAACTTTAATTTAGATTTTTTCCTCTCTAGCGACATATAAATTTGAATAAAAATAACATATGTATAAACTGGAAAAATCTGTAAAGCAAATAACGTACATTTTTCAAACACGATACTGAGAAATAATTACAAAGTTTGAGAATAGTTTTGTTAGAAAATTATTTGACTTCTTTCACTTACTTGTTCTTTCTTTACTTATTTATTTATACATATAAGAACGGTAATAATAACTTGTAGAATTAAGTCCTTCTAGTAATTAAATTGGCCTTTTTAAATTTTTAATTATTTTCATAATTATTTTGTCGTTGAGCGTTTATAGTTTATCGTTGTATCGAGAACAAAGCGCGGATAAGTGCGTGCATCGTTCTATGGTTATCTATCTGCGTCAGTACCCGTTATTATTTACGATAAGATACGAGCTATCCATATTTAGTAATCATCATTACCCTTGTCGCTTGGATCGATACGTGGATTATTCGTATGCATTTTCTATTCACCAAAGGAATACTAGATAAACATAAAGGAGAATTGAGAGATTGCTTTAAACATTACATAAATATGTATAACGGGATTAAACTTTTGAATGAGAATTGTATTGAAGAGAATTAATTGCATCGTAACTCTACAAGAATATTATTTCACGAGCTTTGCATCTTTGCATATATGTGTACCAGACATATCCTTCGTTGTTTACATACAGTTCTCAAAGTTCTGATTGACGTACGATGTCTAGCGAAATTATACCTCCGTTGAAAGATAAATGCCACCTTAATTTTAGCACAGTGCTGGCACCGTTTCTTAACGGGGCTTAATATTTCTGTATGTACTCTCTTTATGACATATAAAACGTAATTGGAGATTACTTGCAAAAGTTATATTTCATCAGGATAATCTCGCGAAATATTATTCCGACGTTTATTATCTGAGTTGTCATAAATTTCAGATTACAACGTTATCAACATCCCTTTCGAATAATTTTTCACTAATTCTTTTTTTATTTCAAGTTTTGATCGTTGGTCAGAGAGTTCTAAATGCAAAGTGATTAAATAGCGATTTATGCCATTGCTCAGAATTAATCGGAGATTGTCGATACGTCTGGTTCGTCAGAGATGCGAGTAATCACGGTGATTAACGTGTTGTATCAACACTCTTTGAGCACACGTGGAAACGCAGTGCACAAAGCGTCGAAAATTAACGTCGCGACAGTACGTATATGTGTCATAGCACGTGAAGAGCAGGACTTTTTGATGTAGAAGGTATTACACACAGATTGAAATTCTCGCTCTCGGTAACGCGTTGCTGTCGCGCAACGTGCGTACGTCGAAACATTGTGACAGCTATAGTGATTCGGAGTGGATACACGATCCGAGGGCCGAGCACCTGTACAACTGGAAGTTGGAAGCCGTCGGAGATATTGGTCACGCTCTGTGTGTGTATGTGTGTGTATGTGCGTGTGTGTGTGCACCTATCTCTTTTATAACATTCGAATTCCCAATATTCCCATGTGTCTTTAAAGTGTCGAGCATCGTGGTACATTCTAGTTATTGCCAGTTATTTTGCATTACATTTATACGCGGTAAGAGAATTGCGAGCCGACAAATTCTATTGATTTTTTACGACTTTTTGTGGTGTGCATCTTCAACTCCGAACCCAGCCATTTTTCAAATTTGAAAAATGAGGGCGAGGATAATAAATGTACGTAATATTCTATCAATTTTTGAATATAAAGTTCAATTGTGTGTACATGTGTGCACGTGTATGAGCGCGCGCGTGCTGAAGAAATAATAGGATTTATCGATAGATAGTGGGAAAAGGGTCGGAAATAAAAAAAAACTCTCGCTTCGCAATCCTTTGGCACTAGCTGAATGTTAAAATTCAATAGAATAGAAATTTTATCGCTACTTGAACAATACCGTGTTATTCGAATTGTAACGAAAAACTAGTATACTAACTGCATATTTGATGAACATACTTTTCGAAAAAATTACAGCTCCCTCCTTTGCAACGCGCAATGCAATAACACACAATTATGATTTGATCAATAATAAGTTGCAATTATATTTGTAATGTTCCACTTTTTTTACAGAACGACGGCTACATTAAACGTAAAAAACTGTGATAAATTTCTATAAATAATTTAAAATAAAACAATATTAATATCTCTTAAAATAGCAGCAATAATAATAGTAGCAGTAATAATAATGCGTACAAAGGGTATTTAGTAAAATGTACAGGCGTTTAAAACACATTCACAGATCATATAAAGGTAAACAATGTGCAACAATGTCCTTATTTTGCAATTGATATGCAATAAATGTAATGTAACTTGTAATACCATTGATATTATTATTTTCCTTTGTTTCTGTGCAGAGAGTTTTCCTATGTAAACAGTAAATATACCGGAATTTCGTGCATTTAATAATAGCCGCGTTTGTCACGAGTGAGATGGCTGCAGTCAGATTTCACAAGTTACATGATATCTTGATGATGACATCGAGCGTAACATATGCGTTTCGGTGGTAACCGAGCAGAAGGATTCTTCGTGCGAATTTATGTGATTGAAATGTACGACTTTGAAAGCAGAATCGATTCGCGTGTCGCCGATGCTGAATTAATATTCTATGTCGACGAGAGGGAACGAGGCAAAACGCAGGGTCGTCGGACGAAGTTTTATCAGGTGTTCTTGGCGAGGGGTTATCTAACTGCACGCACAACATGCATCATAATAACGTCGCTATAACAATAGAATGAGAAACACACAATGCGAAATATTTTCAATTTCAAGAGAGCGTACGAGAGGAAATCGCAAAGGAATAAGAAAATAATTGGTTTTAAAATGCGCAATGACTAGACACTAGAATAAATAAAAGAGGATAAAAATTGCTGAACAAAGAGATATGGAAATATATAAAAGAATAAACGAATGGATCAACAATATGGAGAATATTAATCAATAGATCCGCGTGCGCGCAATAATGTTATATATAAAGAGTTGAGTACATTAAATTTGCAACCCTTTGCAAAATCGCCGATGAGATTTCTCGGTGTCCTTGACGAAAGAAGAAAACCGCCAATATTTATTAAGGATGCAATTCTAACCGTGATTTGTTTGAAGACGACGACATTGGCGATCCGTCACCTACTTCTTATAATCAGATTTCTCTTACAATAGCTCGAACCAAAGTTTGATGCCGGTACACACAAACCCTGCGTTTGTTCATTCCCATTGGGAATTACTGGAAAAATAAAATATATAATACACGTAACGTGTATTATAGATTTTAGTTTCTCAATAGCTCCTAATGTGAATAAACGAACGCAAGCAAAGTTAGGCGTTGAATAACTTGTAGTCTCAGAAAACAGGGATAAGGAGAAGATTCGTGCGGAGTGATTGAAACGAGACATTGAATACCCAGTGAACACAATGTCCTAAATCAGGACATATGACGTTTTTAAGATATATGCGTGTTGTCTGAATAACCAATCGTTATGCTGTTATCGATAAGCAAATCTGCGAGAATAATCTTGGGAAAATTATCTCTTATGATCCCTTTAAATCGGACGGCAGCGTTTTACCGCGGCAACTGCTGCTGACTCTGAAATTGCGGAAAAAAAAACCATTGTGCCTTGTAGCAGCCTGAGCTTTTCCCTCGCGAGAGTTTCGAACATAAAATCATGGAAGAAAAAGGATCTGCCCTCAATTCATGCAGCCCGAGGGCTGCAACGCGCGTTATAATCATGACGCTGCACCATCTGGCCCATCGGGCCACCGACATCCTACGCCTCTCGCATTGTTAATGTCCCCGCAGTTAATGCCGATGCACGCATCGAGGCATTAGGGAAAGCCGCGTGATACAGGGACATTAGCATTACAGGCTCAGTTGGGGCTGAACGATAAACCTCGACGGATGAAACACGAAACAGAAAGGGTTTAATCTACCGTTCTATACTAAGCATATGCCGTCTATAATACGGAGAAGAAAGAGAGAGAGATATCGATGTATCAACAATATTATTTTGTGCATTACACCTTGTTCCTCGCTAAAACGTGTCAACTCGCATATCCTTTCGCAGCACCGACGAATGCCGATGTAAAGCAGCATGAGAACCGTATCGTATTTTCGTATCCCTAGCAACATGCAGAGAGAACTTATTGTTAGGGGTGCGCAACCCTCGCGTATATGGGGATTAAAGTTAATCGAAAAAAGCGACGGCTTCGGCATCCCCGTGGCGGCTTTGGTCCATCGCTTTTTACCTCTTAAAAGAGAAGTTTTACAGAAAAAGTTTTCCTGTGATTTACGAGGGCGGATTAGTTCGCGAATTGTTCGATACTTACAGTGATTACGCGTAAGTAATCCGTTTATTTACGGAAATTAAAAAAGTAGTGAAAGAAGAGTAATTAATATCTGGGTCTTTGTTTTTGGGCAAAATCTTTCCAAAACTTGAGCGGCGTTCGATAATATTGTAACCGTTACGTCGAAGACTTATACTGTGTCGAAGATACAAGTGTAGCAGACAAAAGACTTACGGGTTCCATCGAAGCGAGTTGCGATAGTGTCCAAGAAAGTATTCTGTGGAGCGAGAAGGCCCTTCCTGACCGGCATTGGGGCCGCTCCACCGCGCTGTTAAGCGCACGAACCTGTGGCAAATGCGTAAATACCATAATTAAATTATTCGCATACATATCACACACACCCGCATCGTTTACAAAATTAATTAAATTAACGTGTAAAGATGCGAAAATTATTTCGCGATCTTCACGTCTTTTAGCAAAGCTCTTCGGCGAAACGTCGAATTTCACCGTTTGTGTTGTGCACAAAGTATTTATGGAAATCTACGATTCATTGAACAATACCGTAAGTCAATGTCATTCGAAGCTCCCTATTACGAGACAAAGTGCCATTGTAACGCGCGTTGCCCGGTTCCCGAGCTGATACAATAAATATTTTCTGGAACTATAATCCAATCCCTCTATTTTCCCCTAACCGAGAAATCATTGACCGTCCGCGAATAACCGGGTTATACTATTGCGTCTTGCACATCTCGGAAATATATATGCAAATTGGTTGTGCTCGTTATTACTTTTTCCCTCGGGGTACTCGTGTATTTAGTTAATTAATTATAAATTTAATAAAGATAGAAAAACTATACGCATGTTTATTCCTAGACATAATAAAAAATAAATCACAAAATTGATTGCTGATTTTATGATTCATTAATATAATATATAAACATATATATATATTATATATTACATAATATATACAGATACATATATATTTTATACATATACATGTGTAATTCTCACACGTGACGATGTGCCGTGATTTTTAATTTCAGAGGTAGTCTGCGATAAATGTCAGCGTTATATTATGAAATATCTTGCTAGAACAATTTATTTTAGTTATTGTAGTTTGACGTATAGTACATATAATTCAATATAAAACGTTTCAAACTGTCTATGAACAATGGCTCTTGTGTTATTTGCCAAAATGAAAATTCTATGTAATCTCAGAGAGAGAGAGACAGAGTACTCTATATAATCTATACACCTAGTGTAAATCATTCTAGCTTCGTGCGCTGCATGTACACGACGCTCTTTAATGCTTTCAGAACGAAATCCATATAGCTTAATGTTGATTTTTCACTTTTAACGTAGCAACGTGATACAGATTTTCTTTCTTTAGCGTTAACAATAAAAAAAAAATCTTTTGTATTCCTCAAAAAATTTTCCATTCTTTCGAAGGAGCGAGCTCATTATCTATGTTTCATATTTCTTGGATGTGAACGAAAAATATGAGAAGATGTATTATAATAATGTATGTATAACGTTACAAATATATGCACCGCGCACGCGTTGTGAAGTGAAATGAAATATATAATATGTAAATCTATAAATTATAATACATGTACAAATCCGTGATAATCAAATCGGCAAAATCGATCTATCATTAAAATAGGCTTCAAGTTACATATGGTATCTCAAAGTAAACTTATATTCTCCTCGAACCATCGAATGCTTGGTTTATTACTGTGATATATTAAGACGATCGTATTAATTATTTGTACGCCTAATCCACTAAAATAGATTGAGGCACGATACTGAAATACTGAAATCATGTCGGATATCTAAATTTGCACAACGTTTCGCATGATAAATCGCTTGAAATAAGCGGTGTTAATTACTTGTGTATCAAACAAGTTGCATGAAACTATATAAATTACCTGTAAAAGGAGACAATTTTATCTAATTAAAAAGCGTTCACTCTTTAACAATTTAAAAATAATAAAACTTTTGAACGCGATAATGCTAAAGAAAATTATATTATTTCATAATAGCAATGGAAAAAGGACTTACTTAAATTGCTTATAATATAAAGTAATGTTCTATTTTGCGCCGAAATGAAACGGTAGAATGATTATCATTTATTTAACGAGAAAAATGTTCTCCTTCACCAACAGGTTGTTCCATCCATTCGCGAGAAATTAGAATCTTTTTACAAAATTCACAATATTCTCCTCATTATTAATTGAATTATTAATGCATATACATCACGTTATATTTAAAAAAATATATATAATATAATAACTGTAATATATTTGTAACATCAATCATAACATTATTAATTCCACGATTATTAATTATTAAATAAGGAATCATCTCTTTACACATCTACTTCGTATAAAAATCCTCGGAACATATCAAATGGCACGTATTTTCGTTCCTGTCGCTTTTTAGCGACGTGCATAATTTAATATGAACTTTGACGGGTTTCCGTCCCTGATGATACCGACCTTGTCGAGAAAGCGATTAACCCGCTCGCTGATCGAGCATCTTCGAACCACCACCACCGATCTATATCCACACCGATTCTCCCTTCGCGTCACCCCCTTCGCTCCGAGTTTAAGGGACGTTCGCGCCTCGTCCGTCAAGTTCGATGCACTCGAGAGATGCGGCACTCGGTGAGATCGGCAGCCAGCGATTAACAGCAGCTCGGGGTGCGCACCGGCCGCGCGAATCGTTCGCTGGCGATCGCGTAACTGACCGAGAGCCGAGGGGAGAGATTCCGTCTATCCTGATGGCCCGGGCTCCTGGCTGACTTGCGCCCCTCGCACCGAAGCGCAACATGTGGTAAACCGTGGGAAGGTAACAGACACACGCGTCCTAGGCGTAGGTGAAGGCACGAGCGAGTACCTCCGATAAGTGTGCACCCCCCCGCGACGCCCCGCGGTACCCCACGCTCTCCACCACCGACCGCCGTAGGGTTGTGCGCGCGCGCGCGCGCGCACACACACACACCGCCTATTTGCGTGCGCGCGCGCGCACGTACATCTCAAAATCTGATACGGTCTTTAGTCGAGATAGTCGAGTTCGACACTCGAAGGTTTTTTCCGGTTTGGGTGGTTTTTTTTTTAATTCTTCGAGCTTTTTCGGTCGACAGGCCGATGGCCCACCCGAATCGAGTGCCACGTGCAATTTTATCGTAATACAAGCAGATTTTTAATAGTCCTTTCGCAGAACTGTTATCATTTAAATTGTTATATAAAGACGTAGATATAGGCATTATACAATTTGCATAATTATGGTATGATTGAGATCGACGGCGAATATAACTTTTTCGGGAGAAAATTCGAATATTGGAACGAAGATCGACGCGGGTCTTATCGCCAAGTTAAAACAAAATCCCATCACACCCGACACTGACGGATCACCGTAGAAGCTTTCCTAAACACGGCCACAAATTGGCATATCCGTTATTTCGTTCACGTCGAAGCGGCGCCTATCTGACCAAACATTTCCACTCCGCAAAGAATGCGTCCCGTGTTGAATATATTTTCGTTCGCTTCGGTCCGCTTTATGACACGCGTTATGGCGCTTTTGACGCACGGCTCTAAGCTTACCTTATCTTTTCAAGGTCGAAACGTTGGGAGAGAACGTGCTCCGTAGCCGGGAAAATCGCATTTCTCAGCTGCAGCCTTTTAAACGCGCGTCTTAAAACTTGGACTTCGACTCACGTACGTATATGGAACGTATATAGAACGAATTACCATACGCATGACGGGAATGATTTAAAAGCGTAAAAAAATATATTTCGCAGTGGTAAAGATCGGCGCTTTTTTTTGTGACGGAAAGGCCGTTCGTGCGCCGGGCGGCGCCGCGCCGCATCGCGGTCTATATTGAATAAAACGTTGCTGCAGGTCAGTTTGATGGTATTGTATAACGCGCTCGTACCGAGGAGGGTCGATGACTGTATTCGCGTGCTAGTCCTTCATGAACAGGCCGCGCAATCTGCAAGCGTTCCCGATATAGATCTCCGTCGCAAAAAAAAAAAAGTTCACGGGGGCGGACTCGATTTTAACCGGCAACTAAGTTATTTTAAATTTTAACATATAGAACTCGCGGCTGATAACATCGAAATTGGCCGCTGCTGCGAGAAACTGACGCAGGGGGCTATATCTTATTACGTCGAGTTATACGGCGAAGCTATCTTCCACAAATCAAACGCTAAAGCTTTCCCCAGATACGTGTGTGTGCGCGCACGCGGGTTTCCGCTGAATTAAACTCAATATACATCCGTCTTACGATCGCCCGCGCGGTATCCGTTCCCGGAAACTGAAATCGGAACGTTTGGGTTAATCAAGAACGATGGTCGGTCGGCGGCCGGGTGTCGTTACCCCCAGAAATGGATGTTTATCCGTCAGGTCGTCGCCTCATACATCGTTCTCGAAGAGTGATACATCGTCGAGCGTCGTCACGTCGTATAATATGTCGAACAGAGAGAGAAAGAGAGAGGAGGAGAGAATTTTGAAGAAACCGCTACGCTCAGCTGCACAACCGCGGTCTAAGAATACCACCTTCGACTACTTCGCGATTATAAAGCTGCGACCTAATTTTAAAAGCTGCGTTTCCGAAGCGGCCGTGTCGCGCCGAGCCGCCAGACGATATACCGGCCTACGGTTAAGCACGTCTACTTTGCGGAGGGATTAACGCTGCATGGGAAGCGATAAGGTAAACGCCTGCAGTAATTCCGCTCCGTCTACCTCGCGCTTGTCATTCTGATGCTTTTTATAGGCACTCGCGCCGCAACGTCTCTTCGAAATTAAACAAGCTCCCGCTATGTAATAAAATATTGATTCCTTACGCGTTATCTGTATAGTCTTTCCTGATTATACGTCGTCTCCCTTCTGTATTTCGTGAATTGAATTACATTTGTCTGGTTACAATTGTTTCTCCAACCGATTCTTTCCGGACTGATGAGAGATGTCAGACGTACCCCGCAAATAGTAAATTTAAACACAAATACCGCATTAACAGCGCTACAAAGAAAGTGGTAAAAAAAAAAAAAATTCTCCAAACAATGGGAGAGGATCGTGTCAGTGTTAGTGGGTTATCCGGACAGCGCGGACTGCGCGTAGTTACGAAGCGCGGGGTCCATATAATCGATACTCCAGTACTTCGAATGTCTCCGCGGACAGATACGAAGGCGAGAACGAGAAAGGCCAGGAGCGAGAAACGGGATGAAAAAAACGAGACGGGATGAAACACGGCACGCTTGCTGTTCTATTTAATAGCCGAACGGATAAAAAGTCATTGGCACGAACGACTGGACGACGTTAACGAGTTTCATCTTTTACGATTTGTTCGTAGTTTTAATTGTTCTCTCTGTCTTTATGCTACCGCTCGCGTGCCTCTCTCGCGACAATAAATCTTTTATATACCTTTCGCTATACTGAGCGATTTAATCGCCAGCGATATTTACGGGCCAATGATTTTATCCATTTTACAATACGATGCAATATGGTATAATATAGTACAATTTAGTTCACCACTCTGTGTTAATTAGTAACTATTATTAACAAAATATTGTTACACGAAGAAAATTTTATAGTAAATATTACTATGGTGTCGCACTAGCTGCGGACCATCAAGACGCACAAGTTTAAATGCTATAGTCTTATAGTAAAATTACTATGTCCATAGTATTTAGTGCTACGATATAATTATAGGATTAAATGCTATGATCGAAGCACTAAATACTATGGACATAGTAATTTTACTATAAGACTATAGCATTTAAACTTGTGCGTTTTGATGGTCCGCAGTTGGTGCAACAGCATAGTAAAATTTAATATAAAATTTTCTCCGTGTATATAAATATTTTGTTTATATATATATATTTAGACAAGACAATATTTTAGGTTTTATTTAGACAAAATTTCACACTTATAGATCTCAAGTGTTTTTTGGGCTAGAAATTGTGCCATTTCCGTGAAGTGAAACTCTTTCAAATGTAAGACTCTGCTGCGTGGTAGAGCGTATGTGTGCCATAAATTTCAAACTGCCAAGGCGGTAATACGAACAGATACGGAACCTCATGCATTATTCAAGGAAAAACAGAAAGGTAAAAGATACGGCGCGATACAAAAGGATGCGTAAAATCTCAGAAAATAGAGTTGCGTTCGAAATAATCGCGTTATTTATTTACAAAATCGCAGGGATATTAACGCGCCCGTTCTTACGAAAAGGCAGAAATCTTCTGACTGCGCACGCACAATCGTATGATTACAACGTAATGAATCACATTCCTGGAATGTATTTGGTGTACATTGAAATTAGCGGTCTCAGGGAAATAGATTAGCGGTTCCAAACGAATTAAGCGAGAAATACTGGGACAACCTCGCGTCGCCCGGGTGACGAGTTACAAGATTAGTTATTGTAGCTAGTGTAGTCGGCCTAACGCGATTCTCGATTTTGCGAGATTAGGCGCTTATCGAGGCGTATATGGGAAATGCACATTTGCTCCGATAAATTGTGCATAAATTCATGAGCCAAGGCATTAATGACTCTGTGTGTACAAGAGCGTTCCGAGCGACGCGAGGGTACCATAATGGTGACTTCGATCAAACACCGATTACCTTAATCGGTGATTAATTTATCAATTAGTACCTCTATATGAAAAAGAAAAAATTAGATTAAGAACAGTAAATTACACAGTCAGAAGTTTTGCTTTACGCAATTCTGTCAATTAATCCGGGCAATTAAACGGGCCTGATTTTTTTTTGCCTAAGTGGTCACCTGGGATAATTTTTACACCCCATATAAAAATCATTGTTATTAATTACATATTACATAGTTTTAATCGTTCTATAATTTATTAATATTTGAGGACAACATGTACATAGATCAAAGTAAGGAAAAACCAAAAAAATATTTTTAAAAACGATAGAAGCACATTGAAATTATTGTGGCGTGAGCTTAATTTTTTTCGATACTGAGGTATAAAAATCACCCCAGGCATCCGTTTCCGGGGTTAAATCGAGTTAATTAATAACCGGAGTTCGAAGTCGTTCTGAGAGACTAAAACGGATGGACTATATAGCGCCAGGAAGGACCAGATTCACCTCCGTCTTTCAACGAGACGAGGCTTCCGACTTGGTCGCTTCTTATCGCTCCTCGCTATCGTAATTCACCCTGGTTGAAGTAGCACGGTTCGAGATAACGCGTAACGATCGTTCACCATCGGTCTTTATCTACGTTGGTGCGCGGGCCATCGATATCTCGCCGTGTGTGCCCAATCTCGAAACCGTGTTACGCGGGCCGACGAGCGGTCGCGTCCTTAATATCGCGAACCCCTCCCACCCCCGTTCTACCTGCGTTCGCCAAGCGGCGAATGGTGCCAGGTGCAACGACTAGGCCGACGTAGAGCGACATTAAAACGCTGCCGCATTGCCGATGTCGTGCCGGCCGTAACCGCGGCACGCGGGGTACGCGTCCTTTCTCTCTCGTTCTTCACCCTCTCCGTCTCTATACCTCCTCCCTCGCTCGTGCACCCTCGGTACACAGGCCACCGACTTTCTGAACCTTAAGGGGTGGACGGCTTATCGACCTGATGTTGCCAGTCAGGCCTACCACCCTTAATCCCGTGTATACTTCAATCACATGGTTGTTCCGATAAGCACTCGGAAATTAGGCCTCGCTAGTTCTACGTTATCCTTCTTGGCGTCGGGCAAACATCTCTCCGGCTGATTCAGCCGGTAGGCCGCCGCCTTCGAGATGGATAGCTATATAAACATTATCATCTTGACGAAAAGAACCCCTAGATGAACAATTTTCGGAATTACAGGGGATTTTATTGCAAAACACATGAGGATCCGCTTGTGAGGGGAGAGGGCTGATCGAGTTTTCGTAATAAAAATTGTTTACCGAGTCTCGTTTCAATCATTTGGAATGTATCAAACATCAAACTGATGATTAGAGATGAGAAATTTACTATAAGTTTTTTTTGTAATAAGAATACAGCAAATAAATATCGCAGAGTGAAAGATATCCCTCGTTAAAGCGCCTCATCAAATATCGCGTAAAGCTATCCGTTCCTCAAGATCACCTTTCTCGCCGCGCCATTTCCCGCCCCGTCGTCGCCGCGTAGCAACGGGCAACCCAGTTGAAACGAACCGCCGCAGTGACGACAACGACAACGACAACGACGACAACGACGACAATAAACGACGATGGGATCGCGCGATCGCGCGAAATTGGAGCGTCGCGTTCGCGTGGATCGCCGCGCCGAGTCCCCCCTTTCCCGATGGTACCATCAATAGGAATAATACGGGGAAGTGCGCGGCGATGCGGCGAGAGATACGTACAGGTAGACCGGGGGAGTTTAACGACCTTACAACCCTCGCAAGTAGCGGGATCGATGGTCTCGGAACTCCGGGGGCGAACTCTCATCCGTGGCTCGGAGCGCGCGGCCCGGTCGCTTCCGCCGTCGTGGGCCGTGTCCTACTTTCATCACGGTTCGCCGTCGCGCCCGTTGTTGCCCCGCCGTGGTCCTGGTTTTCACATCGTGTCACGGCATTGCACGACCCGACACCCCGACGGTCGCCGGACGTTTCGCGGATACGCGCCGTGACACACGATCGACGTGATCTCTGCATTCACTATGTTCGGCTCGACTGAAGAACCTGATCCGCTTCCGGTTTAATTTAAAAGTACAATGTTATTAATGCAGAATCAATTTAATGACGATATATAAATTTTTTTTTAATAAGAGAACATGTTAATTAAAATTTTCAAAAATAGGAATGATTCTTTCATATTTGAGCATTTCCTTAAATATTGCGCTACTAGCTTAATAAACCGAAAAATATATCTCACCTATAAAAACATTGTGTGTCTGTTTATTTCATTCTTGCGTTATATCATTACAGGCATACACTGTTGCGTGAACGTATTAATTTATGTGGGTTGCTTATCAGTAAAAATCTTTAAATATGGTATATAATATAGGAATGAAAAGAGCGCAGATATGTAAATATTTTCCGTCGCGACCAGATCAAAATAACTTATATACAATTTTAATTACAAAATATCGACATATAATATGTAAAATCGATAAATACTTCAATTTTGTCTCATCCAACAAAAAACATTTTTTTTTTTTAAATAGACAACTTTCAATATTTTTACAACATGACTCAGATAACATTAGGCATCGAAAATTCAGTGTCACGTGATTAGCAATTTTCGAAGCAAAACCATATTTATTTTTGTTATCATACATATAATCTTTTGGCAAGCGCTCATTGCAATACCAATGCATTTGTATACATGTGCTAACTCTTGGCGCAAGCATTGTATATGTTACGATGTGTATATTGCACACATACTTTTGCATAAATTCATGCGATATGATGTCCATTAAAATTGTATGTATACCTCTATTAAAGTATTTGCGATTTATCATTTGACCATTCTTGATTTAATCAAGCGTAATCTGTGAGTAAAAATTACGTACGTTATACGGCAGTAATATTTATCATGCATAAAAAAGGAACATGTATATATATCTCTTTTCTTGGCAGATTCATTAAATCCATCCAATGGCGATGTAATCAGTTTTCTTTAAAATTCCAATTAAAAATATCTCTTACCGTGTTGCCATTATCTACGCATTTTAATACGAATATTTTCCGAGTTAAGGTATAATTTTTATATTAAGCAAAGCTCTATTTCTTTTTATGGATTTACGGTATTAGAAGCTACTCTTAATACTTCGCTTATCATTAATTAAAGTCAAATATTTAAATAAATTAATAATTTTGATTTGCCATGTTTCCTTGGTTGCTACTTCTACCACTAATAACTCACGAGAAAATTATTCCCATCTAAATAGTTTTTGATACTAAAATCATAAAATAGTTTGCAACGTTATACATATGTAAATTTACGGTATTATCATTGAGTTGCCAGTTACCAGTTACTAAGTTACTAAAAAATCGCAATAACATCCTCGATCGCGTCTATCACATACTTATTATGCATAATTACCTTGTAGTTCACGTTTACATATCAAGATCAAATATCAGATCATTCTTAAATTCCAACTGAACTGCATCTTTCGTGGCTTTAGTCGAGGTATCGGCTTGAACATCTTCGGTGGGTTTTTCTTCAAAGCTAGACTTACGCTTATGCGAAGAATGTTTATCATCGGCGTTCGATTTTGTGATTTCTATGTTGGCGGTTCTTTGTTGCTGCGAATGTTTGTCTCGAGCAAGTATGGGTTTCACGTTGTCAGAAGTTTCCTCACTCGGCGAACGTTTATAATCTACTTTATATTTGTCACGCTCTTCGGTTTCAGAATTCTCACTTTCGCTTAGTCGGCGATCATGCGCGCGTTTCTTGTTGCGCAGTTTACGTTGGTTCTTCTTTCGCTGTCCAAGAATACTCGAATTAGACCTGAAAAAAAAAAGAAAAATAACAAATTATGCAAATAAGTTTATTGGTATTGCTTGTAAAAGACTGCAGTTGCGAAATCATAAGGCAAAATTATCTTTATATATTACTTTTTCTCTCTTAAGATAATTTAAGAATAATTCTTAATTAAACGTAGATTATTCTTTGTCACATAATACCTAAATAACTGCCGCGAAACTACATCGTTAAACCGTACAGTCTTCTTTAAACTGGAACAATCCGATTCAGAATTGATATCGTGTACGGAATCGTAATGATCATAATGATAATCTGTACACGATGCAGGTAGACTGTTTTCGTCGGCGCTCGATTCGGACATGGAACGCGAGAAATCGCGAGCGCGACGTGACTTTAATATTCCTTTCGAGTGCCTCGCACTACTACCACTGCTATTGCTTGCCAATTCATCTCCGCTGCTTTCCGAGACTGATCTGGCTTTCTCAATGACGTGCTTCTTCTCTTGCCGTCGTTTCACGACTCTTGCGTTTGCTTCATGCTCATCTTCGTCATCAGAATCCTGCTGATTTGGACGAATATTTATAACGACACCGTCATCTTGCGGCTGTACAGAAATTTGCCTTTCCACCTGAGATTCGCCTTTCGGAGAGAACTGTAAAAATATTTTACTTATTATAGACAATGTATATAACTCTCTCTCTTATGTTATTTTTGTTATGCAATATATTTAAATGTTTTACCATTAATTCTTTAAACTTGTTCGTAAATGACGCTGCTGTTGGAAGATCTTTCCCCTCCATGAACTCTGTGTCCACTCCAACGAAATATTGTGCTATGTTCTCAATATCCTTTACTGTGATGCTAAATACAACATTATTATCCCATGGTTCAATTGTAAGAGTTTCCGGCTCGACACAGCCGTCTCCTATTTTAAGACACAGTGAATAATATTGAGGAAAAAATCCAGCACCCATAGATGTTAACAAGATATGTAGCCCTACATTATTATCTAAAATTTTGTGGCGTATCCCACTCGGATTCACATTTTTTACATTTATAACAATGGCTAACTGATTATTGTAAATGTTACAGGTATAAGGAGGAAGATTGTACTTAATATTAGGATTTATAAATGCATCAGCTTTTTCGATCGTTTTACTAGTCCGTAAAGCAGTATCTTCACACTTATCCGTTACTTCACTCGCTTTATTCAATTCTTTATCTTTGCACGCGTTTTTAAACTCTTCCACTAGTTTTATTTTGTTATTAGACAAGTCTTTTTCGTCATCCTCGGACGTTACTAATACAGCACTGTTTTGATCGCTATCACCCCCGTTATCTGCCCTATCGGTTTCATCTATCGGCATCGATGGCGGAATAACTGGTAAAGTTACGATTAACTTTTTATACTTTGGATCAAATCTAGCATTCCCCCTATCTCCGTCCACGCGACATGGTATTGGGAGATTCAGGAAATACTTTGCAGGATTGTCGCTTTTCAAAGTAAGAGACCGTTCGTGTATATCGAGCGTCGCATCGTTAGCACTCTTCAACAGGGGCAGATGTATGGTAATCACTATTCTTTTAGGGACTGTGGCAAACATCCTTGCGTCTCGGTTTAAAGCAAAATCTTCCAATTCCACATCGGACTGATGTTTTATGGTATACGTAGGAGTAGTGTATTTTTCGTCCGCAGGCTTCTGTTGCTTGTCCTTGTAATAAGTGGTGGTCGGCTGGGCACGTTGCGGCTTCTCCTCTCTCTGCTTCAAATGGCTCTCGCGACACTCGTCGTAACTCGACATTATCTTCTGATAGATCTCCGGTTCTATGTCCAGCGGTTCTGTTGATGGCGTTTCCGAAGGTTTTCTGATCACTGTGGGATGCGTCATCCCTTTAAAGCTGATCTTGGGAAACTTCAGATTCTTCCTGTCCAGCTTCACCTGGCGAGACGCAGAGAAGTACGTGTTAGAAACAGAGAAAGTAAAATTTCCGCGCAAAGATTTAGACCAGGCCTGGGAAACTTCAAGCTCCAGAGAGTCACGATACTTCTCCCTTTTCCCCACTCTCCGTGTACGAAAAGGGAGAAGTGTCCTGATTCTGACACTTAGATATACCTTGAAGTTACTCTCCACGCCGTCCATCGCCGTGTCATTGACAATCTCGCGGAATCGCGCGTTCTTGGACGCCAGGTAGATGGTGTCCGGATGGAAGACCACGTCGTACACCACGCATCGCACATTCTTCTTGTCAAGGTCATAACGGGGCGGTATCAGGGTGTACGGGATGGACCACTGGAGGCCGCGGTGGCCCTGTTCATACGAGGGCTGGCTGGTGGGCCGCGCGACAACCTCGTTCTTGCTGATGTTCAAGAAGCACTTCCTGTCGCCGTCCACGCTGGTCTTAATGACGTAACCGGGCTCGGGGTTAACGAACGTCACGTCTACGCCCCGCTCCTTCTCGAGCTGGGTGATCTCTTTCTCGTAGATCTTTCGGTTGTCCGGGTCGGTCACCTCTTCCGCGTACTCGATCAGCAGCTTGCGAAACTCCTCCTTCTTCAGGCAGTCGGTTATGTTTCTCAATTCCTCGCGCGACACGTCAAAATCCTCCCAATCATTTCTACGCCGCTCGTACACGTCCATCTTTATGTTGCGCGTGTTTACAAATAGACCCGTCGGTAGAGAGATATCGCGGAAGCGCGTGACACGTGGATCGCGGCGCCACCGCACCGGCCGGTCCCGGCACCGGCTTGCACTATGCGCCCGTTCGATCACTTTCCTATCGTCGAGGACGTGTCCTCCTCGCTCGAATCTTCAAATATGGGCAAATCTGTCGAGAACGGATTTTGCAAAAGCAAACGTCTCTGCTACGTATTTCAGCGAAACAGCGGAAATGTGACAGAATCTGTCAACGGGACCGATTGACAGATTGGCAGACTGACTGACAATTCGGGAACCGAACCAGGTCCATCATTTTGTAATTATAATTTAACGATATATTTTATCGTTAATTAAATCGTTACAAAATTCTGATAGATTCTGCTTGATTTCTTACAATCGGATGCCGTCAGATCGCTGTTGACAGATTTATTCTGTGGATCTTATTTAATGCGGACGCAGTTGATGTTAAATCAGCTGGAAATTGTTAAAAATTTGCTTGTTCGAGTGGAGTTTTTGCTTTTCTTATTTCCTCACGGAGATTCGAGTCGGTCAAATACCCGTATATAATATAATACTGGTTAATCCAGCGGGATATCTGAACGGGCGGGATGTCTCAAAGTGACACGATCACTTATTGAGATGTGGGAAATGTGGAATTGGGGGCTTTAACACGCGCGCGATTGAGATTACGCGCGAGCATCGATTGTCAAAAAATGTACGACAAAATGTTAATTAAAAAAAATATGTATATATATATTAATTTATAAAAACTAACTGCAACAACATTAAACATTGAACAATGTTTCTATCGCTAATTCCGTTATTTATTTAAGAATATTATTAAATAACCGTTTCTTTTTTGTGACCCGTTCTTTCAATTTGGAATCGTAATCAAAGTACAAAAAAAATTTTACTCCGCGTTATACGAATATCTCAATTATATCCCGCAAAAAATTGAAATTTTATAATGTAGACTCAGCCGGAGAGAATCACACGGAGAGAGTCACACGACAATTCCGGCAAAGCGTTCAAGGCACGACACGAGAAATGAATCGAGAGTTCGCAGACATGGCGGGACGAGCGATTATCAGCCGCGAATATCGCAACGAAGCTGAAAATAATTCACAATTGCCGTACATACCTTCGCCTCGACGTCTCCGGCTCGGGCGAGCGATTCGCACAGCACATTTATTCCGACACTCGATTCAGTCGCAAATTGTTGAACGCGTATACGGCGCGTACTCGCGCGTAGTCGATTCTGTCTAATTATTCCCGCGGCCCGCGGAACGAGGAAGCAGGTGTGCCAATCGCAGGAACGAGTGCGTTCCGAATAACACAGCATTACAGCACGGAGGACGGCGCGCGCGCGGAGCACAAACACTTCACACCTGGTCCGAAATTCATCGAGAAAATGACTGCGTAACTTCTACAGGGACTACAGGTAACGGTGCTCCGAGCGTCGACGGAAACAAGTGGCAAGGCACCTCACCGACGAAAATAATCGGCCTCGCGGCGACTTTGAACGTATGTACGCTGCTTTCGAATTCAACGATCGCGCCTAGTATGACGCTACGGCGCGGCGCCGCGGCTCGGAGCGGCCGAACGTGATTGGCCGGATCTGGGGGCTCGTCTCGCGAGCCAATCGCGTTCGACGTGGTTCGACGATCTCCCGACTCACCCGACCCGACTGTGCGGTGCGGTGCGGCGGCGGCGGCGGCGGCGCGGCCGGCAAGTAATACACGTAAACAAAACACGTTGAACGGTTGAACGGTGCGAAACGTTGTCGCGCTCGTGTAATTTCTTTCTCGTAAACGAAAAGAAATCCGGTTACGGGGTGTCGCAAAGTGAACGTACGCCGAATATTCCGTTCCTTCTTGTGTCGAGTGTCGAGTGAAACGAGTGGGAATGCCGTCGCTGGGCGAAATGTATGCTGAACGCCGTGCAGGACGCCGTGCGTATCACCCTCCCGGGTGTGATTTGGCGGATCTTCTGCAGTGCTCCGTAATCGGTGAGTAAATTTTACACGAGAAATAAATGTTTCGAAGCGCGATACATCCGAATCTTAATGGAATCATTGCCCCGCGTGTCGCAGGGGGACGATAACCTCGAAATTCGCGTCTTTCGCCTCCGTCTCGATTTCTACTCCGAATAAGTAACTCGCGTGGGAAAAGGCTTCAATAAATAGCTTGAATTTTTCGTTAAGCGTGGGAATTAATAATTAATTGAGTGATTGAAGAGAACGATCACGAACGAGGGCGAGCGAGCTTGCTTCGAAATGCATGTGAACGTCGAGAATGCGAACAAGCTCAAAGTGTGTGAATACAATTTCGTTTTTCGTTAAAGAACGGGCGCATAATTCGCTCGTTCACGTAATTCGTTGTAAATATTTCAAATTTATTTGTACGAATGCGTCTTTATTCTTCATAACTTTTACCTTTGCATAGAGTTGTATTTGTATTAAACGTACGTACAGTGTATAGTTTGCTATGAAATATAATGCAACTTCGTTAAATAACTTTAAGAAAATTAACGCTAAATTGTGTCGTTCGTAAAAACTTGTTCGCGATCCTTCTCGCAGCGTGATAATCGCGCGTACAATAAAAGCCGATGAACCGTCGCTGCCAAGATGCTCAAGAATTATAAAGCATTCTCTGTTGCTTGTTCTCCAATTATTATTCGTTTTGCTTAAAAAATTAATTTTCCATAAACGAGCCTATTGCTTCGCATTTCATGAAAAACGTAATAATAAAATTTTTCGCAAAATGTTATGCAAAATTCCGCGTGATCGTCACATTAAATTAATTATATGCGCAAGCACGTAAAATACATTGAAAGGAACGTGAGAGAAAGAGTAGACCTCGAAGTAAATCGTTTTATTTTTTTTTAGACGTAGACTCATGTAAAAATTATTTCACAAAGCGCTAAATATTTTAGAACAGCTTAGGTGTCCCATAACGAGCATAACATTTTTTCTTTAATTTTTGGTTTCAGGTAGAAAATCATTTTGCTGTGAAACATAATTATCAAAGATTGTGAACGTAACGTGTTATCCACCGAGGAAATATTCATGGGGACATGGATATGTAGTACAATGTGCACGTCTTAAGCCTTGAATACAAAGGAACAGGGAATAAGACAAGCAACAGGAATATCAATTCTTCCAATAAGTGATAAAATATTAAAATAGTCTTGCACTACTGCGAAATATATCGTTTGATAAAATATAATAAATATTACATAATATAATAAAATAATTAATATAATAAGATTAATATAATGATTAATATAATACAATAAGATAATATAATAAAATATTAGATAATATAATAAAAAAAGAGGAGTCGACCAGTTTCAAGAAGGTCTTTCTATATTATGCAATAAAGAAAAAACAAGTTTCTCTGACTGGCTCTTAAGAAAATTTTATATACTTCATTTGTATATTCATATTTTTAATAAAGTTACATTATATTTCACAGCAAACCATACACCGTACGTTTAATACAAATACAACTTTATGCAAAACACATTTTGCTGCTCCATTTTTGTATGTCACATATTTTCGCGTAGCAAAATGGTTATTTACGATGCAGCGCCTCGTCCGTGTAAAGCAATCGATTCGATTCATTTCTTGCCGTTTAACATGAAGGAAAGGAAGATTAGATTAGAGACAAGGTAATGATATAGCTCGAAATTTTGCAATTCTGCCGTTTGAATTAGTCACCGGTTAAGTTGATCCGGGTTCAATTGAAGTCGCCCTTAAGGATTAGTCATATAGTATAGACAGTCGCGAACGCGAACGTGTTCGCCCGTTGCAATATGCATATTGGAAAGTGAAATGTTGCGTTTCACCCAATCAACCGATCGGTGGGGGTCGTAGGCTGCGGCGAAGATGTAGGGATCACGCAGTTTACGGTGTTTGACCCACTAACATTCTCCTCAGTTACTCGGCGCGGCGGCCCCGATAATCCGCGCGTGCTGAGTACCTGTGAAATTACATCGGAGACATTCGACGGTAAAAAATAAAAAATAATAATGCGTCGACATCACGGTCTTCTGTTATCACTCTCGACGTGCCTGGCGATGGTTCTCATCGTTCTGAACACGCGGTCGTTCACGGAATCACTCGGGTCCGCGATCATCGCCGAGAAACGTAGCGCGTTGAAGGAGCAAGAAGTATCGCGTGCCGATGATCGATGGACCACCCGCAGCCAGGTGAAAACTGTACCCAAATATATGTCTGTAATAAATAAGACTAAATAACACTCAACGTCGATTGTATATTAATGTGGCATGAACTAGAAAATTTGACGAATCCCGCATTGACGTCATCTCAGAATGTCCCCGCTCGAATCTTATGGTCGTGTACGTTTAATGTATTCTACGAGCTTGTATCAATTTCGAGACACGTGTGCCGCGGAATATATCTAGATTTAATTATTTAATTAGTGAGCGTGGCGGAGATGCAGCCTCCAAGCAATGCACCGGAGATCACTTGTGCTTGCGCAACGGAGAGTGCATTCTTCGAGCATGAGTATGGAGCGCGAGCGCGTCGTTCGTGTTTCGTGTTATTACAGAATCATAATCGCGCCGGTCGCCGAACGTGATCGGCAATTTATGTACAATTAATTCCGCGCGATTAAATTATAATTGGCCAAAACTAATGGTCGAAACGTCACGACGATTATAATTGATAGCCAGTTAGGTCGAATAAAAAAAACAATTATTGTTAATTTCGCGTAATTAAATTCCGTCTTCGGCTTTTCGCGATTGTTTACGATTGTTTAACTGTCAAACAGGCGCGCCGGTACGTCACACCGTCCCTCGCTGAATTGGGCGACTTGCCGTACAAGCACAAGCACGTTCTCATGCTGACACGCATACCTGGTGCGGGCGCCGAGCTGATGGTCCTGATCCTGCAGCGGTTGCAAGGGTACAACGCTTTCAAGCACATACGTCTACCACCAGGCGATCATGGACTCTTGTCAACTTCGCAGCAGGTGAGAAAGAATTTTTCCTGAGTTCTATCCGAGACTCGAACGTTGACTGACCTTACGAATAATTTAAATAAATATTTTTTTATTTACGATATTTCACGAAAGTTTTTTGTCGCAAACCATAAGATATTTTTAATTCGACAGGAGTTGCTGGTGGAAGAAATTACGGGTATCATCAGACAAGAAGCTATTCCCTTAACTTTCGACGGGGACGTAAGATTCCTGAATTTTTCGGAATTTGGACGGCAAGGGCCTACCTTTATATCTTTAGTAAGAGATCCTTTGGACCCACGAATCTGGCAAAGGTATATGCACATATATTCAAGTTTCCCCCGCTATCCGAAAGTAGAGAGTTCCTACGTAAGGCGAAATGGCGTAAAAAACGAAGAAGCAATTACTATTAATTAATTTATATAGAAAATTTTTTTTTCGTAAAAACGCAAATCTTTTTGGATTTCTTTTGGCTAACAGATATTAATGTAGATACCAATGTACCTTTCCAAAAACGGGGGTATCTATATATATCTTTTTTATATTTATAAAAATCGAGGGAAGGGAGAGAATGAAAGGTAACAAAGTTTTACAATGAAGTAACAGTATTGTTTTGACATGATTTAGGAATAAAAAAGGAGAGGAAGAGATGCTTTATCATGGGGTTATACCTTATTTTTGTGGGCAGGATCCGCGTTGTATGTAAGTATTAACATCTTTGTCAGTTCAAATAAATCTGATTGCGTATAATCTCACGTAACATTTTATTGAGTAGCGAGGCATCTCTGTTAATTTGTCTGAACGCGCTGGAGCGAGGATAAACATTTTTGCGAAAAAGAAGTAGTAGAGTGGCTGCTATTGATTTTTACTGTACATGTGTTTTCCTCTAGGGAACAAAATAATACGTGGGCGACGGAACGAGCTAAAGCAAATGTTATTCGATGGTATCCTGTTGTTGGCATATTGGATTACATGGAGGAATCGCTAAACGCGCTTGCAGCCGAATTTCCCTATTTTTTCAAGGGCGCTATACGTGTCTATGATCATTTTCGTAAGTACTCGTATAAATATTTGCCGTCCACATATCTATGTAATGTAATCTTATCGATTGAGCATTCCGTCTGTCATTCTTTCACACCCGTTTTTTATATACAGGACCAAAGGAGAAGCACTCGTCCATCTTTTCGGCAACTTTAAAGCTACGAGTTAAAGACGTGGCCTTGAGAAAAGTGCTCGCACAGGAGGTAGATTTTTATCAATGGCTGAAATCCCGACTTCTCGATAAAGATTTCAGCAACGGCTGAAAATACAGTCAAATAAAAATGGATAAAATCTTTAATAATAATCGCGACATTTCACGAATCTTCCTAAAAGGACTAAAATAGAAAAATAAATTTTTAAAGTCGTTTCTCATAATTTCGTAGTTGTTATACCAAAGAAGCAAATGTGAACTTCTCGTGCCATCTAGAGTTTGATTCTGTAACCATTTACATCATCCTACGTAGAGGATAACTCTTCGTCAAGTACTACGGTACGTAAATTGTATGCGATTTTAACGAATTGTAGCGTATCTTGGAATAATCATGATAACTTGATGTGCATGCAGTAGAACGCATTCGCACATTATGAATAATTTAAATGTCAATGTAGTTTAATATTTGTAGAATAAATACAGAAGAGTACAAAGAAATGCTTTACGTACACGTCATCTCCTTTCTTCTCATTTTCCTTTTTTTCCCTGTCGGCACATTTTCACAACCAAAGACAAAAAATATAGAATGCAATCTACATAATCAGCTAATTATGTACACAGAAATAAACATGAAATGCTATCTCCTTTTTTTATGTAGACAACGTTGTTCTTTACAAAAGAAATAATATGTGGACATCGAGTGCGTTGTTCTCTATGCATAATTTTGAGCGAGAATATTGAATTACATCAATAAAACGTCTTGCAAACGTAGCACGATTAATTTTTCTAGATTCTGCAGAATAAAAATATAAAAATAATTACCATTGTCGTTATCATTAGCACGTATACATGCCTATCATGAATGAGAGAGTCAAGGAGGATCGGGGAGCGAATTAGATTGATCGACGCGCGGGTAATGCATGCAACAGGACAACAGGATCATGTTGATGTACAGATGGACGAGCAACAACATGAGAAATGCGTGCCATCACTTCTTCTTCGCGTCTTTCAACCCGGCGCCTGCGTTGAACTTGAAGAAAATAATGTCGCCATCCTCAACTACATAATTACGTCCTTGCTGTCTGTACTTTCCGGCGGCCTGGAAACAAAATAAAAGGTAATGTAATGAGTAAAAAACGTACTGTCTAATACGGAAATTGTTTCAAGTACCTTTACTGCTCCTTCCGAGCCCTCGTTCTTAAAATCTTCAAATTTCATCACTTCCGCCATAATAAATCCCTTTTCGAAATCCGTGTGTATCTTGCCAGCAGCCTGAGGCGCTTTCATTCCTTTCTGCGTGAACAAATAGAACATATTTTTATATTACAACATTAACGCTCATTAATAAAGTATATTCATAAAATTAAAATTTATGTTATGCTATGATGAAAAGATAAGGGAGGAGAAGAGATTCATCAAAAATATATAGATAATACATAGTTTTCTTATTAATATTAATGTTATTTTAAATATATAATTTTAACTTTTTTCATAAACTATATTGATGTCATTTAATAAATCAATATGCGATTTTTATTTAATTTAAATGCACTATGAATCTCTAAGTCTACCTGAATTGTCCACGCTTTGACTTCATCGTGACCAGACGTGAAGAAATATTGCAGCTGTAGCGCCTTGTATCCTTGTACGATGATTTTGTCAAGTGCACTAAACAGAGAGAAAAAAAAGTGAATAAATGCGTTTCTTTACTGAAACCAGGATACGTGTTCTACTATCTACGGTTGCGTCGAACAACGAGATATATGTTTCTCACTTTCCGCGAATCACGAAAAAATAAGGCGCGTCCGCGGTCAAAGCGGGAAGTGTTCGAGTTATGGAATAAGATTGTCTCGGGCCAAATATCGTCTAATGACGGGTTAGCGCAACTGTGGAGCCGTCCAACGCGCGGTGGGCCCTCGGACGAAAGTCCGAGAGTTCAGAGAATACACATAAAGCCGAACGACTTAATACCGCAATTTTATCATTCCGACTCTGGCCGGGGACCTATTCCCCGGCGCCTCAGTTATCTGCGGTCTCGAAATAAAATCACGGTATCTTCCGTCCCTTCGTTTGGATTCCCCGATCATTAAGCAAACTTTTGGGGGTATCGCGGATTCTTCCTCACTGCCGCGAAAGTCCGGGAAATGTTATATAACGAATATCGCAGAGAGAAAATACCAAACGTGTATTCTTTGCTCGCCTTAATTTTTTTTCTAAGTATTTCCCAACATCCGCATCTCTTTCCCGCTTATTAAAGTACTTTCTAGTGTATCGTGTCGGATTTAATTCAACGTTGTTCAATACCCTAATTGAGTCTCGGCTGATAATTGCAACTGTGCCGTACGGCTCGATTAAAATTCACTCTGACAAGTAAAAAAAAAAGAGAGATCGTGATGCAAGTCTGTACGCGTATACCACGTGCAACGCACGCACCGCCCTGGGGTACAAATGACCCGCTAACCAATCGAATTGCCGAACCACCACCGATTACTTCTCGCTCCACCCACCTCCTCGATTATACCAGCGTGCCCGCGAGGGCGGGAGGGGTTTTTATGCAATTTTGCAAGAATTTGAATAGCCGTTCGTAAAAATATAATATGCGCCGCGGCCGAGCCGGCCACGGTTTTTATTAGCCGTCCCACGTGGTGAGAGTTGGGACAGGGGTCTAGACGCCGACCGTGCCCACCATTATTATTACCGTTAGAGAATAACTCGGTGCATAGCTAAATGTGGGAACTCCCCAAAACTCGGCCGAGGGAGATGCGGGATTTTACGAACGTTCCGACCTTCTTTTCCCTGCAATCTTGCGCGGCGCTTCGTCGTCGGCCGGCAACGAGCGACGCATATATGCGAGAGAGCCACACTACCGAATTTCTCTAAGTTTTAAGGCGGCGGTAAACGACGCGGGACCGTACCCCCTTATTTGCGAGCGCGACACAGCAACATTTAGAGGGTAAAAGTTAGTAATAATCGTTATAACGGACCGAGAAGATACCGACCTGGTGACTTTGTGTTCCTCGAAGTATTTTGCGCGCTCCGCCTCGTCCATATCGAGAATCTTGTTTTCGAAGACGCCGCTGAAAGGGATTAACACCGCGCCCGGGTCGTTCTTGTCGACCCATTCTTTTATCTTGATTAACCTGTTACAGAGAATCGCGAAAGATATGACAAACTCGTAGAGCGATTACGATAGGTATAGGAGGAGTATACTTGTTTAAATCGCGTACCATTTGTTCTTCTTGCGTATGTAATCCTTTTCCGACAGGTTTACCAGATAGATAATCGGTTTTGACGTAAGGAACAGATATTTGTTCAATACTTCGATCTAAAAGTTGAAAGCGCAATGCAAAATTAAAATAGAAGACTCTTTTAATAATTCGTGATAAAATACAAATGTGAAACGTTTAAACTTACATCATTGGCACTCCAATCGGCAAACCTGATGTGTTTTTTCTCGTCCGTCAGGACGCCCTTTACCTTCAGAAGCGTATCCTACGAAACAGGGATTGAAAATTTCCATTTAATCTCGAAATTCGTTTCTATTGCGTAACGGCCTTATTTCTCGACAATCAAACGTAACGACTTCGACATTCGTCGATCTCGCCAGACATTCGGATGCACGAACGCGGGCCATCGAGTAGGATAATTTCGCGATCGAATCGTGATTAGAGGATCGTACAGGACTAGTCGGGCGCGCGGTCCCATTAGCTCCGCCGAGGGAGAGAAAGAGAAAGGACGAAAAGGTAGCTTCGAATTCTCGAAAACTTTTGCCAAATTGCAAAGTCGAGAACGAGGGGGAGATCGGTAATTGCCGTGGGTCAATCCGCGGAAGGAAGGTAATCCGACGATCGACTCGTTCCAGGAAGCCTCGTTTCGCCCGCGCGCGTTCTCTTAATTTCCTCGGTAATTTCGTAGTTGGCCTTACAAAGGGGGCTGCAACTGTACTCGGTAGACGTTCATGCGCCGCGTATGAACATCAAGCGAGGGGGAAAAAACGCCAGAAATTCCTCAGAGTCTCGTGACAAAGAGCAACTCGGTGAGAAATCGATTCGGCATAATAATCCGAATTATGGTCTTTTAAAGAAATTTTATGTATTAAAAATATTAAATACGCGCCTGCAACACATCACATCACAGACGATCTCGTGACTTCGTGTACAAATAAATTTCAATATGTAGTCAATGGAGCCGAAGGAAGGGTGAACGGTCGAGCGCATGAAACGCGAATCGCGTGATTTACGTTCTATATGCGATGTCGCGTTTGCAGGAAGTAACAATACGTAGGCACTTGTTGTAATCGATGGAATTAGGGCGTTATCACTAATTGGGAATACCAATTTTCTTCGTTTTCCTATGAAATTATCACGATAGCTCAGGACGTGTCACTGTGTACGTAGGAAAAGTCAGTAGTTACGTTGCGCCGGTTATAGCATACAGAGCAAACGATAAGCTTCCTAAATGACATGCCGAGAAAACTCGATAATGGCAAATGAAAACATTCTTAGCCGAGTAGAATTTTTGCAAAACTGGTCGCTCTTTCAATTACCGAAAATATATTTTCACGTGGACAATGCGTTTCCCCATTGAAAGACCTATTCTACTGAAATGTAATGATCAGGCACTCACGTATTCAGGTTTTAGCTTCTTGTCATTACCACGTATCACGAGCTTCTCGAGCTTCTCGAGGTGTACGTTCAAAAATTCCACGTCCTTCAGTCGTAACTCCTCGCTGATGATATCGAGGTCCCTTACGGGGTTGACATCACCCTCAATGTGAGTGACATCGTCGTCCTCAAAGGCACCTAATAAAGCACAAGTAAACAGATTACGCGCGCCGAGCGAGGAAGCGTAATCTCGAAACTGGGGCTGTGCGATGCTCGTAAGTTAAGTAACGCTCGCCTCAATGCGAGGCTCGCATGTCGACTGTTTAAGCGAGCCGCCGCCACCGCCACGCGAAGATTGCCGGGTTGGTTTAATTGAAAAAATTACCACCTGTCAGCCTGCCAGGGCGTATTAACCGGCAGAACTACCTCGAAATGTTATTTTCAGTGCGAATATAATATATACCTAACGATCGTTCTCTCAGACAAATCAGCAGCCGTTTAGCGAATTACTGCGTGTTACATTATCGCGATGTAAAATATTGGATTACGCCGCTTGTGGCCCTTGCCCTGGATATGAAAAAACACCGCGTGCCGCTGATTTTATTGACAATTATACGTGTTTCTGCGCGAACGCTGCAAGATAAATTCACTTTTTCACTTTCGGCAACGTTCGCGCTTTACACGAAGAAAATATTGTAAGATTACAATAAAAATGTTTCTCATGTACTAGAACTTACCTTCATTATAACGGAAATTACAGATATTTTTATTCAAGGATATACCTATTTGTTTTATATTTTACAAAAGGATTATTGTGATTATTCAAATATCGTAATGTACAATTTAAATTATAATTTATAATTTATATCACAATATTTTCTTCGTGTACTTTGATCGTGATAACATTAATAATTAAGTATGTGTTACTCACAAATGTTTGATGCTAATCAATTAAATTTCTCAGTTCAAAATTGAGTTTCTCAAGAAACAAGAAATGTTAGAATAGTTGATCAAAGCTTGCATTAAACTTGCGCTAGCAATTAAGCACGCTTTCCAAAAAAATTAAGATCCTTTAAATATGTACTAAATATATTGAATTTATATTTTATTACGTCATGATATTTTTTGCTTTTATTTTTCATTTCACACGTGTGAGGTGCACGCGAATATATTTGTAATAAGATAGACGCAGGTCGATCGATCTGGATTATCGCGAAGGATAATAATGTAATGCGTTTCCAGGAAGATAGTTAGCGACAGCTATAAACACGTAACGCCAGCGAGGTACACGTGTCGTAAAAATACTAAAAATAAGTTCGCATCCGCGATTACACGTTCATCGAGCGTGGAGTAGGTAAATATCGTTCGAGACCAATCTCTCGATCTCATCGACAAAGATTTCCCTCTTTTCCCGTAATCATTCTTGTCGCGATTCCGTGAAAATACGGCTTTTCCTGCGATTTATTTATTTACGCGAGGACGCGCCGCGCACGTCAGCGCGGAACATTACGACGATATTAATAACGGAAACGAATCGAGTAAATATGAACGGGGATAGTGACGAACGGCGACGTGGCAAGTGGTAGCGTACTTACGACAAAGATGAAATATGCCGTCGCACGCTCCGACGTGCGAGAGAAAACTGTTTCCTAAGCCTTGTCCCTCGGAGGCGCCTTTCACCAGTCCAGCGATGTCCATTACGTGCAGGAAGGCGGGAACTTTACTGGAAATCCGAATTTCTAATTATAATTATCAGATAAGAATAAATGTCGGACAACATACGTAGTTTTAGCCATAGTCTAAACTTTTCAAAGTCTAAACCGAGACATGTGTAATTTGTTATTACACGGGATAGTATTCCGAGGACGCGAACCGCGCTTTTCGCTCGCTGATTTCATCGCAACGGAGGTCACTGATGATCGCGAATTAAAGGTCGAAGGCATGTGCCGCGTGATGCACGCGCGCAGAATGGAAACCGGGGGGGAGACGACAGTGACAACGAGGTGTATTTAAATGCTAATGCCAACGGGCTCATTAAACAATTAGCCTTTGAAGGGAGGCGTCGGTGAAAGTGGACGAACTGACGATTGGAGTGACGGAGGGAGAGGGATGGTGTATTAGCCGGCTTTCATCACGGATCGTCGAATCATCCGACACGTGCCGGCAGTCGGGGAAGGGGTCCGTCGGTCCGACACATAGACGACGAGAGAACGCAAACGATAATAGGGCGGGCGAGGAGGGCACCGATGAATCGGCCGCTCTTTGATCCGACGCTGTTTCGCATTTTCAATGCTTCGATTCCCGTCGAATCTGGCGCAAGACAAGCGCAATTTACATTCAGGCATCCGCGTATGAAGTCGACCGAGGAGAGAGCGGAGTTTTATTAACTGTCCGACTCTCTCGCCGAGTAAGTAAGTAAGTAACGAGAATCGCGCTCCCTTGCGCAATGGCGACGTTCGAGCACGCTCACGATAATCGAAAATAACTGGCTTTGCCGGTATTTCCCCGATCGATACTATATTATTTTCAAGATGCCGTCATCTGCCCCGCGTCGCCGTGTTATTTGCCGATTGTTTTATTCGAAAATCTACCGCCCGCGCGCTGCTCGCATTAAGAATGCTGCATCACGTGCCGAGGCGAATAAAGAAACGTGTAGCGCCGACGAACGGGGACTTTGCCGTTTCGTAGACGAATTTAGACCAATCTGAATTGCAGATCGCTCCTCGCTCCCTTCCCTCCCCCCCCCCCCCCCCCCCCCCCCCCGCTCGTCTTGCTGCGAGAATAAAAGCGAAGAAGTATGGAAATGTCCCCGGTTATTCCGACTCGTTTCCCTTCACGAGGGTGCATCTTTACGCCGCGTACTATATGCTTCCATTCTGTGTTATACACATTTACCCTATGCTACGTTCAATGTACTTTTTGGGAACATTCGTCGCTGTTTCTTACCTAGCTGGTTTAAAGTATTCGCAGAGGTAGTCGAATCTCGTGTCGGGCACCGGAACGCGACGTGCTGGAAAAGAAAAATGGGAATAGCTTGAATTCTCGACAACGTAAAAGCGATTAATAATGTTTCGCAGAACACACAGATATTTTTGTTAGATAAACATGTCCACGCGATGACGTACATACGTACAACATAATATTTAATCGGAATATTTTGGCACGGATACACAGGGATTGAACTTCTTCTTCATAGTGTCAGTAACGATCTCTATAATTCTGTCTCGTCCCGCGATTCGTTTGCTCGCAGCCTCGTATATGTCCATCTCGATCAAGTTTTCGGTCACGTTGCGCGTCTTCAAGTGAACGCCGATGCAAATCGCCGCGCTGACGGCCGCCGACAGGCCGAATATCTTCGGACGACGAGCGGCGATTAGATTCACAGCTTCGACCAGCGCTTTCGCCACCGTCTGCTCCAGAAAACCCAGGTCCGGCAGACGTCGCACTTCGATCGGCGGGAGCTCGCGAGGAAACGCGATATCCGTATTGGAGTATTTATCGTGCTGCGCGAGAAACTTCTCGCGACATTCCTCGCTGCAAAAGAGATATACCTTATCCTTGAGGATAACACCCAGCTCGACTCTGCCCGGCGTCAGCCTGCGATCCGGCAGGCCGTCGACGTAAGTCACTAGACACAACCCGCCGACCTGGAGACGTCGCGCCCAACAAGCGTGCTCCGGGTCAACTACCTCCCGCAAAATCCGAGGTAGCTCGTCGAGAAGAGACGCGGTAACGGGTGAAAGGTAACGCAGCGGATCCTTAACGAAGGCGTTCATATGTCGCGGACAGATCCAATAAAAATATTCCCTGAACTGGACCATTCCCTGACTGGTCACCGACTGGCCGGAAGTCTTCAAGATGTTTTCGCGGGACAAACAAACCGGACAGTACGACTTGAATCGATTCTGCCGTGATCGAAACTCGTAGGGTGATACGCACATGTGCTTTAAACTGTGAACCTTGTCCGAGTTCGCCTCGCGAAAATAATGCACGATGTCGGCAAATCGCGAGCGTACCGCGTGATCCGCGCGAGTCCACACGTGCCACTTACTTTTCGTTGCATCTAATTCAACCACGTTCTGCGAGAATCCTTTTAGCCAGTCCCGAAAGCTCGCCTGGCTCGTTTGCCAGTCCTCGTAACGTCGCGACAGAAAATCGGCGGATAAATTCAATGGGCTTCTCGTGTCGTCGTTATCCCAGGAGAGGCATTCGAGACAGAACTCCAAATCCGCCTTGAGATCAAGCACGATCATCGGCTGTATTCCTAAGACAGCTAGCTGCTCGGCTTCCTCACGATTCGCAGGACAATCGTCCAGAATGTAACCCTGAGTCGCCGCGCGTGGTCCTATGCAGAACATTTCGATGGCACGCGTTACAGATTCGCACGAAGCAGTCTGGCCGGCTCGAAGCTGATCTTCGATTATTCGCGCCGACTCGGTCCAAGGATAGTATCTCAATACGTGGCGCAACGCCTTGCCGCGAGTAATTACCTTCATGCCATACGTTTTCGCGAAACGATTTGCTAACGTTGTTTTTCCGCATTTCGGCGGCCCGATGATAGAGATTCGAAGCGGAATAAGTGGCGGACGGAGGTCCCGCGCGAGATACTTCGAGGGGTCATTCAGAAACGCGGAGAGGGCTTCTTCGCCCGCAAGGAAATAAATATGCGGACGGCGTATGACTGGAAAAATCTGACCGCGCGCTTTCATCGGTAGAAACATTGAAATTGGTATCGCATTGTATATTTGCACGGGACACCATCGACCGAAGGAACTGAAAAAATAGTAGCCGCAGTCGAGAAGCCTTTCGGCTGTGGCGAGATCGACGATGAGATTGTCTTCTTTCTTCTCTTCAACATCTTTATCAGCCAAATTTGCTTCGTTTTCCATGGCTGTTGTTTCTTCCAGTATTTTGTCCTCTTTATTTTTTTCTTCGACGTTCGCGGCGGTAGTGACGACATCGAAACGATGTCTAATATAATTTATTACATATTCCATTACATTTTCGATATTCGCGAGATTGCACTTTATCACATTTCCTTTAAATTCGGGAATTTGTCCCGCGAATCTTGCCCACTCCGATTCGAATTGCGTTAAATGCTCAAGATATTCCCATTCCGCTTCCTCATTCAATATTCTACGTTCTTCACGATCCGCCTTCGTATCGTCTATAGAATCGTCAAGATAAGAGAAAATGCGAAACTTATTCAGCAGATAGGCGTACGGCTCTTCTTCGAATAAAACGACAACTTCTTCGAAAACGATGTTAGCCTCAACAATTTTTCGCCAGACTTCGACGTCCACGCACATTCCGTCGACAATGTATCCACCATCTCTACGAAGCCCATCTTCTAACTTCTCGTCAGGTATTCGCTTGATGTTCCGTATAATAATATCAGCTTTTTCATCAACCGATATGTCGATAGGCTTCAGCGAAACTCGTGCATTCGAATCGTTCTCGAACTCTTGAAACGGATACTTTTCACGTTGTTTAACTAACTCTTTTATAATTTTATCAACATTTATCACCGTTCCGCCGAGAATCTCCGCCAACCTCGTGCTAAGTTCCGATTTACCAGCGTATTTTGGCCCGAACACCGCTACCTTGCAGGCCGGTCGCGGATTCGGCGGCAATAAGAATGTTCTCGGATTTTCGATGAACAAGTTTTTGGCTTCTCGAGAAGAAAGAAAAAATATGTTATCCAGGAATCGCACCGCGTGCTTCGGGAGTCCCTTAACGGTTCGTCCTTGAGCGAGCTCGACAGGGCAGTAAAAGTTCCACGCGGAAAGTCTCCAGGGAAATTTGATAGACACAACTTCTCTCCGTCTCAGCATCTCGAAAGTCTCTTCAGCAGATTTCTCCGCGAACTCATCGCTCGACGTCATCTCTGAAGACATTTCTGGAAAACGTGCATCATTCTGCTCGATCATCTCTTTCGGAAGGATCGACGGTAGTAATGGCAAAGTACGCAAACGCGTTTCGAGGATTTGAAGTATTCGTCGCACGGAACTGCGGCCGTCCACGCGGACTACATGCTGAGGATCATGTGCGAGGATCCATTTATCGATTACTGGCAACGCCAATCGTTCGTAAAGGTCACATTTCGCCACGATATCGTTCGTCACGTCGGATATTAATCTCACCGATCTTCGATCGTCATCCGCGATCAGTTCGTTCGCAGCTTGGGAGAAGTCGTACGAAGTGTCCGATTCGTCGCGTTCAGATTCAGACAGCACCGTGAATTCGTTTTCATAAAAAATATCGCCTGTCGAATAATTTACGCGTCGGCGCGCACACCTGCTCGCTACATCTCGCTTCGAACACACGAGATAAATAATTATTAGAGGTTTTCTCGGCCATACGGTAAATACTTCGTCAATCTGTCGAGCGATTTCTCGCACGTAATCAAATTGCGTTTTACAACCCGAATTATCGAACGTAATCGAATCTTCGTGCGCTTCGTGGGATTCAATCGTCGCGTTTTCGCAAAATTCTGGACAAGTACCATTTGCATTCGAAACGGAACTACAATATGAATAATCGAAGCTTACATTGTTAGGAATAAACGGTAAACATCCAATGACGTAGCCTCTGTGTTTGACATCCCTCATCCTGACTCTGCTTCGTATCAAATTCGCAAGAATCTCCGGTCCTACAGATCTACCGAGCCGCAAGATTTTTTCCATGTAACGGCCCTTGTCAGTGCCAGCATCGATCTCTTGCTTAATGAGCGACGTGGGTGAAATTAAAACGCAGTTCCAAGCGTCGGCTACCGCTGACGCTACATTGGCATGATCTAATCCAGGTTTCCCAAAAATAACGAAACTCGGTGGATCGGTTCTAAGATAATGATTTACAGCCTCGTCTTTCGAATAAGGATCTCGATTCGCAAAGAGTTTCTCGCGAGACACAGCTTGCGGCGAAAGCTTTTCTTTTTCAAAAAACTTAGAAGCGGTGACGATCCTTTCCATCGGATGTATATCTTCGGCGAAAGCGTAATATAAATTAGCCTTTGGATGTACAATTGAGGAGGGTGCAACAATTTTTTGCACAAAACGAGAATCTCCGATTAATTCTAGAAAGCTTCTTTTCGTGATAAACGATTCGTCGACGAAAACGTTCTCGGCATGACTCCGCTCCCGTTTTTCCAAGAGTTTGTCGCACATTTTCGGTTCGTAATTATCAATAATTTATATATCGACGACTTTAATTTCAGTTTAATATTTTGTCACGTGGCTGTATATTCGAGCGAGGTTAAACAAGCGACGTCGAAATTATTTGTTTATAAATGCGCCGTTTAAATTATTATTTCAGGTAAATAAGATAGAGTGCAATTTAAAATGGAGTTCGGTTGATTATTATTAAGACAAAAAAAACAGCTATCTCAACGGATAACTTAATTATATTTTTTAATAATATAATAACGTATAGAAATAGGAAAGAGGGATCGAGGATATTCGAGACTTAAATTCTATTAATATCGTTCAAGATTCTCACACGAGTATATCGAGATACTTATTTTCATTAGGATCGATGGTGCAGAAGGGGAAATTCTCGGCCGCTGCTTGGCTCTTGGTGAGAACGTTGAAGAAGGTCGACTTCCCCACATTCGGTATTCCGACTATGCCCATCTTTAAATTAGTACCAACGCGACCGATAAGCGGCTTCCGCTCGGGTTCCTCGGGCTTCTTCGGAGCCATGCTAGACATACAAGAGACGTCGCATATTAATACGCCGCCGAATTACCCGAATTTTATCGCCGGTGTCCTTCGCAGAACGATGTGGAACGAGTGCCGCGCGTGAGGCGTGGTATATACGGAGCATAATCGGGGCTAACGGCCGACGACGAGACCAGCGACTTCGTCTGTCGCGTCGTGGACGCGGGACGCACGCGGTGCCCCGAGGGTGCGCGGCGCGTCGTCGATACTCGCATCCCCCGAAATACTTAAGCGCGGCTGCGATATTTTCGTGCATGCGTGCGTGCGTGCGTCGCCCGGGGGCGCAAGCGAGAGAATACGGAATCCGCTCCCCGGCATCGCTCTCTCGAAACGCTCGCGGTGACTAATTATATTAATGCGGACGGCACATCGCGAGCGATTGCTGTATTTACCGCGAGATTGAGCTCCCCGTCCCGCCGGCATACGGCCGAGCCGAGCCGAGCCGAGCCGCGCCGCGCCGCGCCGCGTTGTATCAAAAGACCGAGGGAGGGCTGCGCGGGAGGAGGAATACGAGGGCCCGGGCGAGGGGGGAACCCGGGATTACTGGGCACCAGAGCCGCGAATCACCGGCATCACGCCGAGAATCCGCAACCGCGCCCGAGGCCGCCAATCCGCCACCGTCTTCGCGGTTCCTGTTCCTCCTCTCTCTCCCCACGCTTCGCCATCTTCCTCTCTTTTCCACCCCTTATAGCGGTCGGCCGCCCCTTTCTCCGCGCGCCGCACTCGCGCGTTTCAACGCGAAACCACGGGCGCCTCTCGTCGTTTTTCATCGCGGTCCCGGGGAAATTTGCAAATTACGATAATGGAGGAGCATCTCTCGAAGAAGCGTTCCGCCCGCGATGCTACTCGAGACTCTCGAGAGCCGAGAGAGAGAGAGAGCCCCCAGAGCTGCCTTGGCGCCGCGGCGTGACCGTCCCTCCCCTTTTACGACGTCGTCTCGCTTTTGCGGATCGCTAGACGCACGGTTAATGGGCGATCCCGGACTCCGGAGACGCGCCGCGCCGTGCCGCGCCGCCTCTGATCGAGATTGAACCCTCGTGGCCTCGAGGCTGCTGTTAATCGCGAAAAATCCGCAAAACGCTTCACCGAGGAAAGACTCCTCGACGAGTTCGCATTGATAACGATATGCGAGAAGTCATTATCGAGTATTTCAAGGCAGGAAGTTACTGATTGCGCTGCTGACTTCGAGAATTGATACACTATAAAAAATAAACGTTTGTCGTTTTTAAATTTGAATCCTGCGAAATTCCATTCGCTAAATCATCCTGCTAATATTTTTGCGTAAGAGACTAAACATATGGCAAAACATGATGACCAAAATTATTAAAATTGTACTTTCATGTATCTATTATTCTATTACATATAACAAGATTGCTTTCTATGTGCTCTGTGTAGAAATAAATAAATACAATTTACAATATTTATATACTTAATTAAGGAATAAAAAAGAAAACTTGATTAAACATTTTTTAAATTTTGATAAAATAAACCTAAACGATTTATATGTTTAGAGAAATTATATGTTTAGCTTTTTCGATCGTAATAAAATTTTCTGTTTTAAAAGAAATAGGAAAATAAATTCTAGCAAACTTAACAATTGATTTTTAATTATATTTCTCGTAGTTGAACAGCTCCACTTTGAATTAACAAACTCATAGATTAAAAAAAATGTGATTGCTCGTAAGGATTAAGATTCAAAGAAAACTTAAGCGATTTATATGTTTAAATAGATAGCTTCTTTCAGCTGTGATAAAACCTTCTGTCTCAGAAGAAATAATAAAATAAATTCTAGCAAACTTAATTGATTAATTAATAATATTTCTTGTAGTTAGACAGTTCGAATTAGAGTTAACAAACTCACAGATTCGAATAAATATGATGCCTCGTCAGAATCACTGTCAAGATTTGAATAATTCGCATAGTTAAAATATCCAAGTTCGAGTAATCGAACAATCCGATAAATTAATCACCCAAATATTAAAATCTTAATTAATCCATATATTTACGACCTTTGAAACTTCCAAACGCGTTTTAACTCCGACTGCTCCGATTCGAGTTGGAAGTTGAAACGCGCGCGCCTCGCAGCTGCGGAGCGGCGACCCGTTGAACGGTGCTGCCGCGCGACGGCCGGCAGTCGGAGCTTCTGTACCGCACAGCAAAACTTAACCTTACCTCGCTACCGGAACGATCGCACGTCGACGGGACACCGTCACGTTTCCGCGAACGAATCTCTACGGACTTACGAGCGCTACGTCCATATCCATCGCGGCGGAGTATCAAGGGGTACCATACTGCTCCGACGAGCTCGACGCATGTGGCTCGTTGCATCAGCGACGTTCGCGATCTCTCTCTCTCTTTCTCTTATATCTCACATGCGTATGCATTCCCATGTCGAATCCGGAGGCCCCGCGAAATCAAAAAAACAGCGCGCTCCGCACTCGTTCCACTCGGCCAGCGCGCACCGCGTAAAGATCCCTTCGAAAGAATACCTCGACACGTCTGCGTTTTATCCGCGTTACGATTATCTCACAACGTTCGCCGATACACGAGACGAGCGGCACGTAGACGACGTCACGGATTCGACCGGCGACCTACGGGTTGCAGGGTTTCCACTTATCCGCTGGAATCCGTGCAGAGAGAGAATATACCATGCCTGCCGCGCGGTCGCTCCGTCGATGATGCAGTTTCAGTTGAAAGGGTGGAGGGAGGAGGAAGATCCCAATTCTCCCCGTGATTCTCTCCGTCCGCGCGCACATATTCCGCCGAGATTATTTTTCTCCATGGTAATTGCGAACGTCTTTATTAAGCGTAAGAAACGATATTCAATATAACTAATTATATCGTATTAATAAACTACAGTTAAATCCGAATACGCCAATCGCGAGACCGGCGAGACTTTGCGGTTAGAAAATATCAGAGAAAAATCGATAACGATCGAACGAGTTTGAAAGAAGTATGTAATGAAGTTTGCCGGTTAAGTTATTCAACTGTGAATTGCAGCTTGCAAGTGGAGTCGGTTTACCGCGTCGCTCCTCGCGTCGTCCGTGTCGATCCGTGTTTCTTTCCCTTTTTCTGAGTTTCCCTGTGCTGAGTTATACGTCGATTGGTAGATTAATAATCATATGATGTAGAAGTTCGTGTGACGCTGGCGCACATACGTTATAAGATGTACGCGATAGATATATCCGCGATACGTGATCGAGTCGTAGCAATTTCCGTGTGCGTAGTGCGAGGTTACCCGTGTCCCGCGTCGCCATTTTCTCAAATTATTTCGTGTCTTTCGGAGGTGTCTTCTCTCCTGACGTAAAATCGCCATATTGATGAATTATATTGGTGAGCGAATTTTCATATCGATTCATCATATTTACCCTGTACGTTTAATTAATGTTATACTAACAATTTGGAGGCATTAATTGAGAAAATGTAGTTTCGGCGAGATCAATTTTAAAAGAAATTGATGATGCTCCATATACGCACAAGAGAAATATGCGATGAAACTTAATTGCTAAATTATTTATATCTACTATTTATAGTTTCAATCGATTGATTTATTGCATCGTATTTTTTGTTCCAGGAGAATGTGAGTTACGTTTGGCAGTATAAGAGCTTGTGTAACACCAATGCAAATATATATGTGAAATGTAAGTACACGATAGATATATTCATCATGCTAACAATATTATAAGTGATCGAATTTATCCGTGTGAATCAAAGTGAATCATAAATTTCTGTGTGAAATACTGTATAGTCATTATTGCCATTGTGTCAAATTACTTTGTCTTCCGCAGAATCTCTATTAGCGTAAAATTATCATAGGATGAATTATTGATTATATTGATGAAATGTGATTCGCTATATTTATACCATACAATTGTATAGTGTCTTGAAAAAATAAAAATAATATAATAATGCTTATTAATTAATTGGCGTTATTATATTATTTTTATTTTTTTAGGGACGCTAATTAAGAAAATGCAGCTCTTCGATAGTCTTTTTTTAAATCGATAATGCTTCATCAAGTTATGTGTAAGAAAATACTCAATGAAACTTGCCAGTTAAATCATTTCAGTCGATTGATTTATCGCACTTTTTTTTTTGCACGAGTGAGTTACGTGTAGCAGTATAAAAGCTTATGTAACTGCACCGATGTGAACATATTAAAATGTATGTACGCGATACTCGCGATAGATATTCATGCTAACAATAAGTAATTGAATTTGATAAATTTTTATGTAAATTGTAAATCACCACCTGTTATTACCGCCATTATCTTAAGTTATTTTGTGTTTTTTACAGAATTTCTCCTGGGACCTGGCGTAAGATCGTCCTAACATTGGCGGCATTGGTGAGTGAATTTATTTATTATATTGGCGCTATTTACACGATTCACCGAGAACCAATCGAATATACTCTCATCTTCAACTGCATATCATTTATCTCTCGCATATCGCCGCGCAGGCTACCAACAGTCGACAGTATTTTTAATCTTAACTGACATATAATGCATATAATCACGAAGCCTATTACTCGCGAGTGCGGGCGGGCGGATGGAAAGAGCATTCATCCCGCTTCGCGTCGCCCCGGCTCTTGCCATCGTATTTTAACGATATCGTAATTTCGGAGACCGCAAACCCCCTAACGTCACCGGTGCATCGGAGCATCTTGCCGGCGCGCAATCCGCCCACCCTCCTCCCACCTCGTGGACCGATAATCTCGGTCAAAAGGATATTAGCGACCGACGAATTATAGGAATTTCGGCAAATTAGATATTGAGCGAATTGAAGGATTACATTACTAATTCCGCCGGGACGCCGATCGGTTACGCCGAGATTTATTCAACCGCCGTCACACGCGGCAGAATCTCTCGAACGGCGATCGCGCATCTTTCGCAGACACGATGTAAAATCTGTATACAAGTGATGTACGAAGCGCAATGTTCTCGGCAAAAATTCAAGTCCGCGGGACGTTTCTAACGCGCTTCGAGGAAGCTTTGTTTGCACGGAGTCCTTTGTTTAAAGGGAAACGCTCGTTTTTGTATTTACGACGCGGAGGATAAGGAATCAGACGCGTTTAAAGTCGTCGCTATATACGAATAGTCGCGCCCTGCCCTTTCCTTGTCCTATCTCACCGGCGCGGCGCGCGGCGCCGACGATCCAGCCGTCGCGGCTACACACGCGTGGCCTTCTATTTTGCCCCATGCCAATCTTAATATTATCCTTCGAATTATGGCCCTAATGTTATCCACGATACGCGTTCCCACTACACGTACGAGCCATCGAGCTCTAATGATCGAGCACGAAATTCGGAGCGGTCTCCTCCGGCCGGACGTCGAACTGGTATATATTAGGATACCATCTGGATTATTTCGCAACTTTTGGCAAACGGGGTGATTATTCGTTATTTTCATTATGCTTGCGCAACGAGCGCGTATCTCATGTTTAACACGTTGTTACATTCGCATACGTTCGAAATAAATGACGTCGACTTCTTTCTGCAGCGAGAAAGTCACGCCAACGCAAACGTCTCTCCCGCTTCTTTCATCGGGCCAATGGCTCGTAATTATTCGCCTAAGTTCACGTAAAGTTTCGCATCGAACATGCTATACGTGCGGATATTTCGCAACGTCACGGACGGGTGACTCCGCCATCCGTTGCGAACACGAGACATTGTCACGAGATCTCGCCCGTCGTAAATCTTCGGCGCTATATCGACGTGGCGGAGTGACGCGAATGATATTCGCCGGTCGTCCGGGGCCTCTAGAATGCATTCATATATCGCGGCACGTATCGTGTCGCTCGTAGCCTGTCCTGGCAGGAAGCGACTGGCTATACACGGCATAACTTGTAGCCGTGTCGTGATAGCGACACTTCATAAACATGGACTGGCGTCATGTCGCGATGGTACCGACGCGAAGCACTTTACATCGTCGATCGTTATCCGTCCGCGCCGATGGGCATCGACATTCGACGTCCAACATTGCGTTCGCGAACCGACTCGGATGTAAAAGTGCAAAGACCAAGAGCTACGAGCTTATCATTGGAGAATTCAGCGAAAACTGTATTTCGCTAAAAGCGTTTGAATGTTTCACTTGCATGTATCTACATATTTGCATAGAAAATGTTACCAATTATTCAATAAGAGCGGCAGATTATTAGCCTCGATTATTTCACATACACAATTAATTATTTGCAAGATAACTTTATCGCAACATAATTAAATATTATTAGTAAAATAATACATAGGTTCAGCCTATATCATAATTAAAGTGTAAATTATATTCCTCGCTATTTAGGTGCAAAGCAATATAATAAGAATAGGCAAGTATTTGTGTCAATTCATATCTTGAGGGGGGAGGGAAGTCATTACAGCAAGAGTATAATAATATTATAAAACATGCAAATATCATCAATGAGTTTCACTCATCAGTCTACTGAAGTCTAATCAATCCGAAGAAAATATTATAAAAGAAACAAACTTACTCCTTAAGAAATTATCTAATTAGTCGAAGATGTAGAAGATGTATACATCGGTTTTAGCTGCGTGAAACATTAGGTGCTTTCCATTTACATCAAAACTCAGATAATTCTCACTTGTGACGTCGTTCTATCCTTTTTGGCAATTAATGAATAATAAAGACAGAATGACATCACAAGTGAGAATTATCTGAGTTTTGATGTAAATGGAAAGCAACTATTGTCAAGGTATAATATACGTTATTAGAACATTATTATTATGTAGAGAATGCACTCTCTCTCGCGTGCACAGACAAATTCGCAGCGCAAGGCTTAATAATTTTTTTGACGAGTATCTCAATTAGGGCAAAAAGTAAGCCAGTTCGTTGAAACGTAACGAGTAAGCTCGCAGTACGAAAGAAAGAACATCGAGTGCCTGTGCAAATATCGCACACCTTTCGCGGCTTCTATTTACTCTCGCGGGCGAACTGTAGTAGACCGTAACATTTCGCGAAAGGTATACTTCGTCGGAGTGCTGGCGAGTATACCGAATGCTTTTATTACTAGAAGAAATGTGGAAGACGGATCGTAAATGCGCGTTCGGATAACAGGGTACGGGAAATAGAGAGACGATACCTCTGTGCGCGCGCTCTACTCTATAATAAATATATAAACGATTATTTAAGGGAGATCTCGTGGGGGTTACAGCCGTGAAGAACGAGTTTCAAAAACGATAAATTGCAATTCAATTATCTTCTCTCGAGAGCTACAATATTGTATGGTTTCTCATTCAAATCTAACATTATGATACATTTGAAAATAAAAAAGTATATATATATGGCACACATGATAGTGTAATTTTTCAAAATAGCAGCAACTTATTTTTCGAAGATAGTTTTTTTTATTGCCAACAAAGTGGAGTGAGCTCTTAATGTTGAACTTCCGATGAATTTAGAACATATGTAGAGATGTGAAAATTGTGAAATGTAGAAATACAAATATAGAAAAACAATTTTTATACAAAAACAATTTCAGGATTGAGGATACATTATGTCGTCGTATGCATGCGACTAAAATTAGTTAAAAATGCTTGTAGATAAACTTAAAAGATACGATAAAAGAAGATTGAAGATTGATATTTATTAAATTGCTTTTTTTTTATTACGTTAGATTAGAGGTATATATTTTATAATCTATTTTTTTATTTGCGCACTGCGTCAGCCACATTTACGTTTACATTATGCGTGGTAAAATAGTTTCCAGCGATGCGGTACTGACTGGGAATATTTATAACAATAGCATTAATACCCATAAAAATTCTTATCTTGTTAAATTGCTGCTAAGAGGGTATTTAATAAAGTCGACGATTCGCTGCAAAGTGAATAGTTTATATGGTAGACTGCTCACACTGTTTCTCGTTACTTTCCCTCTTTAAAGCATTTTTCTAAGTAGAAGCAAGGAAAATGTAAATGAAAAATAGATAAGCACTTCCGCGAAATAAATAATGACTATTGATTATCATATACATTCTGTGTTCAAGGTAGATCAAACAGCACATAATAAGTAGCTCAAATATAATCTTGTGCTTAAATTAAAAAACTCTAGAGTTATCTAGTGGAAAAATTTATCAACGCAGGAAAAAATACATGAGATATGATCAATGCTGTAAAACTTAAAAAAAAAGGAAGTTATTCACGTGAAAAATGTAATTTTATAAAATTTGTGCAAAGACATTTTAACTTATATTTTCAACCTTATATCATAATAATGTTTTATATCTTTGAATGTTTTTTTCAATTTGCTTCTTGAGGATTATTTACACGCTAGTTTCTGTATGTTTAATTGCATGAAGCCCGTAAAAAGTAGATACAGTTGATGGTCGAGACCATCGTCTTGTTGCTGGATTAAAGTGCATGCCGCGAATCAATTTTGTTTCGCAGCCATCTGTAAGAAAAAAGGAAACGATTAAGAAATTATTACAGAATGTAGAATCACTTATAGATATTTGTTTTGAACTTGTTGTAATTATAGATATTTTTAACAAAATACTTTTTTAATTTCTTTTTGGAATTAACAACAAGAATAAAACTTACAATTCTCCAATATACGTTGGACTTCGTGTGGAGCAATAAATTTATTCCATTGATGAGTACCGCGAGGTATACTTCCAAAAATGTATTCAGTCGCTACAATAGTAGATAGCCAAGATGTTAGAGTTTTGTTTATCGTCGTTATAAAAATCGATTTGCCAGGTTTCACTATTTTCACACATTCCTGTACAAATTTTTAAAACATTTGGTTTTTATATCGTATATTCATATCTATTAAATCTTATATAACTTTTATTATAATAATGTACTTTTAAAAATATT